CATACGCCATTTTAGAGACAGAACAAGGCGATGAGTAAGCACCAAAGGATTATATGAATAGCGGCCAGGCAATAATTCAGACCACTGCTGCTAATCAAGGACTAGTTCCTAGTACTAGTATGTTGTCAGTGTACCCTGAAACGATGCAATCACAGCGAACGTGATACATGCACATCATGTTGCCTGGTTCTTGGTTAAAAGTTGTATCCTCAATGCTTGAGGTTTGTGGGGTCCCTCCAGCTTCTCAGAGTCCTGCATAAAAAAGATAAAAGCAAGTGCAGGTAGAATAATAGTAAGCTCACATAAAACCTCTTCGTCTTGCTAACAAATTTCGTGATTAAATCCACAGCATGGGAACGAAGCTACAGGAAAAAAGTTCAACCATAATAATGCAAAAAGGCAACTTTAGCTAATCATATTTTTGGCAGCAACACTATACTGTTTGTATAGGAGAGTTGGCTTGGTGCATTCATGCCAAAATGAACTCCCTATAGTATTGTATTACTGTACTTCATCATTTTACTTGAGCATTCATTCCCAGTAGCCCTAATGTCTTCTAACAGAGTGCGCAAGGTACTGCATATTCGGCGCATATTTTATTTTCGGCTAATATCGGCCTGTGCAGTTTTAATTCGGAAAGTGGTGGACATCACGCAACTGAATTGTAAATAAAAGGAGGTTTGTCAACTGACAACCGCATACTTTTTCGACATCACTAATAAAAGAATTTTGCGTCCAGTGCATGTGCCAGGAGTGAATAGCAACTGAATAGAGCGGTTGTCATTTATTTACTAGAGGAAACGCAAAAGGTAACAAGATTACGTAACCAAAGGTGAGAAGGCACTGAACAAACTGTCAACCTACGAATACAACCTCAGTGCAACAACGTGCTCTTTCTGCTTACACAAGCAGAAAGAGAAAGAGCATGTTGTTGCACTGAGGTTGTATTCGTAGGTTGTATTCGTAGGTTAACACTTCGTTCAGTGCCTTCTCCCCTTTTATGTACTGGGCATTTGTAGCCTAAAATTTGTTTCGCAAGGTTCAATGTGACAGTGTATACAGGCATCAGCAGTACAGGCTGAAATTTCAATGTGGCCGAGATGTGCTTTTGCCCTGGGGAGGCTGCAATTTAAAAGCGTCGAAAATTTGCATACTTTACAACACAGTACTGAGCATGCGGTGAGCTGATGACGAAATGAATTGGAGGTACTAATAATGCTAAGGGATTCGGGGGCGCATCAAAGGGGTCAGCACCAAGGAATGGGATAGATTTGTGCCCAGTTCAGGTATGTATATTGGGTATAGAACGGAAATTAATGGCTTAGCCTCGGGCGACTCCTACCAGTATTGCCACCAATGGCCCATGGCTGCTGATCTCTGTGATAGAAATGAGACGTGTATGTGAAACCAAAATACGGCTTTTCAAGATATACTGTAAGACATGTTATTATAATGAGTCGCTAATTTAACGATTGTCCAAAATTCATAGGTTAACGATCTTGCAGTATTCTGCCATATCCACACACAGCATATATGAAGCAGTAAGGCCTCAACGGATCTTATTATAACGAAGAAATGTCATCCGTTAAAACGTTAGATTTGCTTCCTCGTTATATAATATATACTGTAAGACATGATTGTATATTATAAAATCATGTCTTACAGTATGTGCATTTTGTGAAGATCTGATGTAAGTCATTAGGGACACCTTGTTGGGTCTTGCCAACATTCAATTATTATGATGTTCATATCTATGCAATAACGTTAATGGAATTATCAGCAAGAATCAATAATCCCAAGAGTATGCAGCTTTGCACATGGAGTCTGCCACAACACGTTTACCAAAGTACATGAATCTAGACACGAGCTGAGGAATCAGCTGAGCTGCTGCATAATTTATGATCTGCTATAGTTTCCAGTCTCCATGGAGGTTTTTCTTGGAGACGTCGAATCTACAGTATTAGGTGTGAAACTGTTGTACTAAACTGCAGGAGATAGACTCTATTCAGCTCGGACAACATTTCACAAGCACGCCGATCAAAGCTTGCTACACTCCCGTTTAGTCAACTTAACGGCCCAAATAATGCTTGGGTCATGAACTCATCGCTGTTGGTCTTTCGAGGGTGCCTGACAATGGTTGTTAGTGCACAGCACCTGCCGGGCCAAATGACAAGATCAGAGACATAGATCTTCCTAGTTCAATTGCTGAAAGGTGACTTGTGCAAACGTTATGTAGCAAAAGGAACTGTACTATGGTACTACACGCCATTCACAATAATCAAAAATGCCCACTTGACAAAACAGAATTTCATCAACGGAGTCCCGGGATTTTTTCTTCTGTACATATGCATTATGGAGTCATAGCATAAGGGAGACGGCACGGTAGACTTTCAGCCTAAATCATAACGAGGGCCAGCTGGGCAGCTCGAAAGAGAGCTCTATGCACTATTGGCAGAGTGGTATACATGAATAGAGAGTGACCACCCAGTGCATGAAGCTTTTCGTGTCACCCTAGAAAATTTCAAAAATTAATAACGTGGGTTCAACCCTGGGCTGCCAGTGACAGTTGCCCTAACTGCCTTAGGGGCAAGTGCGATACATACATGCTCGCATATAGCATCGCTTGACTGACCCATGCTTGGGGCCAGTGAGTCAAGTCCGCAATCACGAGTTGCATAAACCACAGATCATGTAGAATCTCCATGGATCCAATCTGTGTACTGTAAAAGCAGAAATTTTCGGTAGTGTAATATTTTCGGAATTCTCCAAAATCGGCGATTCGGTGGAGGGAAATTTTCGGTAATACCCGCTTTCCAGGTAAGGGTGCTAGTACCACTAAGTAGTACCGAAAAAGTTCGGTGCATTTTTTCGGTAAAAATTGTCGGCACCGAAGTTACCGAAAATAAAACACCACTGAAAATTTCCGCTTTTACAGTACATCATTTTGGGTATCATGATCTCGTGTTGTTTCCTTGGGTGCTACGACTCCCTGACATCCATGGAACGGTATGAATTGGGCGATTTCAGCCAATCAGTAGACGTTCTGAGAGGGGTATATTCAACGATACACCCCGCTCAGTTCACAAGGGTCGCGCCAAGAGTGAATATTGGAAGGAGTCTTGGGAAAGTGCCCTGGGAGAAATGGATTGCACCATTCTATACATGTACTGCATTCCCCATAATTTCCTCGTGCTATGTCCTCAGGAAAATATTTAACGTATACCCTTCATATACTCATAGAATAATCCAAACGTATCTGCAGTCAACCACGGGTATAACAACCCACGGATAGTGAGACTATCTTCAGACCTAGTAACAATATAGCCGTATATTTTCAACCCCGTGAATGACGACAACTCCCAAATACCAACACTTTTCTCATGCCCGATCAAGGGTCGTTCGTTACTGGCAAAGTTAGCTGGATATCATGTCATGTAGTCATTATTACTTCAGGCAGGGACAATGAAATACACCCCCCCCCCCCCCCCCTTTCCTGCAGAGGGAACAGTGCTGTGTCCAGGTCCGCATGCAGCATGGAGGTGCTAGTAAGTCACTGGCATCATTTTCTCTTGTGGATCGATGTACAGTGTGTGACAATGCTTCCATAACGTTAGTGGTGGTGGTGGTGGTGGCGGGAGCATACTGCACTGCAGGGCATTACAGCACTGGCATACTATTATTTTCTCTTGCAGACGTGCCGTGCACGACAATGCTTCTATAGACTAGTGGTGGTCACGGTGATGGTAGTGGTGGCGGTGTGGTGGTGGTGTGGTGGTGGTGGTGGTCACAGTGGTGGTGTGGTGGTGGTGGTGGTGTGGTGGTGGTGGTGGTCACAGTGGTGGTGGTGGAGGTGGTGGTGGCGGTGGTGGTGGCGGCGGTGGTGGCGGCGGTGGTGGTGGCGGTGGTGGTGGCGGTGGCGGTGGTGCTGCTGGTAGTGGTGGCGGCGGTGGTAGTTGCGGTGGTGGGAGCATTCTGCACTGCAGGGCATTAAAGCAAGCTCGATTGTGCATGCATGGTGGCGGTGGGAAAGAGGAGCCAAGGAAAGTGTGTACATATTTTTGTTGAAAGCACGAGAATTCAAAGAAAGCTGGCTGCTTCCTCTATTTCCATGGTCGGCCAGTGCCTGCAGCACGAACAGTACATTGTATTACATGTATGTGCATAGACAGACAAATAAACACTAACCAGTTACCTGAGCATGGGTACCGCTTGTATTCGTGGTCAGGAAAGTGAAAGTACGAACGAAGGAGAAGAAGATTGTTGACCATGGCGAACAACTGCATATCCAGAGGGCACACGGCTTGCCAGAATGGGTCGGCTACATCTTCGCTAATTTTCTATCCTAACAACATTCAGCTTCGAGATCAAGGACGACGGCATTTTTGGAAAGAAATTTCGAATTTTGGAGAAGAAGCTTGCTTTCGGAAAAATGTTCCTTTCACGCAAGGCAGCATGCCAGGTCAGGCGTGTGAACCAGGTGAACTGTGTCGGCAGCTCCACGTTTACGTTCCAGGCCGACAGTTTTTTGACCAAGCCGTGAATCGCCCTCGCTCTGACTCCCCCGGCTACGAAGGAGTAATTTTACAACTCTTCAGGCCAGCTACAGGTCTCTGATACAGAGCCGCAAGTGACGGATATCGGTCATTTGCAGCCACTACTAAGAGCCTCCTGGTCGTTGCAATCTGATACATAATATACCTCCATTTTTATGACTCTTGCCGGTGTACAGTGTATGGCACATTGACAGCTGTCCAGGATGCCAGTGCACTATAGCTCGGGAGCCGCACACTCTTTACTTGGAATCATGCACATGCACTCGTAATCGTATTGAAACACATGCATGTGTTATTAGTAGGTCTACCTGCATGGCGGTGAGTGGTGAGAAGGGGGTCAGAAAGGTATTACAAATTGTAATTTACAATGTGTAACCAGTTTCCTCTGAGACAAAAATGCGATAATACTCATAAAAAGGACACACTTCAGGCTCATTACAAACATCTTGAAAATTTACAATGTGTTATGATAAGCAGGTAGGGTGCTCTGCAAGTACTACTGAGCTCACAGCATTATTGAAGAATATGCCAAGTAGTTTGGATGTCGGTACTCTCACTCTCAAGCAGCAAGAGGCAATCGTGCTATGGTCACCATGGTCATTGGTGTTCTCAGTGTGAATATTTAAAAAGAATAGAATGATGACACATGTATGACAGTCGAAATAAATTACACACAGCAAAAATCAAGACAATATTGCCAACATAAATAAATAAAAATGTGAGACCAGCTCAAGGCAAGAATGGGGGGGGGTAGGAGATAGAATCTGGTACCTGTACGACAGGGGAAGTCTACACAACACTTCATCAAAAATATAGCTATGGTCTACATACACCTCTACCCTAAGTGACCAGGTGAAGTATCCTAACCTTTTAGTAGCATGATAACAAATACATGATTCGAATTCAGTCAATACACTTAAAGTAGATCAGGGGCCACTCTGCACGACTAGCTTGGGAGCTTGCGCCGTCTCCGCCTGAAGCTCGATTTCTCCAGCATCGTCACTCATACCGGCCAAGGCTGCCACCAGCTCATAATTTATTGCGGGATTGTTCTCAGGCGCCTGCTCCCAACCGTCCGGCGGTGATGACGGCGGCGATATGAGCATCAGTTTCTTTGGCTTGGGCGGCGCAAGGCGCTGATGGTCAACCTGGTGCCAAAACAAAAAAAGCAAGCAAACAAATAAAGTCCTATGTGTCTGCTGTATTTGCTCCTTTTCTTTCGACGATAATCCGACAGTGCAGGAAAGACACATCAAAGAAGCACATTCACAATTTACAGTTGATCCACAAGGACTCACATTTTTAAACTTCCTACCTCCATTTTCTTGTTGGTGTAAACCCGTAGTGTCGAGCCCTCGAAGACCATGTCGTCAATGGCAGTTTTAGCTGAGGATGACTGCAAGATTGAGTTGAAGGTGACGTGAAGGCGCTTCATACTCTTCACATATTCAAACTCTGCATGTCCGTGTGCCAGGAACATTGTCTCCAGCTTGTGCTGCAGTTATACAAAAAGAGGATACGAGAAACGACATGCATGCACATGCGCACATACGAAAGCACAGATCCTGGCATGCCCGCACCCGCACCCGCACACACACACACACACACACACACGCACACACACACACACACACACACACACACACACACACACACATATATACACCCATTGTTGAAGCGATGATAGGGAACCAGCTATGTCAGACGTTGTAACTGGTGCTGGGGCCACACACACACATAAACACACACGTGCGCGCGCACACACTGCCAGGCAGGATGAGCTGCCTTAGCAGCAGCGAAACCGGTCAGTAATCATGGTAATAGAGAGCTTCCACACTACAGAATTATGTCAGTAAAAACCATAATCGATCTACGGAAAGTTCTACGTACACAGCATGCGGATCCGTGTTCCAACATAAGGAGTTATCGAACTACGTGGCTACCCATGGCAACTAGTTAACCCCGGACGCGCACTCCACATGCAAGCGACTAGAAAATCAGACGGTGAAGGAAATAGAAGTCGTTTTCAATTTTCCTTTCTCCAGCTCTTAGGTGTCCGAGTAATTTTTCTCTTGCTCTAGTTCTTGTTGTGGTTAGTTTCTTTTTTATACCATCATGGCGTTGGCCGAAGATTGGGATGCTGTTTTGCTACTTCTTGAAGCCATGCTGCTGGACGGTGCTGATGGTATCCTGGAGCTCGCAGATCGACTAATGAATTTGTTGGAGCAGTTGGACGAAGAGGGGAGGACAACGATAGCGTGCAGGAACCTGAGGAGGCGGCTGGATACGTTAGGTTTGACAGAACTGACCCAAAGTGGAGGGAGTGTTTCCGCTACCAGAAATGCGAACTAAGACACATTTGTGTTGCGAAATTCGATGCGCTTATTATTTGCGCCCGCTGTTGTCTCTGGTCTTGCTGTTCTGTCCAGTCCGGTGTTAAATATGGTCTTCTGTGTGTATGGGTGTGGTGCGTTGTGTGCAGAATATGGGACTGTACCTATCCACAATCTACACTTCCTGGGGTAGCCAGTATAACAGTTAGAGACAGCATGCTGATTTAGTGGCAGCAGACACAACATGCACTGCACTGGCACATGCGTGTCTTGACCTGTGAAATTGGCATACCCACCCACCCACACCCACGCATGCATACACCTACAGACAGGCCATGGATATGTACAGTCATGTGCAGTCAAGGCTAACAACATACAGTCAAATCTGCCGTTAGCGACCTCTGCTGTAGGCGACCATCTACCGTTAGCGACCGGATTTTCCGTGCACCGACGGTTTCACATACAAATTGATCTGTCCAGAGCGACCATCTGCTGTGCGCGACTAGCGACCGCGATTTCATGCACGGTGGCTGCATTCAAATCTGCTGTAAGCGACCGCGACCCACGTTCAGTCAGGTGCGAAACTGTACTTGCCAGTGTGCTGTCAACTGCAAGGTGTGAAAATGCTCTGTCTTGCAAGTGCGCCCCTATATCCAATAAAAATGATATCAAAAATCACATTATTCTCGTCGATTTGAGTACATGGAAGCATAATTATATGCATGCCCGGTATGCCGGATTTACCATACATCTGCCGTAAGAGACCATCTGCCGTAAGAGACCGCTTTTTCTTGCACCAAGGAGCGGTCGCTTACGACAGTTTTGACTGTACTACTATCAATAGCATCAGTATCAAACCAGGGCAGGAGAGACAGCCAGCAGTAGCTAGCAAGATTGAGTGCTCCATGTAAGATGTAACCCCTGGGCCTGGCCCACTGGCACTGTGCTAAACAATCCATCATACTAGCCACACATAAACCAGTCACATGCTGGTTACAGTGGTAAATAGAGGCTACTTTATAGTAGTTAGTACCCTTAAATGACCTGAGATTTGCTGCACATGACCTAACTGACCTAAGTGGCACTACATGTACTGTGTTGTACTCATGTTACTACTCAGTAGTAGTCAAGTGTGGTGACAGGTCAGTGTGCTCTTGCATACTTGCCATCCCAACACAAAGCTGTTCCCTTACACACATGCTCAGTTTCCCTTTTTTCCCCTCTTTGTTTTCCTTATTTTGTTGGTTTTCGCCAATTTCGGCCAGTTTCCTCTCTTTTTTACCCATGATCATTTTCCCGTTTTGTGTGTTCCTCTTTTGATGTTTGAAAAGACACTTAGCACCGTCGCATGTTTTGCACGCTAATGCCGCTTCATTTCGTGGGCTCCTCCAACACCAACGAGAGAAACCGTGCGTAAGTTCGCCGCGCTTGTCACAATTTGCATCTTAAACATCTACCCTGGACGTCTTGATTCAAAGTCTATCAAATCCATAATAATTATGTAAACCTTTTGAATGAATGTGGCTGTAGCCTTTTGAGTAAGTGACGGATGGGGTATGTGGCTGTGTGTGTGTGTGTGTGTCTGTGTGCGTGTGTGTGTGTCAAAAAGAACTAACTTGATAGCAGCATTGTATCAGTTTACCTTGCAGTGATCATTGCCAAAGACCATGATAGGAATGTTATTGACGACCAGCATGGAGCTGGACTCATTCTGCGTGCCTATATCGTTGGCAAACCCATGAGCATCGTCACAGTCTGGCTCGACCACGTACACCACATCCTTGACCTCTGGCCGCATTCCACGACGATTCAGTTCATCATGTCCCTCACTTGGGGCCAACATAGCAATGTCATGAGCTCAAGGATGCACAGCTAGCAGTGTTCGGGGGTTCGAACTACATGTACACCTACTGCACCAGCAGTCACCAGGGTACAGGGTACTCGGCAGCCTGCAGTGCAGAGCTAGAGATACACTTGATGATTGATACCGATAGGTTCAACCACGATTCACGAAAAAGGAATAAGGACTACCGTGCTCAAATCGATCAGTGCAGTGTCTAGTCTTGGCAGCTGTGAGGAGCTGCACTAGAACACCACGGTACCTTACAATGGCGCACAGTGACAAGAGAGCGGTAGTGAGAAGAAACTCCTTCCCGGAAATCGCCGCAAAGTGCTGTCACAGTGTCACCAGGACTCGACACACCACACGCACAAGGATTGTCTCTGGAATCTTCTGGTGATTGAGAAAGAAATCCACTGCTACTAGCTTCTGATCAAATCTTTTTCAAAGGATCCTACGCATGCACTGCACTGGCATGAGCTCATGAGTACGAGTGGCATCACTTGATCGATGGAAGCGCGCGAACATGAGCGAACTCATACTAGAGTCATAGTCAAGAGGGACATGAATGATGCAAACACCTGTCATCTCCACATGTCAAGCACATGACCAGTGCAGTGCGCGCACGTGCATCCAGTACAGTGTCAACACAACTCAGTCAACTGATACAAAACAATTTTACTGTACATTGAATTTTAAAATACTTTCAAGTTTCAGTATTGTTTCTTTTTCTCAACAGTCTGGATAGAATGTGTCTTCCAAGTCTCTGGACTTGGTTACAGGTAGTCAACGGATCATCACACGACTGGGTGTGAGCTTAGCTAGAGTGTTGAAGCGTAAACTGGTAGCCCTTATTTTTTTCATTGAGTTGAGCTCATTTTGAGTTCTGGTGAAGCAGTATGGAAAGGTTTGTAACACATGAACTCGGCGACCATGACGGAGGACGAATATCACCAGTGGCCAGTGTGACTACACTGGATATTCACGTTCGGGCCCATGTCCTTGTCCTCTATACGGGTGGCACAGTGGGAATGATGCCTGGCGAGAATGGTGAGAACATGAAGTTAGAATTACCGTGCACGTGTACTTGAAGTGCACAGTCAACTCCTGATACTAAGTATCCAACACTAGTGTGACATCATGTATGCTGTAGCAGAATGCATTCACAGCACACACGTACCGGTACTGTATAAATGCATTCACACCACACAAGTATCGTATGCCTCCGATTGTCCAACGGCCCATGCACTTTAACAGTTTGTTACTTTTACTAAAGTTTTAGCCTGGTTCACATTCGTCGGGGCATGACGGTACGGGACGTCATAGAGCCTGGCGGGAAGGCTGGGGCGAGCTGGAAAAATCTGGTATGATCCAGGAAATAGCTGTTGCGCAGTTCAGCGTCGATCAGCGTTAGTCATAAGGCACGGCCCGAGACGAGTTGGTACTTTCGGCCCTAATTTCTTGTTTTCACACTATTTATCCTCAAGTGAGGCGGAATCACGCTCACAATACCATTTTGTCATGAAAACCAAAAAAGGAACCACGGGCTTTGTGCCATTCTAATGATAGCCATAGAAAAGGTAAAACACAACAACGAAGTCCTGAAGGTTTCCAAAATCGATTTTCATCTCTCTGTCTCTCTCTCTGTCTGTCTCTCTGTCTGTCTCTCTGTCTGTCTGTCTGTCTGTCTCTCTCCCTCCCTTCTTCCAGGGTATGACATACGGGCAGATTGTTTCGAGCCCTTTGTGAGGAGCATCCCCTTATTTCATGACAAGCTGTTGGATGTCTCAGCAGACACAGAGTCTTACAGTCACCTTGGTCTACCCGAGCCCTTGGCTTTACCGTAAGCAACTGGATCTGCTATTGTATACTGATAGGCTGATAGGCGGAATTGTTTACCTTATTACTTTTAAGTTTAAGCCCGAATTTTGTTTTACAGCTTATACTTTCCTATTTCCTACGCTAGCCGCCATTACATTTACCAACTTGTGTCCACACGAAGATCCCTGGTGTGTCTGCACTGGCCCAGCTCTACTGTCAAAGGCAGTCGCTGTCATGGCAGCGTATTGCTCGATCAGTGCCTGCACGCCTTGCATGGCTTGTGTGCTTTCCACTTTACGACTGGAATATGCAATTCGCAGCCAGATTTGCGTTTATGCGCCTCCACACACTTAATTTATATGGTTATGATGTTGCATTTCCGACCGTTCCGTTGCATTGAGGTATTTGCAGATTGTGTTTGTGGAGAAGAACGGCGTATCTGCTACATATAGACTTCTGCAGATAAAGTAGTAGTGTCTGTGAATAAAAAGAGGCCTTAATGCCCGAGTTGGAGAGTCTTCCACTCAGAAATTCCTGCAGGATAGTGCTTTACATGCGGAGAAGAGTGGCAGAACCTTACCACTTAAAGTCTCTGTACCAGTCTTCTCTCTTCTTGATCGAAACAGAACGTAATTTAATCTCCGATGATTTGGAGCGTGTTGTAACGCCTTTCTGTATCGGCAGCTGCATCATTCCAGGCTATAGTTGTCTCGGTGTTGTTGTTGTTGTTGTTTTATGTCTTTTGTTGCCTTGTGGATTTCTTCTGCTCACCTCCATTACAAGATGTACGGGCTCAGGTCAGCGGCGCATAGTCTATACTATCAAGGAGTATTCGCCACTGCTGGATTCTAGCAATATGGACATGGATGACTGGGTGCTTATCACTCAGGACATTAAGCACTACTACCAACACTTTGATGGGTGAGTCAGAGCTCCATACTGCAACATTCTACACCTTCTCGTGTTGCTGTCAGAGCTCCGTACTGCAACATTCTGCACCTTCTCGTGTTGCTGCTGCCGCTTCAAGAGTACAGTAGTGTATGTGACATGTATGTGTGTACGCTGGCTCCAGGACTGCCAACAACATTATTGTACAATGCTGCTCAATGAAATTCGATTGCGCTGATCAAGTTTGCACCCTGCACCAGTTCACAGCCCAGTATTCACAGGTCAGGGCCTGCACAGCACCCTGTGTGGCATTGATTCGCACGATCGGATTTCATTGAGCAGCACTGTATATTGTAGTCAAGGTGAACATGTCGGTACTTGACTCCTATTCTTTTAAGCCTCTATTGTCGGTACTTGACTCCTATTCCATTCTGTTTACTAAGTATCCCGTTCAACACAACCACACAGTACCCTGTGCAACGTAACAGCCACAGCGTATGCTATCACCATCATTCGTGTGAGAATTTGGACTGTTCTGAGACTTGACCGTGATAATTGTGGCAAGTTTCACTGCATTTGGCTGTCCATTTTCTCAGCTTTGGTTCAAGTTAGTAGAATCTTATAGATATAGGAGATTGCAAGCTTCAAAGGTAGAGTTTGACCAAATGCATTTTTCTTCCTTTCTTTAGTCATTGATGCGCGGGCTTCAGTTTGGTTTCTGACCTAGCTGACTGGCTGGCTGGCTGCCACAGACGTCAGCTCGGTGCGCCAGTCTTAGTTTATTGAAATGATTCATGACCCGTTCTCCATGACCACTTCACTTTCCAGTGGCCAGTTCCTTTCAAAGTTTGAGCAGCATCCTTGCAGGAACTGCTGTCGAGTATGATCCTGCCATGTCTCTGTGACTTATAGAGTAGGTCAGAAGATGAACGTTCTTGCCATATGCTGCTGCTGCTAGTGTTGGTGTTGCTACTGCTGGTGTTGTTGGTGGTGGTGGTGTTCGTATGTAGCCAGGTGCTGTTCACCTCTTCTTGCTTCTCGCTGCCCAAAATGACCTGGTGGATTTTTCGATGTTGCCTTCTTGTTCCCCGGTGCAGTTTTGTGATTCTCCATGGAACAGACACCATGGCCTACACAGCCAGTGCCCTGTCGTTCATGTTGGAAAACCTAGGCAAGACTGTCATCCTCACCGGCTCTCAGGTCAGTATCCGGGGCTATGCTTGCTGTGTTTGGAGTGTCAGTATCTGGGGCTATGATTGCTGTGCTTGTAGTGTGCTATTCATTCTCCTGATAGTGACGAGCTGCAATGCACAACCCAAATGTCATGTGTTATTGCACCCATCGTGACCTCCTCCTAATTTCTAGTAACCAATAATAATAGGGAGGTTTAGTCCCACGTAATCCGTGGGTACTTTACGTGTGTGTACCACGTGATACTCAGTGACCCACGTACAGACGTTTTCTGATTCACGACATACCGTGTATGGAGGCTCACCCACGTTCCGCCAGAACGTGGGTGAAAATCAGAATGGAGCGCATTTTGCGAGCTGTGAGGGTGCTCAGCTGAAGAAGTTTCCGAAGCACGAAATCAAAACATTCGATGAGCTTCTTAGGCTCGGGTAGCTTCGTCTTTGACCAGGTTTGGGCCTTTCGCTTCATGCTTTTGTTTGTTCCGTGTGACTAAACACAACATTGCAACGTGGATGCCCTTCATCCACTTTACGTGGATCACCCACGTACGCGTTTCCGTTACGTGGGAACTAAACCTCCCTAGTATACTCTCACGTCCAGTGACCGTCCGTTCAGAACGCTTTGTTACTGCTTCTGATTGTGTGTCCCCATTGTGTATTTTCCAAACTAATTTCTCATTTCTATCTGCTTTTTTCCTTGCAGATTCCCATCTCAGAAACACGCAGTGATGGCATTGACAACTTCCTGGGAGCGCTCATGATTGCTGGAACCTATCCTATTCCAGAGGTGAGAGTACTTCTATGTAGCCAGGTTAAAAAAATCGACTCACTCTTATTATTTTGGAAAAGAGAAGGGACAATGTGTTACGAGTTATGACTAACTGTCCACCAAAGTAACCAGATCATAATCCGCAGATTGGGTATATTATACAGCCAGAGAGTGCGATATGAGGGCACAAAACCGACAGGGTGTACTGAGACATTCAACGGCCTGACACCTACCTCCAACACATCTACGAGGCGCAAACCAACAACCTTCCGACTTGGACGGTTCAGATCAGGAAAGGTCTAAAGAGGGGAAGCTCGTATTATTTTATCCTCTTCTGTCATCCTCACAGTCGTGATGACCGCTACCAAGACTGCATACTAGTAGCCTTCAAGAACGTGCAACTATAGTCTACAGGGTCTGTGCTTGCAGGAATTCATGTAACAGTTACATGTACATGTACAGGTAACTTGGGAATTGCCCTGGCTTGTACAGTATCAGGCCATGGTCGGACACGTGTGTGCGGAACGTAAGGGTTTGACTGAATCAATCCACCACACCGTATGCTCTCTCTCTCTCTCTCTCTCTCTCTCTCTCTCTCTCTCTCTCTCTCTCTCTCTCTCTCTCTCTCTCTCTCTCTCTCTCTCTCTCTCTCTCTCTCTCTCTCTCTCTCTCTCTCTCTCTCTCTCTCTCTCTCTCTCTCTCTCTCTCTCTCTCTCTCTCTCTCTCTCTCTCTCTCTCTCTCTCTCTCTCTCTCTCTCTCTCTCTCTCTCTCTCTCTCTCTCTCTCTCTCTCTCTCTCTCTCTCTCTCTGTTTTCACTTTGGCCCAGGTCACATTGTACTTTCACGGGAAGCTGTTACGTGGCAATCGTGCTGCCAAGTGTAGTTCTGATGCCCTGGCTGCGTTCAACTCTATGAACATCCAGCCGCTTGCGCTGGCTGGAGTGAGAATAGTGGGTGAGTTGCCGCCTTCTGCGGGTACTAATGCTTGTGCTTTCAGCACTCATGTACGCATGGCGTGTTCATCCATTATGATACCATTGTATTAGCACGTGCTGAACAACTTGCTCGGTAGTCCTCTCCCCCCGCCCCAGTTCTGAGGCCAGTGTAGCAGACACACTGATCATGGATAGTCGGTTGTTATGCTCTTCTCTGGTCTTGCAGTGGAGTGGGATTTGATTCATCGGCCGACAACGACAGCAAAGTTTGACGTACACACAAAGCTAGAGCCACGTGTTGGTGTCCTTCGCCTGTTTCCTGGTATCGCTTCAGAGACAGTGAGTGAACTCGAGCTTCAATGACAGTTTGTGCCGGGAGCTCTTTCTGCTCAGACCAAGACAGTGACATGTGCAGAGAGAGAGAGACAGAGACAGAGAGAGAGAGAGAGAGAGAGAGAGAGAGGGGGGGGGGGGGCACATCCCTCTTTTCAAAATGTCAATCGTGGTGTAAAATCCCGTTCATACTCCGAATATGCCAAGATCGTTAAAATTATATTCGGCAGTCCATCCATGGTACATGGCGTGCAAAACGTTGGACGCTGGTCATGTACAACTCAGGACAGATGGTCACTGTTTGCATTGTACAGTATATTGTATGTAGAATGCTCTCTGCATGAAAACAAAACAGTCACTGAAATTTGGTGATGTTGTAAATTCAACAGTGACACTCTGCACATGTACCTTACTGCTGGTTACTTGTTCTGCTGTCAGGTGCGTCAATTCCTGGCACCACCGCTGAGGGGTTGTGTCCTACAGACGTACGGTGTGGGTAATGCACCATCTAATCGTGAGGATATCCTCAAAGCATTACACGAGGCCACCGAGCGTGATGTTCTGATTGTCAACTGCACGCAGTGCGTACATGGTGGTGTTGTGGATTCCTATGCTGTGGGCAAGGTGAGTGGTCTCGACAATGTCTGGAGTGAGCATGCTGCACGTCGCCTGCCACAATACTGTTTATCTGCTGCAGCAGCCGCTGAGGTCAATGCAAGCACTAGTGTTGCCACTGCATTATATCGCATTGTGTTGCTACTGCCGTGACTGTTGTTGATGCTACTGATAGTGGCACCTGCTGAAATTCTTTGCAGTTTTTTTGTTGCTTTCATGATACTTTCATTTTATCTTGAGCAGGAGATTTCTTTAGCTTTTACACGGGGAGTTTTGCTGTCCTTGCTTCGTTGATGCCATGGTACATATTTGCAGGTCTGTATGTTGTGTCTGATTGTGTGCTCTGTGCTTGTAGACACTGGTGAAGGCTGGCTTGATTTCTGGCTCTGACATGACGCTCGAAGCCGCGCTAACGAAACTTGCCTACGTTCTCGGCAAGCAGGCTTTGAGTCACCAGGAGCGCCGCAAGCTGATGCACGACAATCTACGCGGTGAGCTGACTGTTAACCTTGGCCAGTTGGCATTGGATGACAGTCAGTTCATTTTGAAAGTGGCACAAGTCATCGGAGTATCGACTGGACAGGTATGCAGTTGTTTCAGTAGTTTCGATGCCTTTTGCTGCTCTGCAATTTTTTTCAAATTTTAAACTGATTGGTTCTTTGACCCTGATCCACACACTAAAATGGGCTATTCTGGTCCTCCGTCAGCACATTGCTCATGCTTTTGTAACTACCTAGGGAAAGTGTCTGTGCCCTAATTTTCGATTAATTTATTTAAAAAAATATTTTGGAAAGCTGTTGACTTGTGGATTGTGCCAGACGATGGTCTAAATCTAGTTTGTAAAAGGTGAACAACTACCAGTATGCAGCAGCTGTTCCTCTTTCTGAAGGCATGACCCCGGCCTCCCTGTACTTGGCCTCAAGAAGGTGACATTTTCAAACTGATATGTTTTAACAAATTGGATCCTGTGCGATGTGTGGCTTATACAAGGTACAACTGGTGGAGGATTACAGGAGCATTTGAGAGGTATCTTTAATTGTCTTTGCGTCCATACGCAATGTGAAAGGCCTCTCTCAATGGGTTGAAACTACGAATTGGTGCACAGTTTTTCTTCCTTTTTCTTCTTCCAATGAAACTTGGGCTTTGATTGCATGTTTCTTGCTACAGGAGTTGAAAAAGGTCGGATCTGCCCTGTTCCCATCACTTCTTCTTGCTGCAGCGAGAAGTGGTGACATACGTCTGATGAAGGAGCTATTTCGACAGGTCAGTGAATCACCCCCCCCCTTTTTTTTACACGATGGTTTTGTTGTATGTAGAGCTTTGCAGTTACTTTATCCTGTGTCTAGTATGTTCAGAGTGTAGATACGAACATGCCGGACTCTGATCTTTGCCCCTTTTACATTATTGTGTTGTAGAAGTCTGCAGTTAGTGTGTTTACATTGTCATGTGTCCTGTAATAAATATGTTGTTCAGGGTGCGGATGCTAACACGTCTGACTCTGATCTTCGCCCCTTTTACGTTACACACAATTGCTGTGTTGTAGAATTCTGCCGTCAGTCTGTTTACATTGTCCTATCTCCTGTAATATGTTCAGGGTGCGGATGCTAACACGTCGGACGCTGATCTGCGATCACCCTTGCACGTGGCCTGTGCCGAGGGGCACACCGACATGGTGCGCTATCTGCTGGAGCGCGGCGCCTCGGTGTATGCCCGCGATCGCTTTGGCCGAATGCCACTCCAAGACGCTATCTGGGGAAAGTAAGTGTCCGATCTGAGGGTGTGTTTCTGTGCAGATGTACGGAATCCCGTCGGTGTTTGTTTAGTACTGTTTACCTGCTTGGCTGCTCATTGTGTGCTATGCGTGCACTTTTGACCCAATAAGTCCGATAATCACTGGAAGACAATCGCTGTTCCAGCATCATCACTTTTGGATAGAGGTTATGTCTAGCTAGATCTTCTTCCGAAAACAGTTTTTCTCATGAAATACCTTCAGACTACGCTTCATAATGGAAATAGCAGTAAACACAACAGGGTCCTGCACATTCAACACCTAACCGCGTCTACGGGACTCTGCGGGATTTTGCACTTCTGTACAATGTTGCCTTGTCACTGAAGTGGTATAAGATTCAGTCATGAAAGAGAAGCAAGTGATGAAGATAGTAGGTTGATTTACCAAATCTTCCCAGTTCCACCAGACACGAGGACTGTGGCTGCAGGCATGGAGTTTGCCTGTATGCTAGCGTCCACATACATACATGTACTGTAGTATGAAACAGGGGCGTGCTCGGCTCCCCTTCCGGGGGGGGGGGGGGGGGGGGGGGGTGCACCACTTCCAGACAACAGCAATTTTCAAAAGGTTGTACCGGTGACATCATCAGATATTTGTACATGTGACGTCATTTAAGCTGTGTTCACAACTGGCGCGTGGACGCGGTACGCTTGCGGTTCATGCGTGCCCGGACTCGCGCTCAACCTTTCACAAAAAAACAGCAATCCGAGTCGTATTTAGCGCTTGCGACACCTTCGAGTACTAATTTTTTGACCCCGCCAGTCAGAGTGGCTGGCATGCACGCTGGTACGCGCCTGATACACGCTGAAAATTCCAACATGTTGGAATTTCCATTTCGGTGCGTTTCCGTACGCATGGCGCCCCAAAAGCCAGCAAAAATACGCACAAACGCGTGGTTTCACGCGTACACGCGCCAGTTGTGAACACAGCTTTACTGTTACAAAGATTGTATGTCATCAAGAATGAACACAGTACAGCATCATATCACTTTTTTTCAAAATAAAGGATGAAAACTTACAAATGTTTAAAAACCAATCCGTCGACGGCACTGTGCCAGGCAGGCCGATGCAAACACACATTGCATGGATGTAGCTAAGAACAATCGTCACACTATCTGGACAGGATTCGGCGAGGAGAGTGTCGAAAGAACAGCTTCAGCACCTCATCTGTGTTTACAGGCATGCCGTAGTGGGTATGCAGCAGAGCAAGCCTGTTGCAACGCTCTCCAGTCATGGTGCTCCTCAGGTAAGTCTTCAAACGCCGCAGATTACTGATGCTGCGCTCACAGGAGCACGTGGTTACGGGTAGCGTGGCTAGGAGGATGAGCAGCTGCGTCACTCCCTTGCACAGGCTCTCCTCCGCTAACTTGGCACAGTCAGCGAGGCTAGTAGACAGGTGCTCAGGGGAGATTGCAGTGAGAACAGAGAGAGAGAATGTATCCAGCTCCGCTCTCAAGGTTGCTAGCCTGCATCCAGCTGGGAGGTCCTCCTCGTACTCTGCTGCGAAGGTCATCACGTCTGTCTTGGCTTCTTCCGGGTTGGCCAGCAAGCGACAAGCCTTTGCCAATCTTTTGCTGGAGTGGACCGAATCTCTGCGTAAACTGTCCCAAGAGCTCGTCCAGCAGAGGAACTGACACTGCTCTGCGGAAGTACTGCTTAGGAGTGTCCGCAAGAACATTGTCTCGACCAAGTTGACGACGACAAGTGTGAGGTGCTGATGGCTGTGTCGTATCCGGACGGCCCGGGGTTAGACCCCAAGGCTGCGGTTCGACATGAACTAACTTACTTACTAAACCTTCACATTACAAGGCCGTGCAGTGGTGGCCACTTGGAGAGAGTCCACCAACAGAATTACTCTTACGCACGCACGTACACACATATACCTAGACATACTCTCATATACACACTCAGGCATATACAGACACGTACACTCACACCAGCGTTCAGGTTTACTCACATCTTCAAAGAGGGTACATGTAACTCAGTCCAAGAGAAGATAATGAAGAGCACAAGGCAAGAGAGACGGAAGCTGAAGCTTCTGCCTGAAGGCGGAAGGCAAGAGAGGGAGAAAAACAAGGTGATAGCAATAAGATCTAGTTGCGGCCATGGAAATCCATGGCCACGAGATTGCTGGTCCCGCATGCAATAGCGTATCAAACCGTAGTAAATATGTGTACGAACTGTTGCATAAAGAGCGGGAGCCATGTGGGGAAATAACAGCGTATACCAAATAAGGAAGGCCCCAGGCCTTGTGTGAAGACATAAAATAAAGACGATTATGAACCCGTTTACGGGAGATAGATAAATAATTAGACACCTAAATACGGCATACTTGTCCCGTAGAGGCCTAAAAGGCACGTGTCAATGGTATGGATACGACAGCTGCATATTGACACTGGCTGCCCTGTCCACAGCTTCCGTCCACCAAGTGGTATGGTAGTTGTCCACGGAATCACGGACATTCTCAAGTGTGGTCTGAGTTGTGGCGATCTGCTTGTAAGCTCGGCATACATCAAGCGACTTTTCCTGCAGGCCAACACAGAGGCCACGCAGGTAGGCCATGATGTTGGATGCGACGGAAAATGTCTCGGCGTTCCAGTCGGCGCGGTTGTTGGCAATAACCTCAAAGGTGGCAACCACAGCTGGAAACAGGTCTGCGAAGGCTACGAGAGCAGTATGTCGCAGGACCCAGCGTGTACGGCAGAGGCTGACCAGCTTCTTCTTGCGTCTTTCATTCACAGTGTCTGTTGGCATGTCTGTGATGATGGCTTCCAGCCGATTCTGACGTTTCGGAGTGTTCTCGAAGAAGAATGAAGTCTCTCTTGGAGTCGTCCACATGTTCGAAACTAGCGCAATCTTCAATGTCGCCATAACACAGAGGTTGAGTACATGGGAGCTGCAGTGAAAGTAGACTGCCTTTGGGTGATCCCGTTGTATGACAGCTGCACATCCATTCAAACGCCCCGCCATATTCGCAGCGCCATCGTAGCCCTGGCCTCTCCACTTTGCAAGATCAAGATCCCAAGAATGGACAGCATCTTCGATCTTGGTCGCAAGAGCCTGGCCTGAGATGCCCGTATCACAGTCGATGAAGCCAAGGAAGTCCTCCTTAACTTCAAAGTCTTGGACATACCGTACGACAATTGGCATCTGCTCCATGTTGGCTGAGTCCGTGGCCTCGTCAGCCAGAATGCTGAAGAATGGTGCAGAACGGACAGTCTTCAGGATCCTCTCCCGAATGTATTCAGCGCCGCAGTCAATGAGCTCATTCTTGGACCTGGCAGAGCAGTAATATACGCGGTGCCCAGCTCCACCAGCATGCAGATGAAAGTCACGAATGACAGACGCATCACCAGATCTGGCCCTGAACTCCAGAAGAGCGAGGAAATTTCCAGGATTACCACCCTCCTTGGAGAAAATTGAAACTTCATCCACCAATTGGTCAGCATCAGCAGCACCTCCACTGGCAGCAACTGCTTTAAACTGAGCAAGCTTGGCAATGGCATCCAAATGGGATCGCTGCTGCCTGTGTTTCTCGTACAGGGACGTGGCCTTCTTAAAGTTTACACACGCTGAGGCTGTGAGTTGGCCCTGGTCAGCACCACTAGGAAATAGAAGGCAAGGTAAACAGAAACCTCCTTCACACTTCGAGGAGTGCACTAGCCATGGATTATCTGACAGCCGCTGGTGTCGAAAGCGTCTGGTTTTCCCGTCCTTGCCTGGAACAGCAGGAACCTCGTACTTCGCTCCAGGAACGAAATGGTGGTTAATTAGTCTGCGCTTCTCAACCGAAGACAGCGATGATGGCAGAGAAATCCAACGTCGTAATTGGAGATCATACTGCTGCCCAACATCGTTGATAGTCGTCGCAGTCGTCGACGCAGATGCAGAGGCATTGCTCGCAGATAGGCCGCTTTCCCTGACCTTTGAAGAGGCTGTAGCGGCATTGTCCTCTCCAGGAAAAATCTGAATGTCATCAGTCGAGTCGGACTCATTATCGTCGTCTACAACAGCCACAGGCTCATCACTCTCGCCGGACTTTCGTTTTTTCCCCCCAGCAGAAAACAGCTCACTGATAGTGAGCTGGGTGGAAGCCTTGCGCTTCCCTTGAGGCCGTGACATTTTCAATCAGATCATCTTTATCACAACTGGCAAAACTAAAAGTAAGTGCCTTTGCTCCGGTAAACAAAAACAATAATCGACGTGTTGCGCTGCTGCTGCCTGCAACAGTTACTTCAGTAGTGAACTAGAAAAGTCGCAAGCACTCGTACCGTGCTGCCTGTAATGTAATGTAATGTATGCATAATGCTAGTCCGTGCGCGGCGGGGCAGTACTTGTGGTAACATTCGTAACCTGATCGCACGTATGTATGACTGAGTCACCGGCCTCGGCCTTCCCTTCCGTTCTCTTTCCTTTCAAGCGCTGACGTTCGTGTGCGACGTTCGTGTGCATCCTTTCGCGATGTCGTGCAATCTGATATGACACTTGACAGGCTGTACGTACGGGACTGCCTGGCTGCATGTAGGCCGCACACCAGGCCCCTACTGCACTACAACTTACTAGTACAATGTACAAGACACAGGTGCAGGATGTGCTCCCGCGAGGTCGGGCTTTCCGCAATACATTGGTGACTTTTCAAAACCCCGGTCGAAATATTTTGGGGGGTGCACTTTCCCCCTGTGCCCCTCGCCAAGCACGCCCCTGTCAGAAAGCATCAGTGCATAGCATGTACACGGGCAGCACTGAGCACTCGTGTACAACGCTTTGCCTCAGCATCCCTCAAAGAATCTCAAATAATCCTCGAACCCGGATGGTGAGCCAATTTAATTATGGTAAAAAAGGAGAAGGACAAAATGTTACGCGTTATGACTAACTGTCCACCAACGTAACCAGATCATATACAGTCAGCGAGTGCGACAAAACGGCACAAAACTGACAAGGAGTACTGAGACATTCAGCGACCTGATACCTAGCTCCAATACTTCTCCAAGGAAACCAACAACCTTCCAACTTGGAAGGCTTAGGTTCGAAACGTCCAAGAGGGGAAGGAAAGCACAACGAAGAAGAGCACAAGCTACGCCCCACGGCAACAAAGAATGCCAAAGGTCGCTGAATGTCTCAGTACTCCTTGTCAGTTTTGTGCCATTTTGTCACACTCGCTGACTGTATAATTATATTATGATCTGGTTACGTTGGTGGACAGTTAGTCATAAATCGTAACATGTTGTCCTTCTCCTTTTTTACCATAATCCTGAACCGTTGAATATGATTTAATATTGACTGAGTACGAGGTCAATATAGGAAATAAAAGCCGAGGTCTTTTACGAGGTCCTGTATTTCCTATACTGACCAAGTACGAAGTCAATATTAGATTTATCACAACTAACCAAAGCATGTGTTCAATCGCTAAAAAGGAGTCAAATATAAGCGGTCAATAGCCCTCAGGAGTGAAATATGCAGGAATATTTGACTGCTTAGGTATAGCAAAAATCTATGGGAGTCAATACTAAGGGAGTGATAGTACTGTGTATCTTTTGGACGCGGAGCAACTAGACAGAACGCACTGGCTCGACGTTGTCGACAGATGCATGACCCTCATTTGATTTTTCATACAAGTATGAGCTATATGCGTGCTGTATTATTATTATTATCACTCTCTTATTATTGACCCCCACAGAAACTTGTGATCTCTAAGCGGTCAAATATCAGCATATATTGACTGCTTATATTGACCACTTATTATTGACCACTTAGCCCGAGGACTTAGAACTTTTTCCTCAACTTAGAAAAAAATCAGAAATGAAAGAAGAAAAATCTGAAGTCAAATGCTGGGATTTGAACCCAAACTGTCAGATTCTCAGTCAAAGAACTTGGGGAACATACTACAAGAGGCAACTGAAAACTTCGGTTTACACAGAAGTAATGTCCAATGTAAACGGCATATGTACATACTATTATACTATTACAATAGTATTCCTTTCTTCCTATAGCAAAGCAAAAACAGTTTTAGGTATGCATTGTCGTGATAAATCTATTATAGCCCTCATAATCGGTCAATATATGAAATATAGACCTCGTAAAAGACCTCGGGGGACCTCGGTCTTTTACTCGTTCTATATTTCATATATTGACCTCTTTAATCGTGCAATAATAGATACTTATTGCAACTTGCAAGGGGAATTTGTTCTGTACTTGTGGAAGTAGGACGAAACAGTGGCATATTCTATTTTCGCATGCAGCAATACTGAAGTCTGCCTATTGCTTCTGCTTGTAGGCATGCTGACGTGGTGCAGCTGCTTCGTAAGACTGGTGCTCACTTACAACTGGGTACCGCCGAGTTGGCACATGAACTGACTGCCGCAGTGTAAGTCATTGCAATAGTTCGCGTAGTATTGTGATGAATAACTAGCAAGATTGGTTGCGGTCTCCTTGCTTACCTCTTGTACCGCATTCAAACTTGCCTTCTCCGGGCCCTGGTCACCATTATTCCTGAATCCACCAACCAGTGGATGGTCTCTCTGTACGTCATGTTGTGTGCTATACTGTGTACTGGCAAGGGCAGTTTGACTATATCCTTTTTAGTGCACTTACTGACTCAGAACCAGTCAGATTCCTTAAAGGAAGTTGGTTGCTCCCCCCCCCACACTCGGTACTTGGAGCTCGCCCTCCGCCCACCTGACGTGATACTTGACTGACTGATGATTTCCTTATACCGAATCTAATGAAGCAAATGCAGAAAGAACCCACACCCCTAGAGTGACAAGGCTGGAGAGGGGATGTGTGTGTGTGTGTGTGTGTGTGTGTGTGTGTTTCGCCTGTGCAGGTAGTGTCAGTTAGTCAGGTGAACAAGTCAGCTGATGTTTGTCTGGAATTTCTTTGAAACGTATTTTCTTTACGTCCTCTCTCGCTGACCGTTTCTGTTTTTCCCGTGCAGATTTTCAGAGCACTCTGTGTCATCTCTTGAAATGTGGTGCTTGGCTGGTGCAGACTTCAATGTCTCTGACCACTTTGGCATGTCACCCCTACACACTGTAAGCAAGGCAGCTTTTTTGTAAAGTTTTCAACAGTGCCATTCCAGATTTCCTTTCATTATCCTTCAAAAAGCTTTTACGGAAGAAGTGCCGTTTTCTGTTCTAAGTTGTTCTCTAGCATGCATAGGCCCCAGAAATGATATTCGTATGGGGATACGTATGCATTTTGTTGTACTTATGGATACGTATGCATTTTGTTGTACTTATGGATACGTACGCATTTTGTTGTACTTATGGGGCCTCGAAGTTCAGAACAACGTACTTTCAAGTGGCCATAAGTACAACAAAATGCATAAGTATCCCCCATACGAGTATCATTCATGGCGCCTATGCATGCTAGAGAACAACTTAGAACAGAGAAAACAGCACTTCTTCTGTAAAAGTTGTTTTCACCTCCTAAGAGGTTTCAGCTACCTCAAAGGCTGTCATGCTACGTTTGGAAGTAACGGCAAATTGAATAGGGAGGTATTGCTATGCGGGTGTCCTTCTCGCTGGTGCCTGCTTTCACAAGCTCGTGCTAACCCTTGGAACTACGTTTTAATCCCTATGAATGCACAGTGTGTAATGAAGAAGGATGCTGCGGCTGTAGCCTACCTACTCTCATTGCGTGTGGACACTCAGGTGAGGAAGACCGGCGTGTTGTGTGTTGTCTTCATGTCAATTCACTACATACAACCACCATGCTGTTGTGGTTCATTGAATGATGCTAGTAGTGCTAGTAGTGCTAGTAGTGCAGGTGTACATGTCAAGTTTTTGTAACTGCACCTGACCTCCCCCAGGTCCAGAATGGGTATGTAAGGTAGAAAGGAAAGTCACAACGAGCACATGCATGTCGAGCATTGGGGAGGAAGGATATCTTTTTTAAGCTGAGTATCCGCACAATGGGCATATTTGTTGGAGGAAAACCAAAAACACCCGCCGCAGTGGAGCTACCGGTACCGTGGAGTTCTTTGAAATTGGGACAGTATAATACTTGTACGTCCAATGGATGTGATGGAGGGTGTGATTTATCAATATCCAGCTCCTTCCATCCACACACGAGACCCAAACTTCCCTTCTCCACTGCTACTTCCTTTGTGCTGTTTCCATGTTTCATGGGTGATCCTCTTGATGGCTGCACAACATGTATAGATGAAGAATGAGTGGGGCAATCGGCCACTTGATGAAGCCAAGCGACTCGACTGCACAGAAATCGCCAAGCTGCTGGAAGAATACCAGGAGAGCTGACTTTGGGACTGAACTGAATATCGAACAAAGTAGACAGTGGAGAGAGACTTTCTCGCACCCCTGATATGCTGAAAGTGCAATCACGATGCTTTTCCGACGCCGCCGCCTTTGGTTGTATTTTTAGATTTCTTGATGTCAAATTAAAACTTTTCTAGCAGGCTAGAGAGTGCTTGATCACACAGTATCTCTCTCTTAAAACTAAGAGTCATTTCAAATATTCTGCCCAATATCCCAAGCAGGCCAAGAAATCTTCACTAAAATGAAAAATGTTCCATCATATTATTATTATTTATCACAAGGTACACAACAATATTTCTCTAACGCATAAAACGTTTATAAATTCTGTTCAATACCATAGCCACTAGTAATTTTCAAGTAGTACTTTTCTAGGTTGTTCGTCTTGTCCGTCCACACTCCACCCTTCCCATTCAATTTTTCATCTTTTCATAGGTACCACCGGTGAAGATACTACTTCTTTGGCTGAGATTGATATGCCTATTGATGGCAGGATGGGCCAGAACATTCGCGTAGCTGCTGCAGCCTGGCTTTCTGCTTTGCGATAAGCGCTGCGTTGGCCGTCTTTGCCGCGTTCTTCAGCTGCCACGGATCCTCGCTCAGGTCGTAGTACTCCACGTAGTTAGTCAGTGTGAACTCACAGTAGATAGTGTTGGCAGTGGTGCTCAGTGTGCGCAGGCAGGTGTACGTGTTGTTGCTGGCATCAGTTATGTGAAAGTCAGACAGCGGCGGGCCAGGGCACGCCGACAGTCCACATGGTGGGTTCCCTGCACACAGAGGAAGTGCACAGGAAAATAGTACACCTGCTGATGCGCAGAGTAAAAAGAATAGAAAGATGAATAATAGTACATCCACGCACTAATCTGGTTCATTTACCTGGCCAGAGTGCAAAGTGGTATAATGTATCTACCTTGCCAGAGTGATGCTACTTCAAAACTAGAAGACTTCAAGTACAGTAGTGGGTGGTTATATACTCTTGGTATCGGTTATAGCGTGGGTGTTTGAAAAGCGACTTTCTATTCTTATTTCCGATATTTCTTACACACGATAAATCAAGTGCGACATATCAGATGCATGTGCGCAGATACAGGATGGCCATACAACGCATCGCTGCTGTGTATGCGGGTGTTCATAGTCATCATCATAGTCCCATACGCTTGCCATGTGGCTATGCAGCATGGGATACATGACAACAACAGTTGAACCTGCAGCACTACGGATGCAATTCAAGTCGGATCAGAACTGCATTGGACAGATGTTATTACTACAGGCGATACACTTTGTACTAATCTGGTATGATTTGCTACACAAAGTCCATTCTTAGGACCGATATATTCTACAATGTGATAACATTGCTTGTAAGAATAAATGTTCACTTGAAACCCATGTTATGATTATGAAAATACGAGAGGTCATTCTTGTAGGCACTGGCAGTATATTCTTTTACACGACCACGCTATAACCGATACGCACTGTATAGTAGGAGGTACCTCAATAGTGTATGCAACACTGGGATACTGTGTACGTGGCTGGGTGCTTTGGAGAATTGTTTGAGCAGATGCACATGTAGCAACTTTGATCGTTAACTTTATGCATCACCAACGAGAGAATGTCAGACCCAGCCTTACAGTAGCATGTATAGTACTGTGTTGTAGAACTACGGTAAAATACCGCGAGAGCGCCCCACCATCTCGTCCTTTCATGGCCGTATTGTGGAGGCGGTGTCCTGTCTGCGGGTCCTACGGTACGAACCGTGTGCACCTATGCACGTTGCAGTCAAGCCGTACTCAAATTTACCTCCGAGCGGACATGAGCTCCACGCAAAACCTGCAAGTGTGACCTTCTTAGTACACCAAGGTTTCTCACACCGTACGAACTTCGTTGCACTCTGCCATACGATTTTCCTTTCCTGGCTGTAAAATCAAGGGGGGGGGGGGGGGGTGTTCTGGCGGTACTTTACGGTACATGTACTAGCACAGAGAAATACAGAACACTGCTGTACTCTTACTAGGTACACCCCATCCCTGCACAGGTCATGGGCCATGTGTTTACACCTTTACGGCAGTACACACTACAAGGAGATTGTTTCATAGTCATCGCTCACCTTCTCCATGGTAGTCAATGAGAAAGTCGTCACGCCATTCCGCAACCGGTGGTTGTCCAGCAATGGTCGCTTCCTCTTGTCCGCCACTAACCAGCAGCGGCTTCAAACTGCGACCATCCATCTCTTGTGGGGCTTCTTGGCCGCTAAGAGCAACCATGGTCGGAGCGATGTCGACGTTGAGTGCAATCTGATGCAGGGTGACATTCTTGGGAATGCCCGGTCCACGGAACATGAGTGGTATGCGAATATCATGTTCGTACGGCTGTCTCTTGTCGCCTGGAATGCAGAACTGTCCGAGCTGAAAGCCATGATCACTGCACAAAGCATGTAGCAAGACAATTATTGAACAGCAATGTAAGTCCTGGTTCAAGCCCTGTTTGGAAGTTAATTGGGAACCCGTGGCCTGGCATGAAGGAAAGGAAACATGGATGCAACGAAGTGGGATTTTTTTCGGTCTGGCCCCTTTGTGTGTCTTATCTACTCATGTCCCACCTTTCACAAGCTGCATCTGTGCCTTGATCCTTGAGGGTGGTGGTGTTCTTGTGGATGCAGAAACCCAGTCCGACCGAGTCTCACGCGAACCGTGAATCGTTTTTATGTAAACAAGCTGCCTTCCAATCCAGTTGACAGATATGTGCTTTAGATCCCTTTCCATAGCTAATAGCTATGCTCTAGAAGTTACAAGAACCATACCAGGGTTAAACCGTTGCTGTTGACAGATACATGTATGATCAGCTACATTGCACACATACAAACACGCACACACACACGCACACACGCACACACACACACACACACGCACACACACACACATGTCCAGGCACTGAGTTGCAGCTGGCCATTCAATTGTTTCCAGGACTTGCATTCAGGACAAGGAAAACCCACTCGGCACTATATGGTTGCAGGCTTACCTTGCAAAGATAACATACGTGTTGTCCAGCACATTGGCCTCTTCCAGGGTACTCATGATCTCCCCAACCAGGTCATCAACTGATAGCAACGTCTCCCAGCGATGCTCAAAGGTCTTGTCCGACCCGTTGATGTGCTGCAACAATCATGGAATTATGACATCATCACCCATACGAGCACCCGGCTTGTAGGCTTGTATTGGATTTGGGGCTCAGGAGTCAGGACAGACTGGAAAAATCACACTCGCAACAAATTAGTGTTTCAAGCTTTCCTCTCGATACAATCGAATTGAGCTGTCCTGTTTCAGTAAACGTGCAAGAAATCTAGCAATACAGTGTGGTATGTGATTCCTCTCTGTCTTGCTAAACGTATATTGTAAAAGCAGACATTTTCGGTGGTGTTTTATTTTCGGTAACTTCTGTGGCGAAATTTTTACCGAAAATAAAACACACCGAAAATTTCAGTATAGTACTACAGTAGTACACTTACCTGGAAAGCGGGTTTACCGAAAATTTCCCTCCACCGAACCGCCGATTTCGGAGAATACCGAAAATATTTCACTACCGAAAACTTCTGCTTTTACATTACACCCATATCTCACTTATCCGGACCTCAAAGTTACGGGCACATCGGTCTACCGGGCACCCTGTGGGTGAGTTACAGTGGAAATATTACTTCTCTTCTGTCAGTTGTGTGGAAATATTGATGGTATTTGGCAGATCTCGGGTCCTTCCCCTTCGTAACGTACTTCAGTATGAGATTTAGAGTTCCGGACATTTCCAAGCTATGACCAGTGCCCGGTCCCGGACGGGGGTGCCCAGGTAATAGGGACATTTCCAAGCTATGACCAGTGCCCGGTCCCGGACGGGGGTGCGCAGATAATAGGGACATGAGTGTGCATGTAGTACATTTCACAACATTTAAAGACTTTTAAAGAGTATACTTTCATGCCAGTACTGAGTGTACAGGAACTCTCACGATAGCACGGCAGTACATGCACTATTCATCATATCAGCATACATACATACATACATACATACATACATACATACATACATACATACATACATACATACCCTGTCATCCATGGTGGAGGTTGTGCGCACCAGCCAGTGCTTGTCCTCGCTGTGGTAGTTCCAGTTGGGCGTGCGCGGTGCCCGCTTGCCGTCGTACACGTGCGAGTATTGCGGCGCCGGGGTGAACGGACCGTGAGGTGCTGGCGTGGCCGAGACCAGGAGAAACGGGGACGAGGGCGAGTGCGCTATCGTCTTCTTCAGGAACTGCACAGAGTTGTTCTTGATGAGATCGGTGAAGTAGTCCGTGGCGTACTCCGTGCCATGGTGTTCCGATACGCCATTGTTGCTGACGTTGTAGTCATAGTACTTTGAGTTGCCAACCAGTCCAAACCAATGATCCCAGCCTGGTGGAATGTGCTCGGGTCCGCCACTCTGCTTGAATCCATACTGGTTCAGGTACTTGCCCACGTAACCCGTTGTGTAGCCGGCCTTCTTCAAATGAGTAGCATAGGTGTTCAGCTCGGCGTGTTTCTGCCAGTTGTACGATGCACAGTTGCCGTAAATAGTGTTGTTGACCGCGCCGTGGTTGTGAATGTAGTTGCCTGTGCAAGGAGATCACACACGTTAGCACAGCACAGTAGACTAGACAAGACGCAGGCGGCTAGCTCACAGTGACCATGCTTGAATAACAAGAGAGCCGGCCACGGGACACACTACAGACTACAGTATGGAGACACATGCACGCGCAAGGGATGGTCAAATTACCACCGGACAACCTCACCATGCACATGAAGCAAACTGAAGCTGCCGGGGCAGTTACCGTATTATCTCTAATATAAGCACAGTCTCCAATGATAGCACGTCTCCAATGATAGAACACCTTGGGGCGGCATTCAAAAAATAAAGTGCTCAGTCTCCATTATAAGCACACTGTGTACATTCATTATCTGTGCCGGCGAAAAAACCCTGAAATGTGTGTGTCTGACATGAATTTGGCATGGCAACAGGCCTCTGAAATGAGGTTGAAATAATAATGGAACAGTCTCCAATAAGAACGTCTCCAATAATAGCACGGGGTGGAGGTACATTGAAAAAATAAAGGACCGTGCTTATATTAGAGATAATACGGTAATGTGGTTGGGAGAAAATGGTCACGGCAACTGTAATTCATTTTTTGATTCTCCTGTGTTGATCAGCTAGCGGCGATGCAGTGGCAGACGCTTTCAGGAGCCCTGCATAGGTGTGTGCCAGCTGCATGAAACACCACAGCTCTACCGCAGCAGCTCTGCACGCAAGCCAGTCTCCAGGCGCATGTATCCGGGGTGATATACGAAGGGTTTCAACCTCGTACCACAATAACCTGGCCATATGCGCGCGCCGATGCCAAACCAAGCAGTAGTCCTCAAGCAGTAGTCCTCAAGCAGTAGTCCTCAAGCAGTAGTCCTCAAGCAGTAGTCCTCAAGCAGTAGTCCTCAAGCAGTAGTCCTCAAGCAGTAGTCCTCAAGCAATAGTCCTCAAGCAATAGTCCTCAAGCAGTAGTCCTCAAGCAGTAGTCCTCAAGCAGTAGTCCTCAAGCAGTAGTCCTCAAGCAGTAGTCCTCAAGCAGTAGTCCTCAAGCAGTAGTCCTCAAGCAGTAGTCCTCAAGCAGTAGTCCTCAAGCAGTAGTCCTCAAGCAGTAGTCCTCAAGCAGTAGTCCTCAAGCAGTAGTCCTCAAGCAGTAGTCCTCAAGCAGTAGTCCTCAAGCAGTAGTCCTCAAGCAGTAGTCCTCAAGCAGTAGTCCTCAAGCAGTAGTCCTCAAGCAGTAGTCCTCAAGCAGTAGTCCTCAAGCAGTAGTCCTCAAGCTTGTAGCTCACTGCTTATGCATGTATTCTTTGGCATCAACGTCCGGGGGTTGATCAAACAACAAGAGGTTTCCATGCAGCCCGGAAGCCATACGATATACGTGTCAATGTTTCAGAGAAGCTAGTAGCAATCTGAGATTCCGTTTTCCACTTGCCAGCTAAATGCATCTTCATGCCATCACCATGGTCACGGCCAAGCACCTCGCACAGTAGTATCTGTTATCATGGTTATGGTGTACTAGCTTGTGTTCGCAACAGAATACATGACTTGTACTGTCTGTCTTTGTGAGCGTCTGTATTAAATTTTGGTCCTTTTGGAGGGCAATTGTCATCACGTGCGTACTTCTCAGTAGGGAGGTTTAGTCCCACGTAATCCGTGGGTACTTTACGTGGGTGTACCACGTGATACTCAGTGACCCACGTACAGACGTTTTCTGATTCACGACATACCGTGTATGGAGGCTCACCCACGTTCCGCCAGTACGTGGGTGAAAATCAGAATGGAGCGCATTGTGCGAGCTGTGAGGGTGCTCAGCTGAAGAAGTTTCCGAAGCACGAAATCAAAAATTTTAATATTGGATGAGCTTTTTTTTGTAGGCCGGGGTAGCTTCGTCTTTGACCAGGTTTTGGCCTTTCGCTTCATGCTTTTGTTTGTTCCGTGTGACTAAACACAACATTGCAACGTGGGTGCCCTTCATCCACTTTACGTGGATCACCCACGTACGCGTTTCCGTTACGTGGGAACTAAACCTCCCTACTAACTTGGTTTGTATGAACTGTGGGACGATTGAAGGAAGAACAACTCTCAGGTGTATCCACCCTTTCCTTGCATTCATTCAATACTGTCGATAACGTGTTTCTTCTGCACTGTAGATCTACACAAAGCCATTGCTAAGAACAGGGTTATTCATTGATAAACCTAAGGTTAGTAAACTAACTTTGAATTATATGCCTACTCTTACCTGTCAAGTAGCTTGATCGACTGGGACAGCAAATAGGGGTATGGACGAAGGCGTTGTCAAAGAACACCCCCTGCTCGCGGATAAGTGTCTTCAGCTGCTTCATGGGTTCTAGTCCGCCCAGCGTGACATCCTGATCGTCAGTCAGGATAAACACAATGTTAGGAGGAGATGCTGCTGCTGCTGCTGCTGCTGCTGGAGAAGCATCGCCATGCCGCGCTCCCACCGCACTGCACGCCACCAATGCGACAAGAGCAGCTTGCAGAAACATTGCTGTACCGGACTTTCCTCGCTATAGATAGTATAGTCGCTTCTTCACGTTTCGACCAATACAAGGTCGGAATGGATACTTTCCTGACTTTCTCAGTTCGTCTTCGTAAAGCACGACAATCTACAATCGATCCTCCCCTATAGTGACCCGCAGATGTTACAAAGGCAATGCCTATGAGGGTAGACTAGTCTAGACTATAGTATGGGAAGAGGCTAAGTAGGTGGATATGGACGCGGCTTCAAGTTCAAAAACAGGGCGGGAACTGTATCACTGCCACTCATACCCAGTGCGGGGTCATATCAGGCATGATTAGATTTAGAACGATATTTGTATGATAGATATGAGTGATGATATGCGTGCAGCATACTAAAAGTCTACACTGCGCTGGTTTACAGTCCGGAACACTAAACAGTCTAAAACCTGATACTCTACCAGCTACATGCAGTGTAGGAATTCCGATTGCTACACGATCATGCAGATTTCTACTCAGTAACTCAGCCAGCACTGCCCGATACCCAACCGAGCTTCATTCCGCAAAATACGGTACCCACAGAGAGAGAGAGAGAGAGAGAGAGAGAGAGAGAGAGAGAGAGAGAGAGAGAGAGAGAGAGAGAGAGAGGGGGGGGGGGCAAGAAAGGAAAAGGTAAGGAGGGAGAGCGAGATGGAGCGGAGAGAGGAGAAATCTCCCGGAGAGGGAAGGATAAAGAACGATAGAGGGATAGGCAGATAGAGAAAGAAAAAGAGAGAGAGAGAGAGAGAGAGAGAGAGAGAGAGAGAGAGAGAGAGAGAGAGAGAGAGAGAGAGAGAGAGAGAGAGAGAGAGAGAGAGAGAGAGAGAGTGCAGATCCGACGACATCCCTTGTACCGGTACACCCTGCTTGCCCAACTATCCAAACTGAAACACTGGCAAGGCAATGATAAATCTCACCAGTATAAGATTCCACTGCAAAGTAGTGTCAGTACCAGCTTCTGGTAACAGCGATCATAGTGCAGTCTCATGTACATTGTCAGCAACTACTGGCATGTCCATTGCCATAATGGGAGTGTCAGTACATCACTTTAACGGATATGTAGTACGAGATACAGTAGTAAAATGCGGGCTCTCTGAATACTGCAGGGCATGGTCATTGTCACAGCATCAGCGCCTATTCAACATGACCGCCTGTATTCTATTATTCCGAATCATGCGGGGAAATTCTTCTCAGTTACTTAGCGTCCTGTATGAAATGCAATCTCCGCATCATGTCTGGCTACGGGCGACTCGAAGGAGACAACAAATGGCAAAGCTGCATCGAGGTATTGGGCGTTGAGCATGCATGTATGCAGTTGTCTCCACAATGAGTGTATGATCATCGCGCACGCGCGCGCGCACACACACACACACACACACACACACACACACACACACACACACACGGGATAATGCACACGTGTGCGTGCAACACACTGTATGGAAGAGCATCTACGGCCCCTGATAACAGTGCCGCGCCGCGTAGAGTCTGATCCATGCACGCACGGTCACATTGCCGGTGCAGCATTGCGTACGATGGACTTTAGACCGTGGATTTTGTAATTTGACAGTTCAGTTACAGTGCAACATTGTAATTGTTTCTTTGCATAGCAGGCAGTTAGTTGCCTGTAACAGCAAGAAAAAGAAGAGGTTGAAACATTCCAAACTCCAGTACATCCATTATCAGAACTAGTACAATCAATAATCAGAGCGCTCCCGACTTCTGCAAAGCAGTGTGCAGAGGATTCGCTCGCATCGGAGATAATAATTTAAGCAACGGAGGACGTCCGTGTGTGCATGCGTGGGCGAGTGTGCGTGCGTGTGTGCCCATGTCAGTGCGTGTCGGGCCGATCAGAAAGTCGAAGCATGTATCAACGGGTCGGGGGCTGTGGAAGAATCGGTGTGCACAGCCTGGCGAAAGGGGGCAAGGTTGAGGAAGTTCACCGCCTGGTGGATCGCTTTGTGGAGCCGTTCGTCAGCGAAGAGTATGGTTTTCATCTCAGAGGGTGTGATGTGGTTGTAGCTGCAGGAAAAGGACAGCATAAAGTTGAGGATCACCTATTCATTTTAAGGTAAAGGACAATCCATTCATAACAATGCCGTGAGACAGATAGAGAAGTTCGGTGATAATGAGGCAGGGGGAAGGAGATGCCACGGTGATTGGCGTGATCATGACGACATTTTCGAGGCTACAGATCCTCCATAATTTTACTAGGCTTCGAAGTGATTTTTTTATTCCTGAAGTCTTTTTCGACGATTTTCAATGCCATTGAGAATGGAACATGTGTATGAGTCAGTGGCAGCTGCTGCCAGCTACTTACTCCTCTACATGTGTATGACAGTGCCAGCTGCTGCCAGCTACTTACTCCTCTACATCGTGAATACACATCAACTCCATAGCTCGATGGCGATGTGTTATTTCTCCCAATGCATCTGCAGTGACACCAACCATCATTGCCCTGGGCACAAAGTTCAGCAGAGTGTGCGGCACACAGACAGGCAGACAGACAGACAGACAGACAGACAGACAGACAGACAGACAGACAGACAGACAGACGGACAGACAGAGATAAATAGATAGAAAAGATATACAGGTGGAATCCTGATAATTCGAACCTCAAAATCCCAGGAAAAACTTCTAAATATCCGGACATTCTAATTATCCAAACATGAACCCACAACACAAGAATGTATGTCAAAATGCTCTCATGGTCACGCAGAGTTGCGCTATGGACCTTAGACACAGATTTCACGGATACTGAACTGACCGGCACAGCCTGCTCATGCAAACTGAACTGACCAGTACAATGTACAGTGAACTTCGAGTTACACTTTGCTAACTTCGAATCATCAGCACAAATCCCACACATTTTCTATGTAAGTGGAATCTGTGGGACTTCGAATTAACCGGACATACCCAGTTCGAGGTTCGAATTATCAGAACTTTTTATGCGGGACTCGTATTGATAGAAATTGGTCCTGGAAAAACTTCTATTTAAGCGATATGTTCGAATTAAGCCATATTCGAATTATCAGGATTCCGCCTGTATAAAAAATGATAATACATTACACAGCAATGCCGGAATCAAACACGTCTCTTTCCGCTGTTACTCCGAGTTTCGTGTTAAAAAATGATAATTTGGACAGACATGAAATGCAATAAAAAACCTGCTTCAGAGTTACATCGGCACATCGTGCCTGAAAGGTCAGGGGAAAATAAGCCTGGGCTGATTCAACCCTAGGCTTACGTTAAGGCCGTATCACACTACGTTCTCCGACTCCCTTTTATGTCTACGTCCTTGGTGAAAAATCCAAAATGGGTGGTCGTATCATCCCACAGGCAGAGTTCTTGACGGTGACCCGTACACACAGTCACGTTTTTCGGAGAAATTTGAAAATTTAAACGCATGTGCAAGGTCGCTCGGGAAAAGACTGGGAGAGATACGCACGTTCACCCGTTTTAGTTCAAAAATAGTTGTATACCCCCCCCCCCCCCTCCTTCTCCCTACCACGTCTACGTTTCCCGTTTCCTCTGCTCCCGTTTCACCCTGTACACGGATCATCATGACAACCGACCAAAAACTCCTTACGTGGACATAGATGCAGCGCTTTGTACCGTAGTGTGATGACAGCTTGATGTGTCACACAGTTATTTTAGAGAGCGCGTTTACATGGTGAGACGGGCTTATTTGGCTCACCCCGAGCTGAACTAGCCCTACCCTTGACCCCGAGCTTATCCAATCCCCGGGCTTATTTTGTCAGGTAAGGGGCACGAAAATAAGCCCTGGGCTTATACCGTATTTTCCCCATTAAACGTGCACGTCTCCATGACTAGTACGTCCCCAATTGTAGTACATGTTGGGTGTGGATCGAAAATATAAAAGGACACGTCTCTAATAATAGTACATGCCGGAATGATGTGATGGGCATTAGTGGGGTACAGATACCAGGGTCCACCTTACTTCGTTTTTCTTACCCGTTCATCATCTTTGTGTCTTTGTACACTGATTCTTACCATGGTTGGGTGTATTTACAGCCTTAGGCTGTGTTTACATGAGAAATTTCAACCCGGGTCGAGTTCAGCCCGGGTTGAAAGTCTGTACGACAAACAAAAGAGGTGAGTGTTTACATGAAGACAGTTGACCAGGGTCAAATACTGATATGCCGCCAAAAGTCCACTTCTACAGTCCTGTATGGTCACGTGAATCCGTTCGCGCGAAATTTGCATCTGCAGTGCTGTTCAAACCTGGCGCGAGATACGCACAGAAGTACGTTTGTACGATTTTCTTGACCCGGGTTGATTTCAACCCTCCCCTTGGGGGGAGGGTTGAAATCAACCCGGGGCGAAATTTCAACCCGGGTCAAGCGCAATGCGTCATGTAAACGCGCCATTCACTTTGTGCACATGGCGGGTTGAAATCTGACCCGGGTCGAACTCAACCCGGGTTGAAACGCTTCATGTAAACACAGCCTTAGGGGCCGGTCACGTTGAGGGAACAATCCTCAGATTATAAACCGGGAATATTTTTTCTTCTTTTCATCACGGCCACACTGCATACGCACGACGAAAAAATCTCACTCACGCGAGCAATTTTTTTGTCACCACTCGCTTCTGGCAGTCTGTCAGCCCCGCTCCTGGGCCAGAGCTGCATCAGCACAGCCTCTAGAGTATCACTCCACTTCAGAACGCAATAAAAAACAAGGAAACTCAAAGAAATCCAGTGGAAGCCGTGGAGGATTATAATCTTCGGCGGACAAGCGGGGCCTCGAGCTGATTTTCATTGAGTGGATTAAATCTCTCAAATCTCCCGCTCAGCGGCAAATATCCATGGTGACCATGGATTTTTTCAAAAATTTCCCTCAGTGTGACCGGCCCCTTACAGCATCATTATCACGAGTTGTTTGCCATCCAACCCAGGCAATCAATCTTTCCAGAAACAATAAAAGTACACATCTCCAATACTAGTACAGTCTCCTATAGTAGTGCAGGTCTGACAACTCAACCCGGGTTGAAACGCTTCATGTAAACACAGCCTTAGGGGCCGGTCACATTGAGGGAACAATCCTCAGATTATAAACCGGGAATATTTTTTTCTTCTTTTCATCATGGCCACACTGCATACGCACGACGAAAAAATCTCACTCACGCGAGCAATTTTTTTGTCACCACTCGCTTCTGGCAGTCTGTCAGCCCCGCTCCTGGGCCAGAGCTGCAACAGCACAGCCTCTAGAGTATCACTCCACTTCAGAACGCAATAAAAAACAAGGAAACTCAAAGAAATCCAGTGGAAGCCGTGGAGGATTATAATCTTCGGCGGACAAGCGGGGCCTCGAGCTGATTTTCATTGAGTGGATTAAATCTCTCAAATCTCCCGCTCAGCGGCAAATATCCATGGTGACCATGGATTTTTTCAAAAATTTCCCTCAGTGTGACCGGCCCCTTACAGCATCATTATCACGAGTTGTTTGCCACCCAACCCAGGCAATCAATCTTTCCAGAAACAATAAAAGTACACATCTCCAATACTAGTACAGTCTCCTATAGTAGTGCAGGTCTGACCATCTTTGAAAAAATAAAAGTACTGTACATTTATTGGGGAAAATACGGGTAGGCGAGTTTTTCTGTGTTTTTCGATTTTGCCTCGTGAACCTGAGAGGATGTCGCCGCGGACAGTGCGTCTCTTTTATTCCTGTAGCTATGCAGAAGACGTTACTTCAGTAACGTCTGGCGCTAGCCAGGGTCCACCCAGCTTTAATTTGGTGCTTGTGTGTTTGTGTCACGCCTGGCGCTATCCCGTATCTGTCCCGTACCGTACCGTACCGTACCATCAAACACAGCTGGCCACATACAGCTGGCCGCACTATTCAAATAGGGCTTTCAAACGCAAGATCATAACGTGAAGCAACTTGGAAGAATGAGTATGAATGCGAAGTGTATGGGGGAATGCATGTAGGGCGATAGTGCGGGTTCGAATCCCAGGTAATGCCTGAAAAAAAATAGGAAAATTGAAAAATTTATTACAGGCATCTCTATTCTTTTTTTGCCGTCATCAAGGCGGTAGATGGTGTCGTATTACCCTCGACCGTACCTGTCCCGTACCGTACCGTACAATCAAAGACGGCTGGCCACAATGCATATTCAAATAGGGCTTTCAAAATCAAGATCATAACGTGAAGCAACTTGGAAGAATTAGGATGTATGCGAAGTGTATCGGGGGATGCATGCAGGGCGATAGTGCGGGTTCGAATCCCAGGTTATGTCTAAAAACAACAAGTAAAAATTTATAAGAATTTATAACATCCCTATGCTTTTTTTGTCTAGGTCATCAAGGCAAAAAAGCATAGCGTAGGGCCCTGAGCTTCCAAGCTCTCGTTTCTTCCTTGGCAATTTTTCTTCTAGTTTTTTTGTTCAGTGGAAGATTCACTTTCCCGAAAATAAGCGACAATCGGAAAGGCTGTAGAAGCGCGAGTCGGCACTTCTTGTTCCCAGTTTCATCACACACAGCCATTTACCACTGCGTTCATGTGCGATTTGAAAATAAAAAGCATGCAGAACTCGCATTCACTCACCTGAACTCAGCCTCGTACAGCTGTCATATAAATGGTTGAAAAATAAGCCCGAAGCGAATAAGCCCGGGCTTAATTTTCTCATGTAAACGGCAAGTGTGTTGGCTAAAGGCACACATGCACTTATACATATGAATACATACAATGAATACATATACCAAGAATTACTCAAATCTGTGGACAGCAACTGTTTCGCTCTGTTAGAGCTCCTCAGGACCGAAGCGCAGCTCTTCGCAATGAAATACGTTTCCGTGAAGCAAAGCATTTTTATAAATAGCTGCAAACCCCGCCAAGAGTGCTCGAAATGCTCCAAGAGCAGTGAGCGTTGCACAAGGTGAGCGGCAAGGGTTCGCGCTAAGGTAAGAGTGCTCAACCTAACGACATTGCTGACTGCTAGGGAGCATAATACTCAAATCTGTGGACAGCAACTGTTTCGCTCTGTTAGAGCTCCTCAGCACAGCTCAGAGGACCAAAGCGCAGCTCTTCGCAATGAAATACGTTTCCGTGAAGCAAAGCATTTTTATAAAGAGCTGCAAACCCCGCCAAGAGTGCTCGAAATGCTCCAAGAGCAGTGAGTGTTGCACCAAGAATTACATAGCAGACTCGGTGGAGGACGTTCAGGTTGGTTGTAACTCTGAGTTTCATGCCGCTAGGCAATCATCATACAACTGGTACTCGGATATACCCAACAGTATGCTAATCAACACATATGGCCACAAGCATAAACAAATTTAGCGCTAAATCTGGTGTAAGGTATGGGGAGAAAGCTGGCGTGGGCCAAGGCGCGACAGTAGAAGTGCCAGGAGGGTGGCGGGCAACAGGCAGCATGAAAGCGCGGACAGAGGCGATGGGGAGGCAGTGTACAGCAGATGAGTGGAGGTGCCAGGAGGAAAAGTACTGTACTGCACTTTGCCTGAGCACCCCAATATCAATTACCGTACTCGCGCGATTAGTGCCCCTGGGGCACTATTTTCAGTATTCACAGATGGGGCAGTATTCAAGTGAGGGAACTATTTTTTCATTGCTGGTACATTTGCATCATCCAGCATAAAACAAAGAAAAACAGAGCCTAAAGTGTACTGTAAACGCTCACGACTCCACAGAAACGGGAACAAGACCTGCGATTTTGTTCCTGAAAACAAAAGTGCCAAGAAATGGCCAAGAACATTAGCAAAAGAACACCAAACTTGCACATGGGCTTGGTTACAAGACCGGGGGGGGGGGCACTATTCAAGAGAGGGCTTTATTTTTCACTGGCTCTTGGAGACTAGGGCACTATTCGAGATAGGGCACTATTCAAGAGAGGGCTCTGATCGCGCGAGTACGGTAATGACACAATCCCCTGTTGTTGGCTATGCCACTCTGCTCGCGCCTTCCCGTCACCCAAATACCCCCTAGCGATCTCACTGGCCCATTGCCCGCGGCCATCCTCCTGGCACCTCCACCCATCTGCTGTATACCGCCCGCCGTCACCACCACCACCACCACTACCACCGCACAAGCACACACATCTTTGCTCTAACCTGCCAGAATCCGATGCTCTTCTCTTCAGATCAGAGGATTTTGCTCGCTTGGCTTTTGGATTTTTGGACCTTGAGGCAGCAACGTTCGACTCGGCCGAATCCGAAACCATTGGGACTTGCTCATCTGGAAAGTCTATGCCGCACATGGGCTCGGAGTTATCCTTGATATGAATATTGCCAGACGTAGGTTGTCTTGGCGTTTCCGGAAAATAGGCACCATGATTCACGAGAAGTTGGCCATAAGACGTGATCTCCTCCTGCATGTCCAGGACATCTTTTACCTACACAGAACCACAGGGCAGCAGCAGCCACAGAACCACAGGGCAGCAGCAGCAACAGCAGCAACAGCAGCAGACGTAGAAGTAGAGCACACATACACCCACAGCACGCACGAGCATAGCATAATACACATTGCCAGGCCAAGTTAGAATATTCTTCGCAGTTCGAACAAACGTAATAGAGTAGCGTGCTCCACTGCTCGAATAAAGCCCGATGATGGTGACTACGTGGAACTTGGAGTTGCAACCCACCCCCCCCCCCCCCCCACCCCTCTCTCTCTCCCTCTATCCCCATCGAGCTAATACCAAGTGGAATAGAGTAGATGAGTCAACTGTGCTGGTGTTGTACATGTAGTTGGCGACAATTCAGTTTACATTTAGTTAGCAAGAAAGTAGTACAATAAGACTTCAGTCTACCCCCCCCCCCCCCCCCCCCCTCCTCCCCCTCTCCCTGCAAAGGCCGTAGCACCTGTACCTTTTAGCCAAGGCACTCCGTACTCCGAATTTATGCGAAGTAATTTTACATAAGAAGGAGAGCCTAGAGAGGGGTCCGGCAATTCCGGACTTTTCACGCCAGTTTGCCAAACCTTTCTTTGAAGCAGTGTTATGCAGGATTGTGTTTTTATAGCCCGGCCAAAGTAGGTTAAACCCTGGAAAAATAATACGGAAAGCTTCACAGTACGGTAAAGGACGAATGTGCAAAATCCTTTAAAACGGCAGCAGCTCATACTCACGACCTGACTGGGTGTGACCTCAAACTCAGCCATGCTGTTTTCCGCTCCGCACCTCTTCCATAGGGTGTCGAACTGGACAGGGCGCAGCACAAACAAACATGCACAGTGCTGTGTGCTGTGTACTGTGACCATAGACAATACAGTACAACAATCAAGAGTAGAACTTTTTCATGAGCACAGCCGCACCCTATACATTGTATTAAGCCCAGATACATCCTAACTGAAGCTGTGAACCTCATGCCAGATGTGATATGCTCATAGTACTCTCGCTCGCTCTCTCTCCCTCTCCCTCCCCTCCCTCTCTCCCCCTCCCCTCCCCTCCCTCTCCCTCCCTCAGGCCCCCTCTCCCTCCCTCTCCCTACCTCTCCCTCCCTCAGGCCCCCTCTCCCTCCCTCTCCCTACCTCTCCCTCCCTCCCCCTCCTCTCATCTGCTCTTTGTCTGAACAGTGCATGAAATAGAGGTCTGCTCAATGTTTGTGATAACGGTTATACAGGAGCCACGCACAAGCATATTCCTTAGTGTCGGCAAGGATGATGGATGTAGTGCAAGAACGTCCTTGAACTCAGAATCTTTAGGTAGGCATCATGGGATGCATCTAACGTACACGCAACAGGCACGCACAGCCGAGTGACCTGCATTGTATAATATTGGAACCCTACTAATACACACAGCGCAAAGTAATAGCTGCCACCATGCCGGATACTTTCAAGTCGCATCAGCTGATAGCATCCCGGCTGAGCCATTGCCTGATCCGGGATTTGTCCATTTTAAAAGTGAGTCACATTGCCGATATACACAGTTAGCATAGAGTTGTTACAATCGGTGGCTACTGACCAACTCAAGTGCGGCTGGCTAGCCATCTGTTCCATAAGCCTTACACTGTACAAAGCTGTCAAAATTTCGACTCCAACTTCATCGCCCAAGAATTCGCAGCATGCTGGAGTAAGAATACATGTACATATATGCACCACAAGCAGGCAGGCAGGCAGGCAGGCAGGCAAGGAGACAGTGTAAGGCAATCGCACACAATGGCATTATACCTTCCTACCCACTTTCAGGCACTACCCTAAACTGTTAACAGTTCCAAGCAGGAATGCTCTTCGATGTGGCATTTCACCCATAGTTATAAGTTGTGGCAAAGTGCTGGAAGCTGGCTGTCAACGCATCTCTATGTGTGCAGATGGATAGTAGCGCCATTTTGAAACGCTAATATGTGTTTTCGCTCCTCCATGGGCTACTGTCGTGGCCGGCTGTCACTAGGTCAAGTTACCCAAGCATGGCTGCACAAAGTACACAATCAGTCATGCTCCTACGCATCATTTATGCAAAGGGCCGTTCGGTCTCATTTGTCTTTCCTTAGTTCTGCCTTCATCTTCAACAGGACATGGAAACACCAAGTTGGTACACCACTCCGCCATTTCACTGCATCATCACTGCAACTGAAATTATTTTTTCTCCAAATTTTTGTCCTTGGGGCTTCATACCTAATTAAAAGCCCATAGGGAAAAAATTTGGAGAATAATTTGGCGTGCCCTAACAACCCGTACTATGTACTTTGTTGTCTGAATTTCCCTTATCTTCATACTGAAACCTGATAGTTATTAAATTAATCTTTTTGAAATGGACTGTAATATGGTGTAGCCGTCCGATGATCCCAGCAGAGACCGTTCAACATTTCCTTCAGACTTTCGAAATTCACGCTTCCTGTGAATCCACACGGGCGGGTGGGAATCAGCCCCCACTGTAACCCACACACTTCACGTACAAACTTCGCACGCCGGGAGCTCCAAAAAAGTCAAAGTCCTAACATTTCCGCTGGTTCGAGGGAAAAAATGCAAACGGGAAAAGTCTGAAGAAAAAATTGGCTGTCACCAGCAGGACTCAAACCAGGGACCTTCGCTTGAGGCCAGGGATCACTGAGCTACTAGAACGGCGATTTTAATCGCACTTGCAGTGGAGGACCTTGGTTGTCAAGGCGTTGAAGAGATGTTGAGAGATGTTGAGAGATGATTGATTGGCTGTAGTGGAGCCTCTGAGCATTACAGAAAGTCACTCAGGTCTAACAGTTATCTCATGCTTATCCCACAACCACCCCTGCTGCTGCTGGTGCTGCTTCTGCTGCTGCTGTCGCTGCTTCACTCACATCTCAGAATGAATGCATCACTGTCGTGTGTTATCAGAGCCAAGCGGTACATGTAGAAAGGAAACTCCAGCTGGCCGCGCTTCGGGTGTACAATGTACTAAACACGGAAGAACAGCACAGACACACAAATAGCATGACGATCACATTTGTGTGCATTATTATTGATTGACACGCTCTTTCACAGCCGATCACCCGCATCCACAGGATGCTAGTACATGTGTTGTCTCAGCAGCAGAATATGTTGTCCCTTGCAATAAAAAATGTGTTCCTTTCAATAATGACTTGTCCCCTGAAAGAACAATGTGTACCTTGCAAGAACTACCTTTTTCAGTAGAGGTCTCCCCACTCCATGCATCTACACCCTGAGATGCATAGAATATTTCACAGCTTTTCCACCACAACGGGTCTCTTCAACCACAACGGGTCTCTTCCACCACAACGGGTCTTTTCCACCACAACGGGTCTTTTCCACCAGGTCTCTTCTACTTTAGAGGTCCCATAGTTTCACTCCATAGTCACACAGTCTGTTCCGAAGTTCCAGAGCACGCTGAACAGAATGTGCTCAGTAGCAGGATCTACACTGTTTTTTACAAGATGTTTTGCCTGCTACTCAAGTTCTGTGCCGTTTGAGCACAATCTCCGGACACTCATCCCCCAAGGGCAAGGAGTAATTTGAACGCCGGGGGTCGTACTGTCTGCAGTAGTGCTTGTCACTACCACCACCACCACTGGCAGGCCGTCCATGCTACTTCACTGAACTGATGGGCCGGACCCATTTGCAGACCGTGAACACCAGGCTGTCTGCAATGGCTGAGCAGGTACCACTACATTACAGCACCATACCAGTGCTAACTAGGGGCCCCGGTCACGCATGCACTGGGGGTTCCGCTTCGGCGTCGAAATTCCGCAACAGAGAGCCTGGTGTTGCTCCAGCGAACCCACGTGCGTATGGTCACACATACAAACAGCGCAAATCCTACAGTTTGGCGGAAAATGAGAGTAAAGTGGACTGTGGTGCATACGGTACGGAGAAGAGACGAGGTCAATGACTATCTTGCGCAATTTCACGCATTTTGTTGCATGGACATCATACGCTTGCAAATTTCTCATAGCAAGTCCATACACAGCAGACCGTGGTGTTTTCCGCTGAAGCGAAACCGCAAAAGCGACAGTCTCGTTTCGAAAATTCCGGAGGAAGCGGATTGGAGTTTCCGCTTCAGAGGAAGTTCCGCTTTTCGCCGTTGCCATGGTATTTTTCGCTCCTGCGACGTTGCTTCAGCGGATCCGCTACTTTCGAGTGCATGTGTGACCGGGCCCTAAGCAACATAATGCGTATGTTCATAATATTATGTATGCAAGTTTGGGAAAGTTACGAAAAGTCCTCAGGAAAACATACATGCCAAAGCCTGTCCAAGATAACATCGACGATTGAGCTATACCCTTGAGGGAGGAAGTAGTAGAAGTACTTGGTGAACTGACTCTTCGTCATCACCAAGTCGGTCGCAACGAGGCTGAACGTCTGCAGCATGGATTCTAGTTGTGGAACGGTGTCTGCAGTAGCAGGTATATGCACATGGGAACACACACACCGGCACACATTCAACACACACATTCAACACACACACACACATTCAACACACACACACACATTCAACACACACACACACATTCAACACACACACACACATTCAACACACACACACAAACACACACACACACACACATTCAACACACACACACATTCAACACACACACACACACACACACACACACACACACACACACACACACACACACACACACACACACACACACACACACACACACACACACACACACACACACACACACACACACACACACACACACATTCATTCAACACACACACCACACACACATATTTTCAGCTGCTATCGAGATTTGTCAAGAAGTCATCAGGCGTTTGGCTGCTTTGGCAGAAGATCTCCATATAACCGAGCCAGGCTTCAATAGAAGCATGTGACTCGCTACAGTATCACATTAATCAAGTTGTGCGCTGGATGTCAGAGTGGAAACTCCGCCCCAATGTGTCGAAAACGGCAATCCTTTGTATCCCCCCCCCCCCACGACCCTCCAGTGACCTCACCCTCCTCAGGAGTCGACTTTTTACTTTCCCTGACGATCCCATTGCTATCAGCATAGTTAAAAATCACAAACACCTTGGTATATTTCTTGATGAACACTTGTTCTGGGATTCGCACGTAACATATATTGAAAAGCGAGTTTGCTCCGCTATAGGCTGCATTTCTTCTCATATTTCCCATCTGCACCATGGTTGTCGAATACAAATGTATCACTCCTATATTCTTCCTTTGTTTGATTACTGCTCTCTCGTTTGGTCCTTTGGTCTATCCTCTGCTCTTATGCATCGGTTAGAAGTCACGCACCGTAAGTTGCTTCGATTAATATTCCGTATGCCCCCTCTAACCTCCTCTCAGACGCTATACATTTTGGCTTCCTCTTCCCCTCTTTCAGCCGGAACGCTTTCCCCACTCAGCATGTAAATTCATTCACCGCATTAAGCTTAAACTTGTTCCTCCGCATGCACTTGCGCATTTAAGCTGGTTCAATAACAGCTCACCTACTACAGTCCATTCACAAAAAGATAGGCCCTGGCTCTGGCGAGCTCCCGTATTAGGCGATTTTTCAAGATTTTACCGTACACAGTACAGTGCAGTGCTGTGAAATTTGAAATTTGAAAAAGGGTCCAAAAAGGGTACCTGAACTGGGGTTCGAACCGTACAATGCACTGTTGCAGGCAGGGTCAAACGGCCTGGATTTTGATGGGTTTTTCCCAATTCAGTGCTCTTGGAGCAAAACCTGGCCGAAATCCTATTCTTGCTATGGCTTGCTTTTTGGAGAAATAGACTTCAGAAACATAATTGGAAGAGGATTCCATAGGGGATTGCAGAAAAAATTCTAAAAAAACTCAATGTTTGACCCATTTATGGCCAAAAGCTAGAAGTCTATCTTTTTCTGAATGGACTGTAGATGTTCTGTCCAGTTCCCACTTGCCAGATCATCGATCCTTTTAAAATCCCCTCTATTCAAGTCCTATTTGCCTTGGTCTCGGCTTTCGCAGGAGGTAAAATCCCGTGACACCTATGCTGCATTTTGTTCCGGCATTCTGCACGCGCCTACCTAAGTTGGATCGACGACGGTAGTTAGTACTCCTTTTGTTTTGCTTTCATGGTTCTTTTTCTCCTTCTTTTTCTCAGTTTTCCCCACCATGGCTGGTTAAAATTGCCCGCATCACATGTTTATTGGCAATATGTCATCGTGATTGTGGAATAATAATAGTAATAAAAAAGATGTCGCCGACTTGTTAGGCGGACATGCTGTGCCATTCCCAGAGGTGCAGATCAACATGGGTAAGGGCGGTTACAGAGTCTTCACCTCTCTCGCGACGCCCTCCGCCAGAGGGTTTTTAGTAGTACACCGTACATTTTCTGCAGATTTCATGATCTGCACTCTGATAAGGCCCTTGACGGTAACGCCGCTGATTGGTCGTCTCCTAGACAACGACCAAGACCTCGTCCTAAATGCCAAGAGTACTTCATCTTTACTCAATGACCAAACATCCAATGCTGTTGGTGTTACTCAATCAAGGCGTTACTGGAAATAATTGAAATTATTGTCAGCCAAACATAGCCTGTCTCTAGCAAAGTTCCTCTACTTATCCCGAACAAACGGTGTGTCAAATAAATGATGTGTTGAAATTCCCGACCGTCTAAAGAAACTTGAGAAAGCGCCTCCTGCCACCACTTCCGCTGCCACCAACTTGTCACTGGATCTGGTGCCACTTTACGAGTTCCCAAGCATACTTGCGTCGCGACACAAAAAAAACACCTAGTTGCACGCTTTACAACAGCCATAACTCTCCTTCACCTGCTCGAACTTAGCCCAGGTTATAGATTTGAACTCCTGAAATCCTAAGCTTTCAGCTGATATCAAATTCGATAGGGCAGGGGTGGATCCAGGGGGGCGGGGGGGGGGGGGGGGGGGAGGTGTCCTGGGGTTCCTCAGAACACCCTGAATTTCGCAAATGTACTATTGCCAGTATTGGAAACCATATACACGTACATGTCCATGTATATGTACATGTATCAGCTATTCTGAGTCTTGGCTAAACTGGAACCCCCTTGTAGAGGTCTCTGGATCCGCCCCTGTAGGGTTTACTAAAAGTTAGTTTTGACCTGACCTGGTCAGTACAGTGATCGTCATCACGGTGTCAGTACATTCAGCCATGCAAACGTTCGGTACATGCAGTCATGCAAACGTTCTGTACATTCAGCCATGCAAACGTTCGGTACGCACAGCCATGCAAACATTCGGTACATGCAATCATGCATTGTTCTCACTTACATCCAGTGGCCGATGTCAGCCACATGATTGTTTTCCTGCCCAGATGAGCCTCCATGCTGACACGGGGTTTCTGGGCGCCTCCAAAATGGGAGAGTGCTGAAAAGGATACAGGCATCATGTTTAGAATGATGATCAGTTCTTAGAATGATGATCAGTTCTTAGTTGATCTGGTACCATGGTTGGTGCAGCAGCTCCTGCTATCACTGCTATTGCTCCTCCGCAGTCACATTGCACAACATACATCTGAAGCATCAGATGTGATAGGAATTGAGGTATGAAAGGGGGGGGGGGGAGTAGGGTGCATCGCATTGCAAAGTACATTGTATAATGTATACAAGAGTGCAGGTAGTTAAACGTATCGTACCACACAGAATTCTATCAGAGCTGTTGACTGGCATCTGCGGCATACACGTACACATGTGCAGAGGGCAATGTGCAGGGGGTAATGTGCAGGGGGAAATGTGCAGGGGGTAATGTGCAGGGGGTAATGTGCAGAGGGTAATGCCCTAGGGCTGTGACCCTGGCAAAGGCTGAGCAGTACCTACCCTTGCCCAGAACCAAGTCAATACGATAGTCTTTCTCAACGGAAGGAGGCATTGCTACACTCAGCTCCAGTGTCACAGGACTGATGCCTACGTGATGACCAGCGTTGAAGCACTGGTCGCAGAAGTACACCTTCGATCGAAAGGCACCGGAGTATCCCTAAGGCACATGTACCGTACACCACACACCACACACCACACACCGTCACGTATCACATGTATCACACATACCACACGCGCGGCACACCGAGCCCATGCATAGTCACAGATCACATACAGTTGACGCGGGTGAACATTTAGTCAGCGTAACCTTGTGTACACACTGGCATCCAACTGCATAGTACCATACATTTCATGACTTATAAACCAAATTAAAAAACGAGAGTCCACTTACAACTGAGGGTAACCGCTATTGATCATGTCAAGAGTAAACAAATCTTCCAAGAGTGTGCAACTCTGGATACCCTCTTTATGGGGTCCACTGATGGCGAAAACTCACATCACGTCGTGGTATAGTGTTCCCAATGTACGTTGCCAGTCCGTTTTTAGGAACTGGTCGACTGGCAAAGTAGTAAAAATAGCACTCCCTCACAGAAACCCACTCGCTTACGCTGATCATCATCATGATCATGGCAGATAGTCGGACTGTGCGCATGCTGAGCTTCGTTGTACATACTTGTAGTAGATCTACGTACCTGGAGCACGTGATGTGAGTTTTCGCCATCGGAAACCCCATATGCAGATCAAGAGCTTCTTTACTCCTGACCACATAGATATTGAACCGGCAAATCAAGGCCTTGGAAGTCCACATGACCAGGAAAATGCGGTATGTGGTGCACAGGGAAGAACCCGTCGCCTAGTTTGAACACTCACTCACACATGGCCTCTTTGCTGCAGAAAACCCTTTATACTGATTAACTAAATTTTCCCGATGAATCCCAATCGCGTCACTCTGAGGTTGGGGCATGCCCAAATTTTCAAAGTCAAGCCTTGAAATCATCCAGAAAACAGTAACACCACACAGACACAGGAGTTAGAGTCTGGTGGAGGATGATGGCGAAAGTCATTTTCGTAAAATCCATTTTGCAATGTAAGGAGGATTGCACGATCGTAACACATATCTACACTGGGCTTGGGACGAATCCGGGACGGAGCATCCCGGATGATGAAAAGTAGGGCGGTCGCCTTGGTGTCCCCTGCTTCAACATCCTGCCCGGCAACTGGACACTCCAGTGATACTACTTTGCTGCACACTGGCTAGATACTGGCTAGATGCACGGTTGGCCAGGACACCGTGAGATAACAATCATGGTAGCATTGGATGTCGGCTCTATAGGCACTCTTCCGAACAACGCCTTGTCCACCCCCTCGTGACTTAGCACCAGTGATAGTTGTGTCAGTAGGGTTCATAACACCTCTGTTCTACACTATTCCATTCGTGTTGATTTGTCACACATGCCGGATAGTTCGTTGAGTGAACACACATTGCGCCTATATATTCTATAAAACAATATCATTAAATTTTAGTTTAACCCATTTCATTCAATATCTGCCTCTCCTCTGACGAGTTCCCGTCATCATAATGGAACGAAACAAGGCTTGTCAGGAGCAACTTCTAGCTGCTGTGGAGTGTGGCTAGTGCAGTGTTCATGCTGGTGTCCGCAAGCGTCATCTGGTCTCGTCTTGTCACAAGAAAATCTACAGACCGCTACTTAATTGACGGCCCTGCTGGAGATGGCATCAACAACTTAAAACAGGGTATTGGCAAAATATGGCCCTGAATGACACAACTACTTGTAACTGGATCACTTCTCCAATACTCACCATATGAGCCAGTCCCATGATCGGACACTTGGCACAGTGTAGGCAAGTGTAACCACGGTTACGCTGAAGGCTTTCTGTGCATAAAGAACACCAGCAAACAAAACACTCACACACGTACCATGATGTGAACAAAACACTCACACACGTACCATGATATGAACAAAACACTCACACACGTACCAAGATATGAACAAAACACTCACACACGTACCATGATATGAACAAAACACTCACACACGTACCAAGATATGAACAAAACACTCACACACGTACCATGATATGAACAAAACACTCACACACGTACCAAGATATGAACAAAACACTCACACACGTACCATGATATGAACAAAACACTCACACACGTACCAAGATATGAACAAAACACTCACACACGTACCAAGATATGAACAAAACACTCACACACGTACCATGATGTGAACAAAACACTCACACACGTACCATGATATGAACAAAACACTCACACACGTACCAAGATATGAACAAAACACTCACACACGTACCATGATATGAACAAAACACTCACACACGTACCATGATGTGAACAAAACACTCACACACGTACCATGATGTGAACAAAACACTCACACACGTACCATGATGTGAACAAAACACTCACACACGTACCAAGATATGAACAAAATACTCACACACGTACCATGATGTGAACAAAACACTCACACATGTACCATGATATGAACAAAACACTCACACACGTACCATGATATGAACAAAACACTCACACACCTACCATGATGTGCATGGATGTGCGTGCAAGCATGCGTACACACACACACACACACACACACACACACGTACCATGACCACCCCAAGGTGCAAGCAAAATCGGTCGCTAAAGCAGAAGCCGGTCCAATACATTCACGGCCCATCGGATTGTGTATGTACATGTACATGACTTGTACTCCCATGTACATAAATATACTTCAGTACTCATATTGAAAGGTGTGTGGAGCATAGAATACTCCCATGCAGGCAAAGCACCCATGAGCTCACACCTCGTTCAAGTGCATGCAGCGCACCCTGCACTTTCACTTGTCACCTCTTTGACTGCATGCACTTGCTTCTGACCGCACTTCAACGGCCTGTTGCAGCCAAGCCTGCCACCCAATATAGCACTTTGGGCTAGTTTTGGTCGCTGTATGCGGGTCAGATATCTGTATGCGGGTCAGATATCTGTATGCGGGTCAGATATCTGTATGCGGGTCAGATATCTGTATGCGGGTCAGATATCTGTATGCGGGTCAGATATCTGTATGCGGGTCAGATAATTATGACACTTGGTACAGTAACAGTTGGTCGCTGGTCGCGCAAGGCAGGTGATCCCTGTATCCGGTGCAGTTTCTGTGTAGAACTGTCCGTGAATGGAAAAGTGGTCGTTAAATACACCTCTTGACTGCGCTATATACTAGCATCAATGCAGTCAATTATTTGCACCTGGGCCAGCGCCCCGTCTTGTGCTAGCTTCTACTCAGTGCTGCCTTTGCTGCTGTTTCTGTTGCTGCTACTTGAAATGCAAGATTCCCAGTACCCCGTACAGTCATGTACTGCATATAATATCCTTTGAATTGACAACGCTAATTTGCACACCCCTGTAGTACCCAGTGCTATTGATGTTAGTTGCATTCTGACGAGTTTGTCTTTAGTGCTATAGTGCTATAGTGCTATAGTGCTATAGTGCTACGGTTGCAGATACACTCCCAACACTCACACTTGCTGTTCCGTTCTCTCACATGTCATGCATCATGCTGTCACATGTCATGCATCATGCTGTCACATGTCATGCATCATGCTCTCACATGTCATGCATCATGCTGTCACATGTCATGCATCATGCTCTCACATGTCATGCATCATGCTCTCACATGTCATGCATCATGCTCTCACATGTCATGCATCATGCTCTCACATGTCATGCATCATGCTCTCACATGTCATGCATCATGCTCTCACATGTCATGCATCATGCTGTTACACCTTTTAGGTCTGTACATAGGCTTGCGTTATGTTTACATGGACAGACGTTCATACTGGAGTTCAAGTAGCCTGAACTCGTACATTGGCGCAGTGAACAGGATCGTGGCCAGGCAGGATGGCAGCAGTCAAGGGTCGACCACCACGAGAACTTGTTGTGGACCCTTCTGCCAACATAGCAGCCAATTTCGACTTATGGCTAGAGGACCTCGAGGATTACCTCGATATTGCTAAGGTCGCTGACGCAGGGGAGAAGAAGCAACTGCTTCTAAACCCGGCAGGACTATCTCTTCGCCACATACTGAAGGGTCTCCAGGTCGCAGAACCCTCTGGTGACCAAGACGCGTACAAAGTCTTGAAGGCCGCTATTCAATCCTACTTTCGGCCTTCTGTCAACACTACGGCTGAGAGACATACATTCAGTAAGCTTATAGACAGCAGCAAGAAGAGTCGGTGACAACGTCCGTGGGACGGATACAGGAAAAGGTGAAGCTATGTGAGTTTGAGTCTACAAGCTTGGATACTCAGTAACTGCCGTCAATGGCCAGGTGCGGGATTAACTGATTGCCGCCGAACTGCACTCGAATGAAATATGCAAGCAGCTACTCGTGAAGCCTCGTCTTAAGCTGGCAGATAGTGCTGTCACAACAGCTGTGGCGTTTGAGTCGTCAATGGCAGACAGCATGCTTTTCGAAACACAACCATCTCACATCTGCAGACTGGACAAGGAGTCCCCAGCACAAATGGCCATGACATCCTACTTCCGGCAAGCAAAGGGCGAGAAAAAATCCGTGGTCGGCTGCCTTCCACACTCCCAACAACACTGAGTACGGACCTCGCATCAAAGGGAATGAAGCTGCAGACGGATGAAGCCATGATCTATCACATATCAGGGACCTGGCACAAGACAGAGTAGTGTGGCGGCGGCTATTCCGCACCCGAGCCTGAAGCGGAATGCCCGGATTTACCCAAATGGAACCTGACATAATGTATGAAGTGAACGGAATGGACAATCTGATATCTTTCTTCCATATCGTTGCCTCCTGGTTTTTTTTCTATCGACCACGCTGCTCGGTGCCCCTTCCTTCACTTTCTCTTGTCTTGACTGTCTTCTGGCTTGTTGAGCGGCCAGAACGAATGCTAGAGGCAGATGTGTATTATGTCGATTTGTTGATTGGTGTAGAACCACACCCTGATGCAAACGCGGAGAGGCAAATAATAATTATAACAGTAATAAGTGAGAGAGACTCCTCAATGCCTTCGGACTGTGCAGGGAGGAAACCTGGCTATTGTGCAACAGGAGGCTATCCAAGGTTCGGTTAAAATTCTAAGAACTGTCCTTAATACCGGTATGTAGATGGACATCTGCTGCGTTGTCATATTCAACAGCCAAGAGACTTGAGTAATGATATTGAAGATAATAATTACACAAATTTAGACTTTTCCCATTTGGGTCTTTCCCTCAAACTAGTCAAAATTATAATTAATATTCTTAATTTTAATTTTTGTGAACCACCAATCCTAACCCGGATTGAGACTGACAAAGATATTTCCTTTGTTATTCCCTTAGCACTCTGACGCTGGCCAGTTTAGGCTTTCGCACTTGGCTACAATTTGCATAGGCCATACCCGAGTCCTGGTGTCGGCTTTTGTCCCTTGTGCTACTTCAGAGCGGACTCTAGAGGTCTCAGTAATACCAAGAGTACATAACCCCAAGAGTGTGCAACTGCCTGCACAACCTCTATGCAGTGCTGCGACGGCAGAACTTCACATCACGTGACATAGTTCAAAAGGTTACACGGGCAAACAGTGCAAAGTGACCACAAGAGAGTTGTACCCAAAGCTGGGCTGCGTACAACCCTGTATCAATCATGCACAGAGTGCAAATAATGTGTACGGGTTCATCACGTGATGTGAAGTTCTGCCGTCGCAGACCCCATAGCTGGAGTTGCACACTCTTGGGGGTTATGTACTCTTGGTAATACACTGTTACCGATTCCGAATCCCAATGTCATAATAAACCCCCTAACAACTTCATTCGGCTCACCAAGTTTCGAGCTTTGACCGATCTCAACGTCCTTATCACTTGTAGAATGACTATCTCTGCAAATTCTTTATTATTGTTTTGACATCGGAGTTCAGATTGAGGTTCTTTCCTTTCTTCCTCTTCCTTCCCCTATTTCTTGTCCCTTTGGCTTTTAGGTTTGTATAGTTCTTCACTTTCTTTTGCTGTCCCACCCATGGAATTATCTTCCCGGTGGGACTGGCTCATCGCCTTCGACAGGAGTGAATAAAGGACATAATAACCATGCACGGGTCACTAGCCTACACTAGGGAGTGTCACAGCGGTGCATGCCGCAGCTCCAGTGGCCAGAATGGGCAAGAACAAACCAGTCTCCACAAAGTGCAAGTATCGTGGCGGATCACATCCGTGGGGTAAAGAAAACTGTCCGGCTGCACATGTTCGGTGCAAACGCTGTGCGCGAGTTGGCCATTATGCGTCAGTTTGCATTAAGAAGGAACATAAGGCAGACACAAGGGCTGTGCAGGAGGACGCTAGCAGTAGCGCGCAGGATGTGACAAAGAACGTCTTTGACTGTGCGCACACTGTCGACGACTCGTCCGGCTACTTCATGACAACCTTGCACGGGACTGCTGGATACTGGTGCTACCGGAACCATCCTGACAAGCGATGTTGCGCAACCAACGCAGCCCAACAGCAGAATTCTCCGAGCGTACAACTGTGGAGTTGTGGACACTCTTGGAATGGCCGATGTTACTATATCATCAGGTGAGCATAGTTTCTCATGCTCTTGCTTCATTGTGCCGAAAGGGTCTCGGCAAGTGCTGTTCGGACAAGAAAGAGCTGGATTTACTGACACAGCCCCAGGCAGTGGAAGCTCACGCTAATGTTATCGACACAAACCCAGTGGCCCTGTCAAGCTAAGCGCAGTACCAGTCACTCAGCCAGCACGCCACCCACCCTACAGTTTTAGGGATGAGATCGAGGCAGAGCAGCAGCGCCTGATCGAATCTGATATAATCGAACCAGAGGCATCAAGATGGGTTTCTCCAATTGTTCCCCGTCCGCAAGACGAATGGTAGTCTGCACCTTCGTAGATTACCGGCAATTGAACAAAAATTAATATAGTCCGTGAACGCCACACGCTTTTTTTTCTTCATATTAGCTACTTTCTTGATTTGTTAGTGCCAATAAAGGCAGCTTTTTGGAAGCGATGTAAAGAAACATTTATAGTAACCGCTAACAACATGATGAACTTCCTTCTTTTCTTCACATGACCAGCTGAGACATACTGTATTGACTCCACAATGCACATTGCATCATAGGCAGTAGGAAAAGGGATTGGTGCAGAGAAGGCAAAATTGCAAAGTGTTCATAGGCTGACTTACGGATATGAGCCAACGGATTCTGGTATTTTCTAACGGCCTTTGGGAAATCCAGTAGAGTGCGAGCAGCATAGTTCAGCCATAAATCAAAAACACAACACACAACACACTCACACATGCATGCTCGCACGCATGTGCCCAGAGGACAAGAAAGCAAGGACAAAGAGTCAGAATCAGCAATGTATGTTTGTATGTGAGAGGTTAGCTGACACACGTTTGCGTGGTGTGGGGAGGTCACAGCTTTCAAGAACTTGAATATAAAAATAGTTCAACATGACATACCTCTTGAACTGAGGCTGGATGGTGGATACGCTTTAGGATGGCAGGTGGTGATTGGTGCAGACTACAGACCTGGACTAATACAATGGTGATTGCCATGGGCTGCCTGGAACAGCACATTGTGATTGCCATGGGCTGCCTGGAACAGCACATGGTGATTGCCATGGGCTGCCTGGAACAGCACATGGTGATCGCCATGGGCTGCCTGGAATAGCACATGGTGATTGCCATGGGCTGCCTGGAACAGCACATGGTGATTGCCATGGGCTGCCTGGAATAGCACATGGTGATTGCCATGGGCTGCCCGGAACAGCATAATTATGGTGATTGCCATCAGCTGCCTGAAACAGCACATTGTGATTGCCATGGGCTGCCTGGAACAGCACATGGCGATTGCCATGGGCTGCCTGGAACAGCACATGGTGATTGCCATGGGCTGCTGCCTGGAACAGCACATGGAACAGCACATGGTGATTGCCATGGGCTGCCTGGAACAGCAAATGGTGATTGTCATGGGCTTCCAGGAACAGCACATGGTGATTCCCATGGGCTGCCTGGAACAGCGCATGGTGATTGCCATGGGCTGCCAGGAACAGCACATGGTGATTGCCATGAGCTGCCTGGAACAGCACATGGTGAGTGCCATGGGCTGCCCGGAACAGCACATGGTGATTGCCATGAGCTGCCTGGAACAGCACATGGTGAGTGCAGGGCCGTAGCAGGCGGTCCGGCAGGTGCCGGACCAATATTCGGCAAAAAAAAAAAAAAAAAAAAAAAAAAAAAAAAAAAAAAAAGGAGCTCACACATGTAAGCAGCTCAGGATGTCCACCCATGATATGTGCAATAAGTAGATGTAGTGAGGTATATAAGTAGAGGTAGTACATGGTAATAGCAAGAGGATAATTAATATTATACTTTGAACTCTAGTAGTACATATCATGTACATGTTGTAGCGAATACCATGTTTGTTTGTTTGTTTGTTTTTCAACAAGTTCTGTTTGGACGGACACAACATGCTGATGCCCTTTTTCCTTACTCATGCAGAACATCCTTCTTCCTTTTCTCGCCCTATGTCACTCTGCATGGTCACGATTACATGCATGTACATACACGTACATGATTGTACAATTATTATTATTATTTTGAAATGACCCAAAGGCAACGTGCCTATCGAGGGGTTCATTTGATTGAAAGAACAGTAGATGTAGATGTATGTACAAAGACAAGTAGGGATTGATGAGGAGAGAAATGGGGAAAATCAACTGCAAGGTGGCGGAATTCCGTTGATTGCATGAGCATGGTCAGCTGTAAATTTCCTGAGGGCAGCTTTGAACTTATAGAGCGAGGCTTCCGATGTTAGACTGGGGGGTAAACAGTTCCATAGAATAGCAGTTCGGAACATGAAGAGAGACTTAGACAATGATTTAAATTTGGGAAGAATGATTTTATTTGGTCGTCGCTCACTATTCGTAATCTTGAAATGGAAATCAGCAAGGTAATCACGATGATGGAAAACATATCTGTGAAAAGTAGTGAGACTGATGATTTGACGACGATAGGCTAGTGACTCTAGGGAGCATTTAGAATTTAAGACAGATTTGGAAGAAGTGTAATCAAATGCAATTTTTTTCTTTTTCAGTAGAGCTCTAGCAAACCTTGCCTGTAATTGATCAAGAGTGGTCATGGGTTTCTTATTAGATCCAAACGACCACACCGTACAGCTATATTCGATCACAGGTCTTACAAACCCTTTGTACAGTATGATCATTGCCGAAGGCGTAAGTTGCTGGGACATTATTGACAGTAGGTGCACTCGATATCTGAACTTCGAAGTTATTGAGGCGACATGTTTGCGGAAATCCAGGTTGTCGGTCAAGGTGATGCCAAGATGTTGCAGTTCAGAAACCACCGTTAATGGCTCATTGTATCATGAAATTTTGTACCTGTACATGTACCGGCATATGTCACGGCCGCTAGCACTACTAGGAGTGTGGGCTCGGGGGGGGGGGGGGGGGGGGGCATCGAGGTCGGATCTTGCCGGACCAACCAAAATGGGGCTGCTACGGGCCTGGAGTGCCATGGGCTGCCTGGAACAGCACATGGTGAGTGCCATGGGCTGCCTGGAACAGCACATGGTGATTGCCATGGGCTGCCTGGAACAGCACATGGTGATTGCCATGGGCTGCCTGGAACAGCACATGGCGATTGCCATGGGCTGCCTGGTACAGCATATGGTGATTGCCATGAGCTGCCTGGAACAGCACATGGTGATTGCCATGGGCTGCCTGGAACAGCACACGGGGAGTGCCATGGGCTGCCTGGAACAGCACATGGTGACTGCCATGGGCTGCCAGGAACAGCACATGGTGATTGCCTTGGGCTGCCTGGAACATCACACGGTGAGTGCCATGGGCTGCCCAGAACAGCACATGGTGATTGCCATGGGCTGCCCGGAACAGCACAGTCATGGTGATTGATACACAAACTAAGGCTGCATGTAGACTGTGCTATCGTCGGTCTTTCTAGCAAAACCTAAACTGATCTCTACTAGCTTTTTTTAAATATCTTAGAATTACTGACATACCGGGGAGTAGCCTGGTAAATCTTCGAGCGTTCCCACATCACATCCACTGGCATAGACCTCTCTGCTATCCGGCCCCTGCGGCACAAAACAAAACAAAAACAAAAAACATGAAATAGATACTAAAAAAATGTTCACCGACCATAATGGGCGAAGCACACTACGGCCAAAATGTGGCGGTGTACGTGGCGTTTTTGTCCGAAAAGCAATGACAACATGGAACGTAGTGGGAGAATCAAACGCCTGATACGAATACGTAGGCGACGTATCCAGACCCCCTGTACTGAGATTCGTTCTGCTGTTCCCGGGAGTAAATAGTTTGTGCCCAAAAAAGGCTGTACACTCTGACTGATCATTCATAACCCCTGCTGTAGCCAGCTTGATATTGAAGGGTGGCTGAGGCTTATTCTCTGCAGAGTTGCGCATACATGCGCTGCTCCATAGCAAAGTCACATTGAGTACGGCATGGAGAACAGCATGGGTTACAGCACGGGTTACAGCATGGGTTACAGCACGGGTTACAGCATGGGTTACCAGCAGCATGGCCAGGTAGGCCTATTGCCATTTTTACTCAGCTACCATTGTCGTCGATAGCGAGAGATAACCAGTGTAATACAGTCCGTATCGCCTATAAGGTTGGCGGCTATAGTAATATACCGGATATAGTGATCAATTTCTCAAATTCATTTTCATTTGCCATAACTAAGTATACACAGTTATCGCGTATAGTAATAATCGTCTATAGTAATATATCGCCTATAGTGATCAAATTCATATTTCAAAAGACTTTTATTACATTATTATTGCATCGGTTATAGTGATTGATGTAAAATCAAGTGATGGCAGAGGAGAACAGGGTGTTACTTCTTCGTGAATAACTTGTCCAGTGAGTGTTGTTTGGTGAGTTTAGCTCGTACAAGTTGCCAAAATATGCCTCCATCATGAGGAAATGCTGATTTTTGTGTGTCAGGAGCTACAGCCAGCTACATGACATTGTACATTGTATGTAGTGCGTATGTGCACGGCACGCTGAGTCGTTTGACACCCCCCTCGCATACATTGCATGCAGTATCGGTCATAGTGATATATCGTTTATAGTGATAAAATGCTCAAAATCAAACACCAACGCTATAGGCGATACTGACTGTACTCCACTGTCGAGCGTCTACATGTTCACACTGCACCCTGCATGAAGAAGACGGTTCTAGTACACTGTTCTGTGGCATTTTCGATTCTGAAAAGGGGGCAGATAGACTGCTTGAATGAAGGCGCATACATCGCCACACTATGTTGCTGGGCATGGTCACGACCCTGATAAGAATTTGAAGGAGGGTAGTACGCATACAGCAGCGCCACGACGCTATGTCGCCTTGGCCACAACCCCGATCAGACTGCACTTACGACCTTGCGAATATTCCTACTCTCCTGTGCCAGGCACTGTGCCGGAATGAAGGGCATAATGTCATCAAGCTGAGGCTCGTACATCGTGAATTCTTCCGGTGCGTTTTATCCACGTCTTAGTCTACTGTTGGCGTTGATGCTGATTCTGCCGCTGCCTGTGTTCAAACAACAAGTACACAACGGCATACAACCGATTCAACATAGAACCGCATTTTTTAGCCCAAATCGATCCGAATTGGATTTTAAATAGTCCAGCGATCATTTTTCCGTGAATGGACTGTAGTTGATGTTTCGTTGACGTTCTGTGTGCCTTGAAATGTTCACGTGTTGCCGTTTCTCCACTTGCACTTGCATACGTACTCGTATATGTGCACCTCAGTTTCTGGCCCCGCTCGTTCCTCATTCCTTCATTCTATTCAGCACATGCGATGGCTAACGAAACTTGCATGGCGACGCCAGTGCGCATTAATCTTATAGCATTATAGTGATAAGTAACATACCTATTCACTGCCTATCCAACACCTGTCACTGGTCAGTCTCCATGTCTCTTCGAAGTGTTGCTAGAACTAGTCGCATTATCAATTCAACTCGGATGGTGAGCCAATTAAATTATGGTGAAAAGAGAAGGACAAAGTGTTACGAGTTATGACTAACTGTTCACCAACGTAACCGGAGACTGAAAAAGATCTGGTTACGTTGGTGGACAGTTAGGGGCCGTTTACATGAGGAAAATAAGCATGGGCTTATTCGCCTCGGGCTCATTTTTCAACCGTTTACATGACGGTTGTACGGGACTGAGTTCAGGTGAGTGACTGCGAGTTCTGCATGCATTTTATTTTTCAAATCGCACATGAACGCAGTGATAAATGTTCGTGTCTGATGAAATTTGGATCAAGAAATGCCGGCTCAGGTTTCTACTGCCTTTCTAATTGTCACTTATTTTTCGAGAAGGTGAAGGATGGGCTAGGACCTTCCACTGGACAAAAGCCAGAAGAAAACATGCCAAGAAATAAATAAAAGAGACGCACTGTCCACGGCCAAGAAGGGCTTATAAGCGAGTTCGAAAAAATCGAAAAATACGGAAAAACTCGCTTATAAGCCCTTCTTGATCGTTTACATGACAAAATAAGCCCTGGGGGTTGGATAGGCTCGGGGGTCAAGGGTAGGGCTAGTTCAGCTCGGGGCGAGCTGAATAAGCCCGCCTAACCATGTAAACGCGCGCTCTAAAATGACTGGGTGACAGATCAAGGCGGGCTTATCGTAAGCCTAGGGTTGAATAAGCCCGGGCTTATTTTTCTCATGTTAAAGGGGAAGTTAAGGCAAAAATTAAAATTTCACCAGTTGTAGTCTTCGGGGTGCTGAGTCGAATGGTCTTGGTCCGAGAAAGCTGAGACGCTCCTGGGTGCCCAAATCACCTGGTCACCACGCCAGCAGGCGACAACTTTCACACCAAGGTTCAACTCGAGTTCAACTCGAGTGACAGGACTGCACCCAAAAAAGGTCAAACAGGCTAGTAAGTTGTACCCTGCAGGCACGGTGACCAGATGACTGGTGTACGCAGGAGCACGTGACCGCTTGTTCAACCATGTTCGATTGGGAATAAAGGAGGAACGCTGCATCGCAGCATTTTCGGACCAAAACCAGTCGACTCAGCGTCCAAAAGACTACAACATATGGGCCAATTGCAGTCATCCGTGCTTTTATAAGAACGAAATGGCGCTTTTAGTGACATTTTGCATACAAATCCCCATCTAGTAGGGCGCAGTCACCCAGTTTCGGTGGAAGTGCGCGAGTTCGATTGGGATTCAAGTAGGAAGGGAGCGTCTCAGCTTTCTCGGACCAAGACCATTCGACTCAGCACCCCGAAGACTACAACTGGTGAAATTTTGATTTTTGCCTTAACTTCCCCTTTAGCGGCCCCTGAGTCATAACTCGTAACATTTTGTCCTCCTTTTTCACCATAATTATCAATTCAAATATTTATTACGGTGCTCCTGCCCACACATGAGGCTGTCCGCCCACATGCATCCGAGTAAGTGATTGTTCCACTGGTATCCAGGGGTACATCACATGCATCCCACTCTCCTCGGCAAATGCGTACAAGAAGATGCTTATAGAGAGCACAGAGCACCTAATCAAACGCATGCGTTGGAAGGCGCTATTCTATCTCAACGGCCAGAGCGCCCAGCAGAACGATCATCCCACTACCACCTGCAAAGAAACATACGGGCTCAAGCCAAGGATATGTCCTGCACGGCCTAAAAAAAGTGGAAGTGAATTTGTGGAAGAATTTACAGACCATTATTGAGTGGTTCCGCGGCCTGTCAAACAAGCAAGACCTCTCTTTTCATCTCGTTCGACGTTATCGAGTTCTATCCCTCCATCTCAGAAACGATCTTGCATGCGGCAATAGAATTCGCTAAACAGCGTGTGCCCATCACCCAGCAAGACGAGGACATAATCTTGCATTCGCGGAAATCTCTCCTATTTGGAATGGACAAGACCTGGGTGAAAACGGATTGCGACGGATATTTCGACGTTACCATGGGAACCTTTGACGGCACGGAAACTTGTGAACTCGTAGGAATGCATGTTCTAGGCAAGCTCGCCCCCATCTGCACCAGCCAACGAATTGGCCTTCACTGGGACGATGGATTGGCGGTTCTCAGAAATGCTACCGGCGTCGAGGCTGAGAGAACCAAAAAGAGAATAACAGAAGCCTTCACTGACATTGGCCTATGGATTACCATCACCTTGGCTTCCTCAATGTGTCATTTGATCTGAGCACAGGTAAACACCAACCTTACCGCAAGCCCAACGGCAAACCAGTATACGTCCATACTCAATCAAACCACCCGCGCACGGTCATCCGAAACTTGCTGGTGTCGATATCAAAGAGGCTGTCGGACATCTCCAGCGATGCGGAAACTTTCTCCAGAGCCGCACCACTCTATATTATACGACACCCTAAGATGGAGCGGATATGTGGAGCATGTCGAGTACATCAAAAACAGACCAAAGATAAACAGGAAACGGAGAATTACTTGGTTCAACCCACCATACAGCGTAAATGTCGCCACAGACATTGCTGGCCGGTTCTTAACAATTGTCAGCAAGCACTTCCCAAAGACCTTGCCACTTTCAAAGATTTTCAGCCGAAACGCCTTGAAAACCAGCTACCGCGCCATGCCGAACATGAAGTCCATCATCACCGGGATTCACCGCACATAACAGAATTATCAAACAAGCTTGTGCCACACAGCCAACGGCCACCCTGGCGGAACAAGACAGCGCCCACCCTGGCGGAACAAGACAGCGCCCACCCTGGCGGAACAAGACAGCGCCACCCCTGTAGACACCGCGCTTGTTACCACCTCCAATTGAGCAAACCCAGCTTCTGCAATGCCACATGAAGCAGCGGGAACGGAAGGATGTGCACCAACTGACGCCACCGCCGGAGTCAATGCTCCACAGACGAACTCATTTACACGGCGGAAGTTCACATGGTCTCCAACAGCGCCCCACCCAAAATCTACAGTGGGCTGTCCGAGAACACATTCAAGCAGCGCCTAAACAACCACAGCACCTCATTCCGTCACAAAAAGTACGAGAAAAGCACACCATGCCGAACATGAAGTCCATCATCACCGGGATTCACCGCACATAACAGAATTATCAAACAAGCTTGTGCCACACAGCCAACGGCCACCCTGGCGGAACAAGACAGCGCCACCCCTGTAGACACCGCGCTTGTTACCACCTCCAATTGAGCAAACCCAGCTTCTGCAATGCCACATGAAGCAGCGGGAACGGAAGGATGTGCACCAACTGACGCCACCGCCGGAGTCAATGCTCCACAGACGAACTCATTTACACGGCGGAAGTTCACATGGTCTCCAACAGCGCCCCACCCAAAATCTACCTTGGGCTGTCCGAGAACACATTCAAGCAGCGCCTAAACAACCACAGCACCTCATTCCGTCACAAAAAGTACGAGAAAAGCACACCGCTGTCGAGATACGTTCGGAAGTTGCAGGAGCCGAACAAGGCCTACAGGATCTACTGGTAACAAGTTAGATCCGATGCAGGGCGCATCCCTACACAAATACCACCAAGAGGTGCGGCGGCGGCGGCCTGTGTCTAACAGAGAAACTATACATCAGCAATGCAGACTTAACAAGCACACAGAGCTGGTGTCAAACTGCCGACACGGATCAAAGTTCTACCTCTGCAGCTTTATAACCTAGCACCCTTCCCACATCAGTAGCACCCCGAGTCTGTCCTCTGACTGTGGTTGCCTGTCGTTGCTCCTTATGTTTTGTTCCTGTCTGTGTGCTTTTTTGGGGTCAGAGGGTTGTACCAGTTACAGCCGGATTTCATCTCCCGAGTACTGATTATTGTTGTGTCCTGCTCAAGGCAGACCAACTCTTCGAAAGATGAGAATGAATCATCAGTAAAACGCAATGGCTTTTAAAGGGAAGCTGGCTGCAAAGGCGGCTTGAAAGGTGACATGTGAATGTGTTATGTGCAAGGCGCCAGAGGTACAGCAGTGCAGGGCCTAGGGTGCGAACAGTAGCACTAGCAGCCTGAGTGCCAAGACCCATGCAGGGAAAGGTGCTACAATATCACCACATGCCCCCTCGGCTTAAGTGCGACTTGGGAGCACTAACACAAAGAAAATCCTGAAACTGAAATTCGAAAATCACAGCGTAGCGCACAAGCAACAAGGAAAAAGCAAGAGTAAGTCGAAAATCACAGCGTAGCGCACAAGCGACAAGGAAAAAGCAAGAGAAGCATGCCCAGTCAATCTATGCACGTGGCCGGAGCAACCGTCTGTTCCGCCAGAAGCTGGACCCCGTCACTGTCTGCACTGTGTAGCTCCGTCCTCTTCTCGTGCATTTTGTGACCGTTCCTTCCATATCCCAGCGTTTTGAAGACCGGTTCTGGATCCATACCTTATCGCCTACGTGCAGAGGGGGCAGAGGTTTGCCAAGCTGGGATGAGACCTGCTGGGGAGCACTGCGGCTGTGGGCAGCGTACTGCTGCAGATTTGCAGGAAGTGTGGGAACCTTGGTCCTCGTTGGCCTTCCAAACAGCAGCTGGGCCGGGCTTGCTCCTCCTGCACCAGGCGTGTTACGCCACTCCAGCAACCCTTCTCTGAAGGCACTGCTGTTATAGGGGTCACCTTTGCCAATTTTCATTAATAAGTGCTTCATGGCCTTGACCGCCGCCTCAGCCGCGCCATTTGACTGAGGATTGTACGGGCTGCTGGGGTCGTGGCAAATGTTCCACTCTGAGCAGAACGAAGCGAACGCTGAAGATCTGAATTGCGGCCCACCATCCGTCGTGAGGCGCGTAGGAACGCCAACGTCCGACATCCACTGAACGAGATGTTTGGTGACGTCAGACGTGGTAGCCGACCTCCCACAACGCCCAACAAATGGCCAGCCGGAAAACTTGTCGGTGAGAACCAGGTACTCAAAGCCGCCTAGGGAGAAGAGGTCCGCCGCTGCATCTTCGAACGGTCTGGACGGACGACTGTCAGAGAGGAGCGGCTCAGAAGGTTGGGAGGGGAGCAGCGTGATGCAGGATCTGCAAGTCTGGGCTCAGAAGGTTGGGAGGGGAGCAGCGTGATGCAGGATCTGCAAGTCTGGACGACGTTCTTAACGTCATTGGAGATCTGGGGCCAGTACACTGCTTGCCTGGCCCTGCGGAGTGTGCGGGTCTGTCCCTGATGAGAAGCGTGAAGTTGCTCCAGCGTGGTCTGGCGTAACCTTCTGGGAACGACAATACGGTGGCCCAACAACACTATACCGTCCTCGACCGACAGGTCATGCCGAACCTGCCAGTACGGGTGCAGATCGAGGTCCAGAGCAGCCTTATCCACCGGAAAGCCGTTCTTTACGGCGTTCAACAGCTTGAGGTATTCCGGGTCCGTCGAGCCCTCCGCCCGCACCTTCGTAATGCCAAGGTCGGGGAGGACTGTATGGCCTGTTTCCTCGTCCTCTTGCGACAGCTGACGGAGAACACAGTAGCAGTGCTCGATTTCTTCCTCACCAGCTTCATCGTCAGGGTCTGGTGCACTTACTGGGTGTCTCGACAGGCAATCTGCGACCTTGTGATCGGCACCCGGTCTCCACTGAGCCACGAACCGAAAAGGCGTCAGCTTCTCCCGTAGTCGCACGATTCGTGGAGACGTCAACTCATCCAGCGTCTTAGCATTCAGGATAGGAATGAGCGGCTTGTGATCGACTAGCAGCTCGAAATCAGCACCGGCCAGGAACAGTCTAGCCTTGTGGACTGCCCAGACTACCGCCAGCAGTTCAATCTCCGTTGCAGAGTACCTGGCCTCGGTCTCAGTGACGTGCCGTGAAGCACATTGCACTAGACGCCACCGCCCGTCCACTTGCTGCTGCCACAGTGCCATGCCGAGACCGTTTGACTGCGAGGCGTCTGTCTCGAGACGAAGCGGCTGTGCAGGGTCGAAGGTAGCCAACACTCGAGGGCTTACCAGCTCCTCTAGTATAGCTGTAAATGCCTGCTGCTGCGGATCCTCCCAGATAAACTCATTCTTTGGAGAGAGCAGAGAGCGGATCGGGGATAGAAGCTCCGCTAGTCGCGGCGTGAACGCGTCGAACTGCTGCACGAGTCCACAGAAGGATCGGATATCAGTGCGGTTGGTAGGGATTGGAAAGTTGTGTAGATCCTCCACCAAGCTTCGATCAGGACTGTAGCCGTCCGGCGTCACCACGAATCCGCAGTACGATGCTCTGGGTGCCGCAAAGACGAATTTGCGGCGGTTCAGTGTGATTTGGTTCTCCGAGCAAAGCTTGAGCACATTGCGAACCCTCTGGGTGTGCGCCTCAAGCTCAGTGTCGTACACGATGACATCCTCTACCACTTTCTGAAGATTCGAAAACCCGGCGAACACTTCGTCTCCTCTCCGGTTGTGTTCGTCACCTGCCGACACCAAGCCCATGACGTTCCGCTTGAAACGGTAGGCACCCCATGGCGTCATGAACGTTGTGAGCCTGGTGCTATCGTCGTCGAGGGGTACCTGCCAGTAGCCATGGCGAGAATCTAGGGTGGTGAAGTACTGCATCCCCATTGGGATCGACGCGACGACTTCCCGAGGTACTCGGGTTGGGTATGCCGGCCTCTTGACCCATTTATTTAGACCCGTCAGGTCCACCGTGATGCGCGGCTCACTGGAATTCTTCTTAGGGACCACCACCAGTGGGTGGCACCAAGTGTATGCTTCGCCGACAGGCACCTTCTCAATGACGCCCTTGCCCACCATGTCGGACAGCTGGTTCTGCACAGCGTCGCGCCACCTGAATGGGATGGAGCGAGCGCGATACAGGCGGCATGGCGACGCGCCATTGATGAGCTCGATGCGCATCGGCTCACCGCTCATGGGCTTGAGCGGGGTATCACAGAACACTTCTGGAAACTCTTCCAGCAAGGTACGTCGGATTTCCTCAGCCGCCGTCGACGCAGTACCTACTGACGTGTCTGCGACTTCGGATGCTTGCTTCCGAGGGATGGAGATGTTTGCCACGCTTTGTACCCTTAGACGGGAGTGAGGCCATCCATCCTCGAGAAGCCGCAACTTCATGCACGTGTCCTTGCTGAGCAGAGGTGTCTTCAGCTGCCGGAATACGTGCAGGGTCGACACGGCGGTAGTGTCGCTCAAAGACAACTGAGCCTCGAGCTTGCCCATGGAATCCAAAGCTGTACCGTTAGCTGCCTTGACATCAGCTGTGTCCGGCACTAGATTCATCCTGAGGCTTGGGTCGATACCATCCAGGTCGGTAAGACTGATGGCGTCCACATCCGCGCCCGTGTCCGGCAGCCACCCGATAGCGCATGACGATCCTCCCTGGATCGCGACGCCAACCGTCACCAGCTTGTTCCTAGAAGGACCAGCCTGGTTGACAAACAGCGAGTCGACAGACGTCGTTCCTGGTGAGGGCGAGGTCCGCTGTCGACAAACCCTAGCAAAGTGACCCACCTTGAGGCACAAGCGGCATGTCTGGTTATAGGCCTTGCATTGGCCCTTGGGGTGAGTCTCCCCACAAAACCTGCACGTGCCTACGTCCGACTTCAGCGTCTTTGCCTGCGCCTGCTGACGCTTGTAAGTGGACTTCGTTGCCGCCGCCAACGCCAGGTCGGGCAGCTGCTCACCGAGGCCAGATTCCGTATCGGTAGAGGATTCGTATGCAGAGCATATCTGCATGACCCGATCGAGCGATAACTCACTGGCATACTCTTCTTCGAGCACCCGTCGTTGCATCGCTCGATCCCTTAGGCCACAGACGAGCCTGTCGCGGAGCCGGGTTTCCCGAAGTTGGGCCTCATGGCCGCACAGTGACCCACATCTGCCGCACTGCAGACTATCTGGGTAGCTGCACGCATCATGCAGCTGAGACAGACCCGAGAAGTACTGGCTGATACTCTCGCCTTGTCTCTGGCTCCTGCCATGGAAGGCCTTGCGGTCCAGTAACGGGTTTCTTCGCTTTCTCAGGAAAGCTTCCAGCTTCTGGATGGCAACCCGCTCATCATCGCCGTCGGCTATAGGAACTACGCCCGCCTGCCACAGCCGCACCCAACCATCATTGAGAGCTGTACGGAGAACTGCTTGCTGTGTAACTGTACCTGCGTCTCTGCATAGCCCAGTCAACGTCACGTAGTCAGACCACTTGACTTTCCACTCGAGGAAACCAGCTAGGTCTATCGAGTCTGGACTGGGCAGGTGGGGTATTTCCGCTCTCCGGGCCCACGGCCCTACCTCTGGCTGTCTTGAGGTGGATGGTGGCGGGCCGCTGCCGGCAGGCTGGCTTGACTCCGCCATTGTGAGCCTAAGCAGAATCTGCTGCTGCTGGCTGAGGGATTGGACGATAGACTGCAGCAGGCTTCCTTCTTCTTGAGTTCCTGGCTGCATCCGCTCTGTCAACCCGTCGTTGATTGCTGCTGCTTCCTCAGCCTTGGCCTTGACAGAGGTTCGTGTCTTTCGCTGCGCCATGTTGTGTCCTGCTCAAGGCAGACCAACTCTTCGAAAGATGAGAATGAATCATCAGTAAAACGCAATGGCTTTTAAAGGGAAGCTGGCTGCAAAGGCGGCTTGAAAGGTGACATGTGAATGTGTTATGTGCAAGGCGCCAGAGGTACAGCAGTGCAGGGCCTAGGGTGCGAACAGTAGCACTAGCAGCCTGAGTGCCAAGACCCATGCAGGGAAAGGTGCTACAATATCACCACAATTATGAGATCAGGGAATTTTCCTACGCCGCCTAGAAAGAAAACGAGGGTCTGAACTGGGGCAATGCCCCATACGGTTCAGTGCGTCCTCGCCTTGTTTACGCTGTCACCGTGAAAACATGTTACCTATCAGGCAAGGCTTGCATTAAATCCCCTACATCATTACATGTTTGTTTGAAGTACTTTTGAAGTACATCAGACAGACTCAGACTAGTCAGTGGAAATACCAACGTCAAGCCTGTGACTTGCTTGCTTACCGGGCCAGACTAAGTCTTGTTCCCACGCTGAACCAAGCAAACACCTGAACCGTGACCGTGCGCCTGTAACTAACTAACTAACCCGTTACTTCCGGGGACAGTGCTACCGACTGCACCGCACGTCAGGGAACCTTGACAACCCCGACACGGCGAGAGCGAGACTGCGGACCCTGGCTTCAGGCTTACAACGAACAGTTTCGCCGTTCACCCTGGAAAAAAATTCAGCAAAGCACAACAACGCCTTGCAACTGAAGCAAGCTACTCGGATGGTAGTATTGGTAGTGTGCACACCTCTCCTGTGGTTCTACTCAGTTGCCATGAGTGAGATGCCAAGACTTAGACTTAGAAGTAATTAGTTAGAAGCAAAGCCTGCAATGCAACGTTAGGTGAATGCTAACACTACTGTCAGTATTATTACTTACCAGGTCGCAGTACAGAACGCTAGAGAGTCGAGTAGAAGCAGTGGTTCGTCAAGAGCCAGCCAGGCTTGCCTCGACGGGATACCTCCGCTTTCTAATGACCGTCCACAAAAGACGCAGGCCGGCCGTGGGGAAGCAGCGCGCAACAACAGTTTTAGGACTGAATGATGTAGATCTACACGCACAAGGATTCAGGGTTTGTCTCGCCGTGACTCGACCGAGACTAGAACGGAGAGATTCAGGACGACGAATGAACCAGTAAGTGATAAGTAACAGCAAGATATTCGAACGAGCGTTCGACTCTTCAAGTATGATGGAAGTGTGAAAAATAAAAGTGAACAAATGACAGCATCGACAGCCGGCCGCTAGGCGTAGCGCGTAGACATGGTAGAGAGCAGGGAGTAGTAAATTACTACTCCCTGGTAGAGAGCCTGGTCGTGAGCTTCGCGGTGACATGCACAACGACTATGTCAATAGTAGATCTACTCTAGTGTAGAGCAACATGTAGATTTACACAGGAGCGATCACCATGATCACCATTGATCACTGGGCCATGCTTACACAGGCTACAGACTACATACACAGACTAGATCATGGTAGATCTAGACCAGAAAAAAGTAACTGTATTGTTAGAAAGCTCTTTTCACAAGTCCTAACCGTCTTGTGGTCTGCACTGCAGTCGACGCTGTAGTACCGTAATACAGGCGGCGAGAATTAGCACTTGGTGGTTGATGTTGGACAAAGTGGCAGATTCTGCTCGAAAAGCCTCGTTGAAATCAGGGAGTAATTGACTGAACCATACGCATGCAAAGCGTACGGTGGCAATTCGTCAAATTCTGCTCCTCTTCTTTGTCCATAGACCAACACACATGAAACATTCCAGAAAAAGTACAAAATTCTGACAATTTTCTGCCTGCAGTATCCGCCATGCAAGGGGCTAGCACAAGTCTGTATAATGAAGGGTGAATGCCGCCGTCTGATGACCGCTCCATGCTTGAAACTTTTGAACAGACCCTGTCTTCCTACCCTCGAGGACGCCTTGGCAGCGAAAGTTCTAATATTCGTTCGTCGCCGCATCCATGGTCGTTCGAGTGTCCTGTTTCGGAATTTTTACGTCAGAACACAGAGTGATCGCACCCGTGGAGCTGACCCGAAAACCTATTGCAGGTACCCTTCTGGCCCGGTTCTTCTGGTAGAGATACGATCCAATTCCATTGGTGCCATTCTCTGGAACAAGCTACCGCCCATGATACACTGTTTACCTTGTCACGCGGCTTTTTTTGCCCACTGTGCTCTCTCGAAAGCATCGAAGTATTCAAAGTATGTCACTTTTTTTATCTGTTCACCAATAGTCCATCCTTTCTATTTCTACAAGTTATCCATTATATTCAACACTAGGGATGATAAGCAGGATACTGTTGAGTCAAAATGTGCAACAATTAGCACAAAACTGACTGATGTGATACTGACATTCAACGACCTGATGCTTACATCACGTCTGGAATGTGCAAACCAACAGCCTTCTAACTTGGAAGGTTCTAAGTTATGAAGTAACGTAAGAAAGGGGAAGGTGAGTGCACTCTTGACGAAAACAAGCTACAATTTGTAAACATCACCAAACTAAGAATGTTAGCTATGACAAGATGATGACGAAGGACCACGGCACAGGACGGCCACGGCTCACTTTGAAAACGAGAAAAAACGACCACCCAACTTGGGAGGCTCATGTTATCAGAGATAAGCAAAAGAGGGGAAGTTACGTGATCACAAAGTGAGACAGACCGACGGTGCTCCATCCGAGTTGAACCTGCACACCTGATGAACCGTCAGCATCTTTACGGCGAAACGTACGTCGTGTGACACCACTTGTTATTGCCGTTTTCTAGTCCGTCACAAGACCCCTCCATTCCACATGTAGTATAGTCCTATTACCTTTGCTGTTATTATTATTATTATTGTAGAAAGGAAAAGGACATAAGGATACGAGTTAAGAGTAACTGTCCATCACTGTAACTGGATACTATATACAGTCAGAAGGTGCAATAACTAGGCACAAAACTGACAAGAGTACTGAGACATTCGACGTCCTGACACCTAGCTTCAACACATCTCCGTACGGAGATGTGTTGAAGCTAGGCGTCGTTGTTGAAGCTAGGTGTCAGGACGTCGAATGTCCCAGTACTCTTGTCAGTTTTGTGCCTCAGTAGTTATTGCACTTTCTGACTGTATATAGTATCCAGTTACAGTGATGGAGAGTTACTCTGAACTCGTATCCTTATGTCCTTTTCCTTTCTACATTTATTTATGGCTCAACATCCGAGTTTCAAATTATTATTATTATTATTATTATTATTATTATTGTGCTTTGTATTGTGCAGTTTGACTTCGTCCGTTCTTGCCTTTTGGTGCGTTACCAGCAAGGTGATACTGAGACCTATTGGTCAGTGGAGTGCCTGTAGCCACACCAGCACTGCTATACTATCCGTGACTGTGGCGACCGCCATTCAATGTCGTGTCCTCCCCAAATCGTACCTCCATACCCCCGTGCCCTGCACCATTTCACAGCCCAGTGTTCGCACAGGTCTAGGGCTGCACAGCGCCCAGCATGTAGAATCTACAATCATGTAGTCAGCTCACTCAATCGAATTTCATTGAGCACCACTGACATAAGTAATAGCAAGAGTACACCATCATAACTTTTGTACTCTTGGTAATCATAACTTATGTACTCTTGGTAATAGTTAGCCGTCGGAAGTGCATCACCATGATCACAGGCTATGTTATGTGACTCCAGTCAAACAGTCCGTCCTCACTCAGAGCTCTCTTCCCTCATGCAGCATACCTGGCCGAACATCTGTGCTACACGTATCCCCTGATGACAAGTAAGTTGATAACCAGTGGAGTCAAGTGTAGTTTGTATTTTTATTGTTAATTTAATACTGCATACAGTATTAAAACCCGGAAACCTTTGCGATCTGGAATCCTTCGCGGTTTTCGCAATAGTGTGAAAAGTAAGCCGGCCAGAAACGTAGAACTGCAGGAAAGAAACTGAGGAAATTGACTCCAATTGCGAACATCTCCAGGTGGCAATTTGTCCGTGCTCTTTGCTCACAAATCGTAAACTAAAACGCTTCAGGCTTCAGAGTAAATGAATCCCCAGAGGCTATAGGCATGTCGAGGGGATGATAGAGGTGTTGCATGGGTTGCGGAACGCCTGCTAACAGTGCTCCATTGTCAAACCAGCAATTGCCCAAGTCAGCTGTGAAGTAGAGCTGTGCAACCTTGCCATCGCATGCCACGAAAGACTGCTACAATAGTCAGGAGTACAGATATCTGCAGACAGTATATCAAGTGGCTGTAGCATCTAGAGCGCGACGCCGCAGGTGACCATGGTGACTGGAACGCAAAGCCGAAAACATACATGTAGGACGTTCACTCCTGCCATGCCTGTGCACGTCGCCCCTGGGGCATAGATAGAGTATGGGCTGCCTGTGCACGTCGCCCCTGGGGCATAGAGTATGGGCTGCCTGTGCACGTCGCCCCTGGGGCATAGATAGAGTATGGGCTGCCTGTGCACGTCGCCCCTGGGGCATAGAGTATGGGCTGCCTGTGCACGTCGCCCCTGGGGCATAGAGTATGGGCTGCCTGTGCACATCGCCCCTGGGGCATAGAGTATGGGCTGCCTGTGCACGTCGCCCCATGGGGCATAGAGTATGGGCTGCCTGTGCACATCGCCCCTGGGGCATAGAGTATGGGCTGCCTGTGCACGTCGCCCCTGGGGCATAGATGGAGTATGGGCTGCCTGTGCACGTCGCCCCTGGGGCATAGATGGAGTATGGGCTGCCTGTGCACGTCGCCCCAGCAGGTCATGATAGCCAGCGCATACGCTACTCGTACGGACCTTGTAGAACTTCCGGATCTGGAAACGAAACGCACATCGTTTTGGGTGTACATGAACTATGGTATGGTGTCATCCCCCCCCCCCCCCCCCCAAGGTGCTGCGACTCCCTGATTGCAAAGTTGGCTAAGAGAAATCTACAGCAAATCCATCCTGACCGTATGCTCACTCTGCATTGCAGACAGTTATCGTGCCACGAGCAACACCACCCACACAGTCAGAGTGCAGCATGAATAATGATTGCTTGTTCTACAAGAACACTATCTCACACTTAGGCTGATTGAAGATTACTAAAAGAATAGGTAAAACACAACAAACACACCAAAAATCACCTTGTAAAATCGAATAAGAAAGAGTATTGCATCGAATAGAACAATATAGGGTTATAAAAAAGGGTTTTCGAACAAACACGAACTTGCCCAAGATGGGATTCAGAAAGGTAAATGTAGCCCACGGACTTCGCCAAGATGGCATACAGAAAGGTTAAGTAAAGGTACCACGCTAAATATGTGGCTGGCGGTACAAAATACAACGAAAACGTGGTCGAAAAATATCGTCGGTAGCTATGCACACAATACTGATATGAAATGAACAGCCTTCATCAGCATGGTTAACATGCTGCAAACGGGAATGCATGCTATGCCGTGCGGCTACAAAATGCTTTAAAAAAAGCGATCGTGAACTTCTATGCACCTACTCCTCGCGACACACACACAAAATACACACACACACACACACACACACACACACACACACACACACACACACACACACACACACACACCGCAAATGGTAGCAAGAATCAGACTCAAACGGTAAAAAAAGAGAGCGTGAGAACACTAGTAGCGACTAGTGTGCAGCTGTCCCAATGTACAGTGCAACGTACGGTGGCAGCAATGCAAAGTGAACTTAGCTCACCATTCGGCGATAAGTTGGACGACTGGCCAGTGTGTGACGTGCCTGTAGTTCACTGAAATGCTTCTGTAGAGCATCAAAGTCCACCGCAGTGAGCAATTGAACTTGAGACTCTCCTAAATCATTCATCGGCAGTGTGCTACACAGACAAAGAAGAGCAAGAACACACATACAAACACACGCACACACACACACACACACACACACACACACACACACACACACACACACACATGGACACATGCACATAAACACATAATGCTACAGGCGTGTGGATAATGTGCAGTGGCTGCTTGTAAAAAAAGAGAGTAAGACAGTCCTGAAACAGACCCGAGAGACTTGGCGACACACTACGTGCAAAGAGCGTGCTTTTACATGCATGTGCGTAAGCACGCATGTATGAGCGTGCGTGTAGATACACACACACACACACACACACACACACACACACACACGCACGCAGACTCAACACAAGTTATTACCTGTCCGTGTCAGCAATGGCAATACCAGTCGGTATGCACTGCAGCCGTTGGTGCAGCTTCTGAAAGGCACTGGTCTGCGGCAACAGTAGCAGTATGCCATACAGGGTTGTGACCAGGTGACGGCATCGATGCGGTTCCAGCAGGTGAAGTCGAACATCTGAATCAAAAAACAGCCATCGCCAACATCAAAAATCATCACAAAACCAAACTCTGAGGAGGTTAGCTCACACACACACACAAAGGACGCCATGTGCTGTGCAAACTAATCACTCAGGGCATAGCACACTGGCACACACTTGTAGAGTTGCATGGATATGACATAACAATAAAACATCAACTGAATGAAGTTCCCCTGCCCCACTACTGGAGATACTAGTGTGGTGGAGCCTCCAGGCCACGGCAAGACTTCTTCAATGCACTGGCACACAAGCGGAGAGTTAGTACAATGTCATGTACACGTATGTTTTAAAAGTAACTGAGTCAAGTGTGTACGCAAACTTACGTGTGAATATAGGCGACTCGATCATCTGCACCAGGCGATCTATTTCTGTGAGCAAGTTCACAGTGACATCCAAGTCACCACTGTCATCAAAACAAGTCAAGGAAATAACGTTCGGCCACTGAAGAAACAACCGGAATACTGCTGCTAGTTTCTGAAAGTTCGACAATGGAGTGAGGGGGGGGGGGGGGGGGCGAGACAGGAAACACGGATATTGAACAGTGACAACACTCGAACTTGCACCGAATGAAGCATTTACCCGTTGGAAAGGTATGGACATGAACATAGAGTTGAGTCTGGCGATACTGGTCGTTCTGCCACAAGGGACAGTGCATGTCTGCTATAAAAATGATCAAGGCAATTTACCCCTCACCAAGGCTAGCGGACGAGTCATTCGAGTAGTTGTATGTCGAACAAACATAGCAAATAATGGACAACTGAGAGGATACAAGGTGCGGACGAGCTGGCTCGCTGGCCGATAGGCTTGTGCCAGTAAGCACAGGGACAGAGTGGCTACGGCGCTGTGACTCCATGAGCGGAACATTGTTGAAAACATGATGCAGCTCTCCTGTGGAATGATGGTCAAAAGGGAAAATCAAGACAACAATTAGTGACGTTGCCGGTGTTATCAAGAGTACATAAACCGGAGGGTTGTGCAGCTCCGGGAGAATCATCTCACGGTGAAGTTTTTGTTTAGTTTAGGTCATATTGACTGACCTTTACTTCACCCCACACAGGTTCACATGGTCCTTTTACCATATCATCAAGGTAATTCCTGTTGCGCATTGCTTCTTGTCGTGCAAAAGGTGAAAACGCACGCAAATATCCCGTTGTCGCCCTAGTGATATGGTCCTTTAGCAGGTATGATGGGTCTTCTATGAGACATGATGACCCAAACAAACAAAATTCGATGGGGTCGGTTTACCTATGTAGAAAGATGCGGAGCTGCACACTCTTGCTACGTTCGCCTTTCGGTTAGTTGTTATATTGCAATGAATGACAAATCAGAATCAGTATTGACCTCTGTCGCTGCTGACAATTGCACTGAAAACATGCAACGGAGTGAGGCTGCCTAGTCATGTGTTGAATGTTACTATAGCTACAAGCAAGTGAGTTTGCCTAGCAAAATGTATCCATATTGAACAGACACGTGCACTAAGACAGTACCAGAAGACACTGGGCTCAACAATGCCTTTGGCATCTGCACCAATGGTAATGCCCGTGTAGAAACAAATGATACGGATGAGGAAATCGCTACTGTCGCATTGCTTGAAGTACATGAGCAGGTACTCACCTTGGTCGGCGTTTTCTTGACTTCTTCGCGCAGGTCGAACAACTCACCAGATGTCAACAAGATGGAGTTGAGGTGTTGTACCATTACGGACGCAAAGTGCAGGTCTTCTTCTTGAGACAGGACTGAAGCCAAGGCACAGTACACGTCTTTCGGGTGCAGGAGAAGACACAGCTGACTGCAAGCAGAAGGCAACAGGCCCAATGAAAATCCCCACGTTACAATTTGAATTGAATCAAAACCGCGCATCAAGAAAAAGGGAATTTCATTACATGTACTACTCTAGTCATGAATAGGTTCTTGCAAAAGCAACTGTCAAGCAGCTGATGGTACTTGCAAGCACAATATCTATACAATCATGTCTGTATTGTGTGAACTTTGCAGAGGAGATTACCACAAACTGGCATAGTTGAGAAATCTGACTATGCTGAGAGCCATGCTTTCGATTTTTGACAGAACTGTGGCTGACCACTGACACTTGCAGTAGATAACAGATGTGCATAAGCAACCATGTGTTGGCACTATTTTCTACGCTGGGTTTCAGGGTGGACACCGCACAAGCAAACGGTAACTACTAACTAGACTACAGGGCAACAAATCTCACAAATAAATGAGCAAAGGCGAGGTAAATGGTGGACTAACCGGATGATGAAGCTTCCTCGTTTGTCCAGTAGATGTCGATCAGTGCTGAACAGTGACAATAGACTACAGATGAGACGGGTGAAGAAGATTGTTAGGCGACTGTCAGAACCACAGCTCTTCAGAGTCGGCAGGACGATTTCAGCAAGGCGACTAACAGACTCGGTGCTCAGCTGCATCCCGGACAGGGAACGGCGCAGGGTGGTTGACGGCCCCTGGGCTGAGCCATGCTCTCGCTCTGTTGCTGCTCTCCCTCCAGTGCCAGCAGCGGCGCTGGTCTCCGCTACTGATTTCGGCGACGCTGGGCTGGCATCTGCGGCCGGCCCGTTGCCACCCTCTCCACTCAGTTTCTGCTGGTCTGAGGGATGGCATAGGTCACTCAACTCTTGCTCAGCATGGGATGATGACAGTTCTGCTAACATCTCCAAAGCCAGCAAGACAACCTAACCAAGAATGCACAGCACGCATGAACGCAACCACCCAAACGCACATGCACACAGAGCAACAGTCCGTTGTGCTATAGCTAACGGGAAAGGTAGGAACAAAGGGTACCGTCGAAATCATCACGAAAACCAGATCAGGATTCGTCCGGCAAGCTGCACAGAGTTAGACTTCACAGGTGCCATTCAGGTTAGAATACTGGATGGCCGATCCAAAGCCGCACTGGGGTAACCTACCTTGTCTGACGTATCTGAGAGAGTCTTCAACAGCACGGGGAATAGCTGAGTTCCCAAGATGAAAATCTACACAGAGGGCAGCAGGAATACGATACGAGTAAGATGTTATGCACAGCCAAGCGTTACAAACACGTAGTGTACTTCAGTATTCAACAAACAAAAGCAGAAAATAACTACTGCGGCAATAAATTTAATTCGCTGATGTGGCACATGTAAGGGATAGAGAGAGGGGGGGGGGGGGGGGGGCTGTTGGAGCAGAAAAGCCTAGATATTTAAAACCTATTACCTTTTTTGGGGTCTTCAGGTGCAGATGCAGCATCCAGCGGAGGCCAGCACTGCGGGTTTCCACGGATTTGTGGAGCAGCTGGACAGTCAGAATGTCCACGACGGACTGCAAGTGAAGCAGGCCTGAAACCAACAATACAAACGTACATCAACATGACTCAGAAGCCCTAGCAATTGTCAAAACAATCATTTAAGTCGGGAAATTGCAACAGAAGAATGTACACAACTATCCAGCCAGATCCCTACGGCACAAACCAGACAAAATACATGCAGCAGCTGTACTGAATACAAGCACGGTCCGCACACATGCAACAGCAGTGCTTTTAAAACTACATGCAAGTTACAGCAATGGACAATAATCACAGAACACACCGCTTGCAGGACTCACAAAGCGCTTGAAAAAAGACAAAACCGTACTAACATTCTTCCTCCGGCGGAGGTGACGTTGGTGGTGACGCCTGGCTCATGGATTGCTCAGTTGTTACCGATGCAGACTCCTCCACGACTGTGTCTGAAGAAGCTGGTGTAGTTGGTGTAGAGCAGGAGTTTGGACTGGAATCATTCATCTGCAGCAGATCAGCCGCGGTGACTTTGTCATCGTCCGGGCCAATCAAACTCAGCAATAGCTGATTGGCAGCCATGGCAGCATCATGAATCTCTGAGAGCCAAGCGACTAGTCAAGGACATAGCCACAGGCATGTGTAGAGTTCAAATGACCACCAAGTGGAGACACCCCAGCATTTAATGCTGTGGGATAGGATCATCAGTGATGAAGCACCGCTACACCGCCACCTACTACACTGTAAGGGTTCTAGTCAAAGGGGCGTGTGCGGGGGGAGGGGTACTCATTTGTCAATTTGGCGTTTTTTTCCAAGCCATTCCACGAAAATACTAAAGTCGGGGTACGTCGCATTTGGGGTGGCAAGACAATTTTGGAAAATGGAGAAATGGGTTACGGGGTAACTGTTTCCCCTGCTCCCACTAGTTTTACCTGGCTAGAACCCTGACTGGACATGGAAACAAAAAGAGAGCATGAACATGCACACGCTAAACAAGAGAGGCAGGAGAAGGGACAGGAAGATGAGGATACGCTGCCTCTCGTCGGTGTAGGACACACAGGGCAAGATGGCCGCCAGCATGCTAGACGTGTAGGGTAGAAGACGACGGCCAGCCAGGTGCAGGAACTCCTTCATCCATTGCACTGCCGTCAACTGGATCAGCTGGTCTGCAGATTAAGTGAGCGACAAAGCACAAGATTAACACTTATAACGAACTCGCACATAGCCAATTTCATGATATAGCAAACCGCTGCCCATGTCCCAGTTTGAACCCACAGTGCATTTCTGTTAGAACGAACTTCGGCTATAAAGAACTAATTCTCCTGCACAATGGTGTTCGTTACATCAGGAGTCGACGGTATAGCAGAACTAGGGTTGATGAATGGCTGACCACCACGAGCCTTGCAACAGAGGAACTTCCTCTTTATGCTGTTCTGACATGGTGTCTGTGGCACATGTGGAAGATCCGGCCATTCGGTTTCGCAGTGCAAGTCCACTACCATCATACACACTATGATACCAGCCCTGCATATAGAAGATCATGAAACGCGTACACGCACAGACATAATCACAAGCGTACTTGTACAGCGGGTCGTGCGTGCCAAACATGGGATAAATTACCCCCCCCCCCCCCCCCCCCCCCCGGCAACGGTGGTGCCCATATTCGATGCACAGCTGCCATTATACTGACACAGTAGAAGAAGGCACGACATCATAATACACGTACCAGTAGATTGAGAATGCAGGGCGATAATATTGATCATAGCGGCATAACTGACAGTGCCCTTGTACTGCTTCACACCGCTAAGCAATTCACCGAGGACAGCTTGGCACCTAGAAAACAAAACCACAAGAAGACCAAGACAAACACATAAGGAACAAGAATACACCGTAAACTCGTCGACAATGCACCTCCAAGACTATTGACTGGTGGGAGACCAGAAAAGCCACCTGTAGGACACTGGTGCGGCGGTTCAAGGTACGGTGGACCAGTACCCAGGCTATGACCGGGCAGAGCATACAAAGAGATGCGTCCAACTCGACTCACATTTTACGAATCTCCTTGCTGTCATCACTCAGGATGACAAACAAGCCGTCGATGAAGACGGGCAGGTGAGGAATGACATCAAACTGGGGCACGGAATCCAGAGCGCGCACCTGAACACACAGCAAACAGAATAGCCAGCAGCCAGACTCGACAAACAGCACAGTAGTGTTGTAATACGGGTACAGAGTGCTGTTGGGTGAATCAAAGGCTCCTACTCCTACTCGCACCACAACCCCAATGCTCCTGATGTTAGTAAGAACACACAGGGTAAGAGTTCGTTCCACCTTCAGGAAATCGAGAATGAACACTCGTTCCAGCGTTTGATCGGAACACCTGTGAGAAGACATGAAATCTAATGTAAGAAAAAATGCTTACCCATGACACCAGGAACTGGCGTACAAACGGATTGCTCGTGTAGATGCGTTCCCGCAGCAGGTCCATGAATGCCTCAATGTTAAATGAACTGCTCTCGGCCACAATATCCTGTTCGGCAGGAAAACATAACAGATAATTAGCAAAGCTTCAAAACACTGGTGCTGCCAGTTGAGAAAAGAAGCAATTTTACTTGGTCCGCCCAGTTAAAATTGGCGCTTATCTTCACACTTTTCTCAGGAAAGAAATACGAATATTTGAAGCAAGCCACGATCACAAAGCACTATATACATGTCAGTAAGCAACTCAGTCGAAAATTCAAGCAAGTTACACATCCACCTCACCACTAACGTCGCTCAAAACGAGCTCAAAACGTACGATCCGGACAGCTGCTGCACGGGTCGTTTCATAGCTTGTTCCACTTCTCCTCGTCTCGAATCACGCTCAAAGGCAGTGCGTGCCTGTCACCTTCCCATCAGAAGCTGAGTGAGACTGCCCTCATGTTGACTGTAAGTGTTATCCCCGTTCGTCTCAATAATGCGTCTTTGTTTGAGACAAAAAGGCAACGCCATATCAGTGTCCTTTTTTCAAATCGCCTCTTGCGCTTGTCGTACTTGCTGACAGCACCCGTACCCACGCGAGCCGCTGGTGCTTGAAGATCTACATACAGCGCAGTACATGCAGTGATCATGGTGATAGCTTCCGCTTGATGTAGCACCTGTGCGTACTGCACCTACAACACCGTGCACCTACAACACCGTGCACCAGGCTTTTCGGCTAGTTTCCTGAAAGTCCTCTGCACGAGTGTTTCTCTCAGGACTTGGTGTTTTCTTTGATTAGCTCCTTTGCCCTGTCCTCTGTGAGCTTCAAAGTGTGTCCACCGGATTGGTCCCACTTACTGGATATATCGACATGAGTTGCAGTTTCTTCGGCAGCGATTTGCTGGTGATAGCCCTTCACTAGGCGCTGTACTGTGCAAGCACTGAAAGTCAAACTCGCGAAGCGCTTTTTCAGCTTTTCTATACCTCTCCGGGGTAAACAATCCTTGCCATCAGACAGGTGGAAGTAGACAGAAACTGTATTCTCCATCGCTCTGAAATGCGAACATCCTGACCTATTTTACGGACTCGAGCGGAGGTTGCAGTGTTTTCTTGCGCTGACGGAAGTGTTCGTCGGCGGCAGCTCCGTCAAAAAGACTCAAACGAACCGATCGCAACTTCTGTGATGGTTTGTGCTGCCATGTCGTCGGATGCAATGGTCAATGGTTATGTTCGGATGGTGAATCGGTGGTTCCATGCCGTGTGGCACAGGCAGAACACCAAAAAAACAAGTGAGAAGATAAGCGCCAATTTTAACTTGGCGGACCAAGTACAACTTTAGCCATTGACCAGGACAACGCAATCATTCCAATACATGGAGAGAGAGAGAGAGAGAGAGAGAGAGAGAGAGAGAGAGAGAGAGAGAGAGAGAGAGAGAGAGAGAGAGAGAGAGAGAGAGAGACACACACACACACACACACACAAGCAAAATTTATATGTAATGAAAGCTCCGGCAACGACAAAAATGACGACTATACCACCAACAACATTTCGAACAAGTGGTTATCTTTTGTCCGGAGCCATATACTGTGCGGAATAAAATACACACGTGAACGGATCCTGACAAGCCCATTTTTAGCTCTCTGAGATAGAAAAATGTTACCTTCATCAAACGATCCAATAGCTCAGCACCATTCTTGACATTTGGATCTGGATCGGCGGCAAGCTACAGTAGAAAAACACATTATATGTGAAGGGCCATAGTCAGAGAACCAAAGCAAATAGCAGTCATCCTGGTGCTACAAGTGATCACAACATTCAGCATTGCAATGCAATTGCATATTGATATACAATGGTACAATATACAATGGTCTAATTTCAATAGACATGCCTGCAATCGAGTCAGAAACAGCACTACCAGGTTATTGTACGTGCCAAGTAAGTTCCTGCTAGTAGCCTGTATTTGACCCATTCCATGCATACATGCGCGTGTGTGTGTGCGTGTGTGTGCGTGTGTGTGTGTGTGTGTGTGTGTGTGTGTGTGTGTGTGTGTGTGTGTGTGTGTGTGTGTGTGTGTGTAAGTCCGGTGGGGAACCAGGTATCCTTCCCGAAATGATTGGGTGGTGAGGAGCTCCATGATCCTCTGGTTCAACTCATGCATTCGGTGTGGGATGAGGCATCGGTTGTGGCTGAGTGGCGGGATGCCATCGTTGTTCCGATACCCAAGAAAGGCAATTTGAAAGTTTGCGACAACTGGAGGGGTATCAACCTGTTGGATGTGGTTGGCAAGTTGTTTGCGCGTATTCTCCAGAACCGGTTGCAGACAATCTCGGAGAAAATGCTCCCCGAGTCACAGTCTGGTTTTCGCAAGGGCAGTAGGTGTGCAGACATGATCTTTGTTGCCAGGCAGTTGATCGAGAAGTCTTACGAACATGACTCTCCGTTGTATGCTCTCTTTGTTGATCTGCGAAAGGCATACGACTCGATCCCTCGTCCAGCGCTGTGGTGTTTGCTCCAGAGGTTTGGTGCCCCCCCCCCCCCCCCCCCCCCCCCCCCAAGGATGCTCAGCATCATCAAGTCCTTGCACGAGTTGATGGAGGTGAAGGTCCGCATCGAGGGTGGTGTCATTGCTGCCATTAACGTCAACAATGGTCTGTGTCAGGGTTGTACTTTGGCACCCGTCTTGTTTAACTTGTATTTTTCTGCAGTCGTTGGATATTGGCGCTCCATGTGCCCGGATGCTGGTGTTGAGCTTGATGATGAATACAGTCTTAGTCTTACTCTTAGATCCATGCTGCTGAAGGTGACAATTACTCCTCTGGTTAGAACAATAACTTGGCGACATGTCACGTGCATACAGTGTTAGGTCTAGCCATGAATGATACCCAATAGCATAAATCGTCATTGTGTACTGTTGCCGACTGGCCCTTTGCATTTCCCGCTGTCATGCTTGCGGTCCGTTGTTTCATACATAGCTAGCTAGCTGGCTTTCCAAGCTGCGTCGCGTTATCATGGTTATGTTCTGCTGTACGTGCAGTCTGCGCTGCGTACCGTGCGGGTACGATTTAGTTCCGGTTTAGGTCAAGTGAAGTACTACTACTACTAGTAGTTCCGAGATCATGGTTTTTGGTTAGTTCTCTTTTTTCCTTGTAATGACAAATGTAAGCTAAATAAAACGTCTTGGTTGTGTGGCCGCTTGGGTTGGGTCACAGGGGCTTTGCCATCATTCCACTACAATTTCTGGTGCCGAAACCCGGGACTGCGGGGAGGAACTAAGGATGGCGAAAGCAGAAGGCGCGTTGCGCGCATTTAGTGGCCAGGAGGACTTGGAAGAGTTCTGGCAGAAGTTCCAGGTCGTGGGAAAAATTCAGAAATGGAGCACAGGCAAGGAGCGAATGGCGCATGTGCCTCTGTATCTATCTGGCGATGCCTTTACGGTGTGGAGACAAATGGCTACTGCGGATCAGGAGGACGAGGATAAGGTGAAGGCACGGCTTGAGGAGTCGTTCGCCTGCTCGTCGAGGGAGGCGTACTCCCAGTTTGTGCGACGTCGGAAGCGGGAAGATGAAACTGTTGATGTTTATGCATCTGACTTGCGCCTTTTGTTGACGCGTAGTGGCCACAAGGAAGCAGCAGATGGAAAAGACCCGGTGCTCGTCGAGCAGTTCTTGTCAGGTCTGCCTCGTCGATTTGCAAATCAGCTGCGCCTCAGCGCGGCGGCTAGTGGGGATCCCACGATGACACAGCTGACGAAGCAAGCACGTGCTCTCCTTGCAGTGGCGGATGAGCCTGGTGTCAGCGCGTCTGCCGTAGGACCTGAGCCAGGAGACAGCAGAGTATGCTACCTGTGCGGAGAAACTGGCCACCTGAGGAGGGACTGCCTCAAGAAGAAGAAGGTGCAGTGTTTCAGATGTAAGCGATTTGGTCACATCAAGAGGCACTGTCCTGAGGCCAAATCCGAAGGACAAGTGAGTGGCAGGACTCCTGGTGCAGGTGCCAATGCATTTGCAGTATCACCAGATGTCGCTGCTGCAGAGTGCGAAGATGATGCATGTCTTGCCCTCGTTGCCAGGCGTCGTGGTGGCCTGCCGAAAGTCTTCGTGTCGGTCAATGGAGAGCAGACCAGGCTGAAGGCAGCCATTGACTCTTGCTCGAGTCGCTCCCTAGTGTCTTCTGCTGCGGTGCGTACACTGTCTGTGCCTGTCTGCAAGCCGTCGGGTGAGGACATGATCACGGCTATTAACGGCAACTCACTCGATATCACTGGCACTGTGGAGCTGATTGTCTCCCGTGATGACAACAATGTGTACCTGCCGAAAATCAAGGCCAAGTTTCTGGTAGTTGATTCTCTGGACGTGGTTCGCTCTGACATGCTGATTGGTCTTGATGTGATCTCATCGGCCGGTGGTGTTGCTCTGGAGTATTCAGAGAGTGACGGCCGGCTAACTGGTGCTGTGTTCGGAACGAGGCCAGTCGTGGCTGCAGTCGAGAGTAAGATCAGCAATGAAGAGCACTTGCCACGCCACGTTCAGGTCCGACAGGATGGAGACAAGGTCACGTTGGAGATGAGTGACTGTGAAGTGATGTTCGACCCCGAGAAAGGCTTCTGGGAAGTCACTTGGAAATGGTGCGACGGAGCTGCTCCAAGTTCACCTATCGGTACAGGCATCGGCGAGTATTCCCGCCAAGGATTATCGGATGATCAGGAGGTGAAGTTCGTCACCGAGGTCCAAAACTGGATTGATCAAGGATGGCTAGTTCCTTATGACGAAGGCTCGCACGGCGAGATTGGCGGTGTTTTGCCTCTGCTGGCAGTGTGTCAAGAGCACAAAGTGTCCACTCCGGTCCGCCCCTGTCTGGATTATCGCGCGCTGAACAGTCTCATTGTGTCTCATCCGGGCCTGGATGCACCAGCATGTGAAGAGAAGCTTCGGAAATGGCGCCAGTGCGGCGATGCTATGGATATCCTGGATATTCGGAAGGCCTTCCTGAACGTGCGTGTACAGCCTGCCTTGCAGCGGTTTCAGGTGGTGGCTTGGAAAGGTCAGAAGTTTGTCATGCAGCGCATGGGGTTCGGCCTTTCAATCGCACCAAAAGTCATGGATGCTATTGTCCGGTGGGTTACGAAGGACTTTCCGGCAACTGACAACTATGTGGATGACATCCTGACACCACGCCATCAGACCAAGGAGCTGGCTGCCTCTCTGCAACGGTATGGTCTACCAACGAAGCCGCCTGTGAAGCTTGAGGAGGCGTGCGTGCTTGGCCTGAAGATTGATGCTGAGGGAGACCAGCTGCGATGGGATCGTCGTGACCCGACATCCATTGATATTCCTGCTGTGCTGACGAAGCGTAGCATCTTTCGCTGGTGTGGCGCCCTGACGGCGCATTATCCTGTGTGTCGCTGGCTGCGGCCGATGTCAAGCTGGCTCCGTCGTTTGGCCTGTCTGACTGATGCATGGGATGAGCCGGTTCCAGAAGAGTTGCAGGTGTTGTGTCGTGACGTCATGGCTCGGGTGCTGAAGGAAGACCCAGTTCATGGTGCTTGGAGCGTTCCAAGCGGCGAGGAACACTCCTGGAAGATCTGGTGTGATGCCTCGAGTATCGCCTATGGCGTGGCCCTGGAAGTCGACGGCCGAGTGGTAGAGGACCAATGCTGGCTGAGACTGAAGAACGACACGCGCCACATCAACCTATCAGAGCTCAAGGCGGTCATCAAGGGCCTGAGTTTGGCGGTTGAGTGGAATGTGCGCAAGGTGAAGGTCTTGACCGACTCCAAGACCGTTCATGGCTGGCTGAGCTCGCTTTTCGGCCACTTGAAGCGAATCAAAGTCAGTGGGCTGAACAAGGTGGTGGTTCACCGGCGACTCCAAATCATCGATGACTTGATCAAAGCGGCTGACCTCAGCGTTGATCTGGAGTGGGTTCCATCTGCCAGCAACAAGGCAGACGAGCTGACTAGAGTTCCTGAGAAGCTCGTCCAGTACTGGAAAGGTCAGTCAGGCGTCGGCGAGTTTGACGTCGGCGTGTCTGGTGCCTGCATCGATCCATCTGCTCTTGGCCCTGTGTCGCTCCAAGAGATAGCCAGCGAACAGGAAAGTGATGCGGCCATCACAGCGGTGATTGCAGCGAAGACAGCTGAACAGGAAGTTGTCGCTGCTGGCTACAAGAAGATCCAGAATCAACTCTGTGTTGCCGACGGTGTCCTGATGAGGAGCTTCAAGGTGCCGACTGGTGAAGAAGAAGTCGTTCCAGTAGTCCCAGAGTCTCTGGAGGAGAGAGTGTTGCGCGCAGCCCATCTTCAGACTGGACACGCCGGTTGGGAGGGAACCTGGCGGTTTCTGCAATGCCGGTGCTTCTTTCCCTCAATGGCAGCAAAGTGCCAGGACTTTGTTGGCAAGTGTCAGGCCTGTGCTGTTGCCAGTCCGCAGCGTGGCGAGAGTGTTCCAGCTACGAGGTCTGCCATGCCATCTGGTCCGTGGAACACCGTGTTCATCGACACCATGGAGCTCGGCGGCAGTCGTGATGGCAGGTTCCACTGCGTCCTGGTGTGTGTGAACGCATTTACCAAATGGACTGAAGTCGTTCCGTTGCCCCGGCACGATGCACGAAGTGTTGCTGATGCCTTTCTGTCCATCTGTGCCCGGTGGGGCCCACCAGAGATTGTGCGCTGCGACAACGGCACCGAGTTTGTCAACGCTATCATGTCGGCTTTGTTTGCGGCGTTTGGAGTTCGAGTGCAGCATGGTGCAGTTCGTCACCCGCAGAGTCAAGGCACGGTAGAGAGGTTCAATCGTACGCTCCTCACTTTGATTCGGAAGGTGTTGGAGGAAGAGGATGATTGGAAAGCGGCTCTTGATCTGCTGCTATTCAAGTACCGTGTACGCCCGCATAGTGTCACTCGAATCAGCCCGGCCGAGGCGATGTATGGCTGGAAGCCGAAGCGCCTGGTGGTGGAGAGGTCCGGCAGCGAGCTATCTGAGAGCGCTTGGGTGGACAAGCTGAAGATGCAGACGGCCCGGGTGTGGGATTATTTAGACGGCCAGTTATCGCAAGCTGACTCCATCGATGAATCGAGATCTCGCGTCGCCTGTCCCTATCAGCCCGGAGATCCAGTACTGTTGCGACGCCAGGACCGACGGCAGAAGCGCCAGCCTCCCTACGAGCGTGGTTGGGTGGTCGAGGCAGTGGTGGCATCCTCAACGGTCGTCGTTGCGCACGGTCGCGGTGGCACGAAGATCGTGAATGTTGATCTGTTGAAGATGGATCCAGGCGAGGCTGAGTCAGAGTCAACGGAAGTCGACCAGGTGGAGGCCAGTTCTAGCAGCAATGGCGAACTGCCCATTGCCTTTGACCTGCCGATTGCTGAAGATGATCAGCCAGTTGGACGAAGCCTCCGGAATCGAGATACATTGAGAGCCCCAAGGAGGTATGCTCCGTGAGTGTGGAGCTGATGGTGTGCAGTAGTTCATTTGTTCTGTGGTTCTATTATTCTAGGTTGTGTTCCTAAATGCTATAGGTTTTTCCTTTCACGGCGTTTCGAGTGTATTCCGGTCCTTGCTCGTAAAGAGACTTGTCACCTGGTGGAGGTGTGATGATGAATACAGTCTTAGTCTTACTCTTAGATCCATGCTGCTGAAGGTGACAATTACTCCTCTGGTTAGAACAATAACTTGGCGACATGTCACGTGCATACAGTGTTAGGTCTAGCCATGAATGATACCCAATAGCATAAATCGTCATTGTGTACTGTTGCCGACTGGCCCTTTGCATTTCCCGCTGTCATGCTTGCGGTCCGTTGTTTCATACATAGCTAGCTAGCTGGCTTTCCAAGCTGCGTCGCGTTATCATGGTTATGTTCTGCTGTACGTGCAGTCTGCGCTGCGTACCGTGCGGGTACGATTTAGTTCCGGTTTAGGTCAAGTGAAGTACTACTACTACTAGTAGTTCCGAGATCATGGTTTTTGGTTAGTTCTCTTTTTTCCTTGTAATGACAAATGTAAGCTAAATAAAACGTCTTGGTTGTGTGGCCGCTTGGGTTGGGTCACAGGGGCTTTGCCATCATTCCACTACAAGCTGCACTACCGAGTTGGCCGAAAGTTGGTTGGAGACTGCACTGTCAAATCCCGCCTGCAGCGTGATATCGTCACAGAGTCTTAGTTTGCGGACGATGCTGCAGTGTATGCCACCACTATGCCGACTTCTGATCGATGCACGGAATTGTTCGTTTTGTGTGCGGCGCGTTGAGGCCTCACGGTCAGCCTATCAAAGACCAAGTGCATGACTGTCAATTCGACCATGAATGAGCCGGTGTCTCTTGGTGACAGCACCATCGAGGCCGTTAACAGTTTTACGTACCTTGGCAGCGTCATCCATCGGGATGGGCAGTCTTTGCATGATGTTCAGTCCCGTCTCACCAAGGCTCCGGGTGTGTTCGGCAGTCTCCGTGTCCCAGTGTTTGAGGTTGGTCGTTATCTCTCCGCTGTCGGCGCCGCGTATACATCGCCCTTCGGCTGACGGCCCTCCTGTACGGAGCAGAGACGTGGACGCCGAAGGCACTAGACCTGCGCTCTCTCAAATCATTTCATCACCAGTGTGTTCGCATCATCGTTGGCATCTCCAAACGGGACCAGTGGCACAACCGTGCCACCTCCATTACCATGGCCAGAACCCTCGGCATTGACTGTGATGTCGCGGACTTCATCCGAGAGTATCGACTGCGTTGGCTTGGACATGTTGGCCGTATGACCGACGACCGTATGCCGAAGCGAGTTTTGTTTGGGGAGCTCCCTGCAACACGTCCTCGCCATGGTCCACGCAAGTGGTGGCGTGACGTCATCGTAGATGATCTCCGCTCCATCAGCCCCTCCCCCCTCCCTGTACCTTCTGACTGCTGGTTTGCTGCTGCCCAAGATCGCTCTGCCTGGAGGTAGATTGCTCACCGTCGTCCTCCCACCCGTGCTCCCCCTGATCCTAACTCTGGCTTCCGCTGCGCATGTGGAAAGGTCTGCCGTCATCCCGGGGATCTCAAGCGCCACGCTCCGTAATGCAAAGCTAGCAGATAGTGACCAAGTCCCTTCGCTATCATTGCAATCGACAATGGGCACGTTCGAGGTTCAAGGTATGTGTGTATGTACGTGTGTGTATGTATGTACATGGACAGTAAAACCTGTGACTAGCGACCACCCCTTGGGGCTAGAGAAAGCGGTCTTTAGTGGCAGGTGGTCCTTAGTTAGAGGTTTGCACCGCACACCCATACATGAATGTGAGACTGTCCGTGCCTGGCAAAGTGGTCTGTAGTACCAGGCTGGTCGCTAGTCACGGTGGTCTTTAGTTACAGGTTTTACTGTAGTACCAGGCTGGTCGCTAGTCACGGTGGTCTTTAGTCACAGGTTTTACTGTATGTGTGTGTGTGTGTGTGTGTGTGTGTGTGTGTGTGCGTGTGTGTGCGCGTGTGTGTGTGTGTGTGTATGTGTGCCAGCTAGTTCGGTTGGTAGGTACACTTATGCCTGATTGTGTTGGGTCTGTTGCCAACAGGCTCGGCTGCTTGAAGGTGTAAAGGTGTACCTGCCACCTTTGTTGGTTCCAGGGTTCATATACTTTCTATTGGAAGTATACAAACCTGTTAACCAAGGACTGCTTCTGGCTAGATTAACTCTTGTGTAATCATGGTGCTAGTGAAACTTTTATCAGATCCACTCTGATTTAGCCACTCACACTAGTAGCAAGTATTACCTTCACTGGGGGCAGGTGTAACTGCAGTTGGATCCCGGGACGGATACCCTGATGCCGTCAATCCTTTGTCTGCACCTTGTCCTCACCCACTTACTGAGGTGTGGTGAGCCCATAAGTGGGGTCATTTTCCAGGCCACCCAGAGTTTTGCGGATTTCAGGGTGTGTCGGCCGTTGGGCGGTTCAATAACCAATTGAGTCATCTTTCCAAGATTCCTTTTGAGTCTCTCTCCCCTCTCCCGTGGGGGACTCACGTGACCAGTTTTGGCAGTGAGCAACAAGTACAGTACAGTACAGTGCGTGTGTGCGTGTGTGTGTGTGTGTGTGCGTGTGTGTGTGGTGTGTGTGTGTGTGTGTGTGTGTGTGTGTGTCCGTCTCTTGCCAATTCACTATGCAGTGCATACCTTGCTAAGACCATCAAATATCCGATTGAAGAACATGAGAAGTTTGCCACGGGATGCCTTGGAAATGTTATAAAGAGCTTCGCAGGCATAATAGCGAACACGCGAGTCTTGATCACAGAAGCAGGCCAGCACAGGTGGTACCAACTGCGACAGGTGATCATTGATATGCTGGACATGGGCAGGAAATAGACACAACAAAAAGCAATGATTACACACGACGTCAAATAGAGCAAGTGAAGAAGACCTTGACGCATGCGCGCAAGTACACACACACACGCACGCACGCACACACACGCACACACAATACATTGAGCAAATCTCATCTGCACATGAGGAACAACAGACAATGGAAGAATATCCTTCACCCCCCGAACAATGCACTCCCTTTGGACAGCCATGCTGTCCTTTTTCGGAACCACCATCTCCAAACACAACTAGCACACACATGCACAGGGACACATTGGGAAATTGCCCGTGCTTCAACATCTTGCACAGCTGTGATAAAATTAGTGTAGAGGAGGAAATTACGCAACACACACACACACACACACACACACACACACACACACACACACACACACACACACACACACACACACACACACACACACACACACACACACACACACACACACACACACACACACACTGATATGTTCACCCTGACTGGCACACAGTGATTACGCACAGCTGCTCACCAGCTGCAGCAAGAGGTCCGGACAGGAAACACACATACAGTGCAATCCTACTACAGGCGTGGCAAGCAAAACCGGACACTCGGCATAAGGGACTACACCATATGCAGTGTGCAGCCCCTGCAGTCCTGCATGTAGTTAATGTGTTACATACAACTTTTATCTGTCTCATGACAGAACTCGTACGCATCACAGTCAAGGTTCAAAGGTGCTGGCAAAAAAGAATGGGGACTGGATACCAATATTCCTTATGTGTACCATGCCTGTGGACTGTGTGTACAGTCGACTCCACATAATTATAACGAACTCGCACATAGCGAATTTCGTGATATAGCGAACCCTTGTCCATGTCCCTGTACTGTTTGAACCCATACAAAATTAACCCTTTATAGCGAACAGTTTTCGTTTATAACGAACCAAATCTTGTAGGGCCGCATGTAAACCAAGTGCATCCATACTGTCCTGGACCACTTGCCAGTCATGACTTGCTGCTTGTATGGAGTGAGTGCATTTCTGTTATAACGAACTTCGGCTATAAATAACTAATTCTCATGCGCAATGGCGTTCGCTACATCAGGAGTCGACTGTATATACGTGTGACCCTCCCCTATGGCAAGTGTCGGATTTCGCTTGCCACGACTGTACATACACCTAGTCGACATTACCCAGAGCAGAGCTAGCATTTTGATGACAGAGCAAGGTACTGCTTGATATCAATCACAGAGCAAGGTATTGCCCGATATCAATCAGAACCACGTCAACATCAACTGTGTCGATTGCGGGGGGCATGGTAGTCGCAGGATATGAACATTGAAGCACGGCAAAGAGATTAGAGTGGAGCACAGCAACACACTGCTTGCACAATGCCATTACGATGTTATCCGCTCACATGTTCTTGTTGACAGAGCTGCTCTGCAGATCTAAAACAGTGCATGGCCCATTAAAAGATATGGGTTTATGCACATTTTATCAATGGCCCAGTCCATGCATGCTTAGCTTGCTAAATAAGTTTCTGGAAGACAGCAGCAGACGATGCACGTGGGAGCAAGCCCAGGGTTGTTTCAGCACCGTTATATGTGTGCATATGAAGGATGTACTGTACAGAATGGTGTACTTCATGACGAGGGTTTTCAACTCAGATAGGATGAAGTACATAGCCAGGGGTGTCGGAAGGTATATTAGTGTGGCACGGTCAGCCATCTGAAGTACAATTTACTCGAGGGGGAGGGGCCGACGAGCCGAAAAATTTGGAAATTTAGAGCCCAGATCGGTGTATTTTATCGATTCACGGGGCAACTGGGGCAAAAAGTGGTACGGTCAATACCGTAGTGACCGTACCGTGTCCGACGCCCCTGATGGCGCAATGTTTGTATCGGCCATTACTAATTCTGGGATCCTAATCCAGCGCAGCTTCACCATCCTGATGTTCCCTGTTTCTCTTTATTCCTCCTGGTCTCTCCCCCCCCCCCCCCCCCCCTGTGGGTGGAAATTCAGATACGTCCATATCAGTGTTGAGGACCAAGCCTTATGTTAGTGATGGTGCAGACACAGCATCTACAGCATGCGCGCACAAAGTGACTGGCCCTGGATATGTAGCGTACGGCAAAGTTGAAATGTGGGTTGTCTGCCTTGTTTCACGATTACACCGCGGAATGGGCCGAAGTGACGGGGTGCTCCGCCGCTAGTTCACGGTAGTTACTAGGTTCTATAGCATTTGCCTACTCACATAAATAGGCTCCTTAGCCGTCCACATACACAGTCAAAAGGTATCATGATAAATGTTTTGATAATTGTTTCCTATTATTTTAGTTCTGAATTGTTTTCTTGTTTGAAAAATTTATGAAGAAGAAGAACAGTGCTGTCATCGAAAACATTGACACACAGCACGCGTACACAATACTCAGCAAAGTCTAGTGATGCGTAAGTTACAGTCGGCATGATAACTAAGTAACACAGTGATTCATCATGCGTGTGGAAACGCTTCCATACAAGGTGCTGACCTTTCCCAGGGCGATGGCAGTTGCAGCCAAACCAATTAATCCACCTTTTCTGCTGTTCGGGTTGTGAGACACGGCAAACTCGTCTGTCAGAATGGTAGCAATGCGAGCTACCTGTTTCATATCGCCACATGCCACAGCTTCTCGCACCAGTCTAGGACATGTCCAGCAGTCAAAGCCGAAAATTGAGAAATTACACTTCAATTTTCCAGAATAAAATAATTGCAAACTGACCTTTCCACTTCGAGGGCGGCCGTCTTCCTTTTCTCATAGAGTTTGTCATTCAGGCCGCGAACAACAGCCTGAGTTAGAGGCGAGAAATCCTTCTCCGCCATGACTCCGTGGAACAGGCTCAAATGAAGGTTGGCATGCAATTATTTCCTTGATCTTCATAGGAGACAAAACAACTCAAACTCATAGTCAAAATAAACAGCCTTGTTACTTTTTTGCAAAAATGAACGCTGTACACATTCGAAAGACAGACGTCTAGACCTAGCCCCTATGTCTGAGATCTCCGTCCTTTATGTGACGCCGCCAAGGCGCCACATCGGCACATGTCCTTCCTGGACTGATTGAACCCAAACTGTCCAAAGGCAAAGTTTAGGTAGATAAAGGTAGATTTTCATGTTTATGGCTAATGTCGAATGAAGGTCTGATCATAAACCGAGGCAAAGCAGAGGTTGTACAATTATTATTAGCCACAAATCATGGCTGAGATACTGTGCATTTATCTGCCATAGGACACACATTACTAGTGTGCAAAGAAGCTAATTGTGCTGTAGTTTTGTTTCAAGTATTGTTTGCATTCATGTTGAAGATAATCGGACAACATACGCTCAATTCGTGTGCACGGTTGATTGGTATCCCTTGCATGTATTCGGGCCTGCCGGTGTACAGTCCTGATTTATTAGATTTCCATTAGCATTATTTTTGTTATTTCAATGTTCCAATATCCACTTCGTTGATACTAAGTCATTATGCAAAACAGCATGCAGTACCTTCACGCCTTCAATCGGTTGGCGAACGCGATCATCACTCTCACACACATATGCACTCACACCACGGACGATGGCGCGTGCACTGGGAGCCGACTAGAAGGCAGGCACATCATGGCACGCATACACATACACACACGCACACGCACACACACACACACACACACACACACACACACACACACACACACACACACACACACACACACACACACACACAGTGACACACACCTGATTACGATGCTCCGAGGATACCTTAGTATACAGTCAGTACCATGGCATAACAAAATTAATATTGAATTTTCTGCTGCATGCACCTCGAGCCAAGATCAGGCAGCATACACCTCCTGCTCAGTCCCCAAAGACACAGTACACGTGACCATAAACAACACTGAGCTGAGCTGACGAGCCTACTTCAGTAAGTTTTTTTTTTTAAAGACCAGTTGAGTACAACCTGAAAAAATGTAAAGCCAACACAAGAAATCGAGTATGAAACTGTACAAGACGATGGTTGAACACAAGACGAGAACTCGCCTCATGAATGCATTGTGGGTCTGACCAATTGCAGCGGGAAAGAGTATTGTGCGTGCGTAAGTAAGCAAACAAGGGTGCAAACCTCACACGAAAATAGACACGAGAGGCAAAACAGAATAGGAGCTGTGTAGTGCTTGTACGGAGGAGAACTGGCTAGCGGCCTCCAAGCTGGCCTGTGGGTTGGAATAGATCATTACACATACAGCATTAGAAAAATAAATGAAATGCGACAGGGTGACGTTGATAACATAAAAATATATTATAAGGAACACACATACAGCATTGGGTATAAAAGGAAAGCTAAATGCGCCAAAAAAGGAAACCTAATCGCGCCGCTATAAGAAACAAGTGCAAATCGAATGCAGGGAAGGCTGTGTGCTTTTCGTGAAACTAGTACACGAGCAGGATAACGAGAAAGTATGGTAAGAGGGCAGCGGTGATATACCACAACAGGATACGCTGAGTTCATGCGTGGGTACTTGTAACAAGAAAGCGCCTTTAGGAAAGCGGCGGAAAGCACACCGTGTACGCGAGAAGCACGCGTGAACGTGTGATGGTGGGTAGCGATGTGCATGATAACGAGTATAACACGCGGTGTCGCTCTCAAGTACACTGAGAATAAATGCTCGGGGATGAGAAAACTATAACGGTGGTAGCCCAAGTAGAGGGGATCACGATGGAAAGAATGGGATACTGGTAATATAGAGGCAGTGGTACAAGGTACAAGTAGATACTGGTAATATAGAGGCAGTGGTACAAGGTACAAGGAGATATTGTCCGATTTCAGTCTAGAGTGAGGTATCCGTTAAACTGATGAAATGCTACACAGGCACGGACTGGCAAGGCAACCACCACACACAGTCCACCAACAAGCACGCAGCCCAATGCCAGCGACGACAACAACGGCAACAGCACCAGCGGCAGCACAACGAAGACGGCAACAATTAGATACGAACGCAGCAATGCCGACAACAACAACAGCCACTATGACACAACCGCTGACAACACACAAGCATCCACAACGACCTACCATGAAAAGTCAGCAAGCAATTAAAAAAAAACTCGTATCCTAGCGGCTAGAAACTCAGTTTGCAGTACGAGTCGACAGGTGTGGTGAGTTCTGGGCTGTCTCATCACTATCCTCATCATCTTCATCGTGGTATGTGCTAGCTGATTGTGCTATTCTAAGTGGGCTATCTTCCGAGATTGTTCGCACTCCAGGCGATGCCTTCGGTTCCGATACTGATGGTAGGAACTGCTCGTGAGGCATCTATCGGCATGCAAACAACAGTGGGAAAAAGAGACAGTTCCATTTTCACCCATCCATTTTCACAGCACTCTCCAAACGGTCGCTGGGCTACACCAATCACTAAAAGAAAAAAAGAGATACTTATTGACCGTTTGGAGAGTGCCGTGAAGATGTACTTCTTTGAAGTATGAGTATAGTGAATGTTTTGAAGTATGAGTATAGTGGATGGTGCAAAGTGGATAGTGGATGGCTACAGTGGAGTCTTCGCACTTTGAGAAATGAGTTCCATTTTCATGTATTTTTTATATACTCAAATTGCTGTAGGAGCACAAATTCTCGCCAGCAAAAACTTCGTAGAAGTCGTGACCATTCATAATACGAAAAGCCACAATTCCACTATTAAAAGAATTTATTTTCATTTTTTCGGTGAGAGGGATCCCTTGAAAGGTGCATTTTACAGCCGAATGTACAAAGTAGTACTAGTATGCATACAAATGACATCACAATCACTACCATCGACCCATTGTCTAAGCGGTCAATTGTATCAACGCTCATTTCAGTATCGATGGGACATCCGGCACCCTTATCAGTATCCGAACTAGAAGAAAGCCTGACAGGAAGTTTGCTGTTGCAGCAGCACAGGACAGAAGAATCCAGCTATTCTCCATCTATTCTCATACAAATTTATCCCCGTGATGTCACAGATCTGGCCTGCTTTGGGAAATAATGACGTCATCATTCTGGTGGTGACAGTCAATTTTTTTTCCTCAGACTTCCTTTTTCCATTCCCTCAACTAGTGACTATTTCATAATTATGTCAAGGAATTTATTGAAGGAATTTATTGAAAATTTCCGACTGCTGTAAATCCGGAGCAGCTGCTCTGAACGGCACTATTGGAATCAATGCACCCCCCCCCCCCCCCGGGAGTTGTGAATGTTTTATTTTAGGGTGAACTTCCAATTCACCAGAACTATGTTCGGCAAGAGCTACAGCTTCCTACCAGTTGATGTGGAGCCCGGAAGAGGTAGCGCGGCGGGTAGTGGATAAGGTTGATAAACGACTCGGCGTACAGGTCAGCATAGCGCATGGCCTGCATGGCGAAGTAAGACTGACGAGAACCTAATAAACACACACACACACACACACAGACACAGGCACACACACACAGACACACACACATAGACACACACACATAGACACACAGACACAGACACACACACACACACACACACACACACACAAACATACAATACACAAAACATGACAGGACATATGACCAAAATACATGATTGAGTATCATTGTCAATTTCAGGCTATTGGTTCAAAGTTCACTATGTGCTCTTCTCTTCACTTGTTTTGCCAGACAGATATAGTGCATGGTACACACACACACACACACACACACACACACACACACACACACACACACACACACACACACACACACACACACACACACACACACACACACACACACACACACACACACACACACACACTTGTACTTGTTGCTCACTGCCAAAACTGGTCACGTGGGTCTCCCCGGGAGAAGGGAGAGAGACTCAAAAGGAATCTTGGAAAGATGACTCAACTGGCTATTGAACCGCCCAACGGCCGACACCCCCTGAAATCCCCAAAACTCTGGGTGGACTTGAAAATGATCCCACTTATGGGCTCACCACACCTCAGTAAGTGGGTGAGGACAAGGTGCAGAAAAAGGATTGACGGCATCAGGGTATCCGTCCTGGGATCCAACTGCAGTTACCCCTGCCCCCAGTGAAGGTAATACTTGGTACACACACACACACACACACACACACACACACACACACACACACACACACACACACACACACACACACACACACACACACACACACACAGACACACACACACACACACACACACACACACATCCGCTTACCGCTTCTGAACAGACTGCCAAACCGTGATCCGTGACACCTATCCATGTCTCCGGCAGTTTTCTGCAGCGAGAACACCGGCAAGAACAGATCAATCGGGTCCAAACGTATACAAAAAAGGGTACAACAGCGACAGCAGTAGCTGTTTGAAAGAGCATACCCAGCTCTGCACGTACGCCTCATAAAAGAGGTCCTCACCCTGTTGTGAATAATGCGACTGTGCATGACTGTGTGAAACACGTAACGGTTGCAAGGATCAATTTAAGTCCGTGCACCGGAAACTGGCCTGCTGCTACGTTGCTGAGAACGCACTCAAGGCCACTATCGCCGAGAAATCGGAGCGCGATTCTAAAAAAATTGGAAAGAACAGGAAGGAGCAATTTTGGTGCAAGCCTGGCCGGATATTCAACTTTCTTATGGAAGGATGGATTACATGAGTCATTCGATGGGGCCTGTGTAAAGAAAACAGCTATTTATAAAGTGCATCTACTAAGATGTAAATCAAAAAAGGCTAGAGTGCCAGTTTCAAATGAATGGATTGTAGTTGTGGCGAGCAGCTGCAGGACAACATGACAATACAGTCAGAAGACCTCGCTTATCCGGCCCTCTTATATCCGGATCCCGTGCCATCCGGAAGAAAGTCGTTGGTTACCGATTTACAGATGTCATGCATGGATACAGTATGTGTTCGATTATCCGGTTCCCTCGCTTCACCGGATACTGTAAAAGCAGACATTTTCGGTGGTGTAATATTTTCGGTATTCTCCAAAATCGGCGGTTCGGTGGAGGGAAATTTTCGGCAAAACCCGTTTTCCAGGTAAGTGTACTAGTACTACATGTATACAGTACTGGTTGCACCGAAATTTTCGGTGCGTTTTATTTTCGGAAAATATTGTCGGCACTGAAGTTACCGAAAATAAAACACCACCGAAAATTTCTGCTTTTACAGTATTTTTGGCGGAGGTCTGACTGTATACGACCGTACTACATGTACAGTCAACTTCGCTTAAGTTATAACGACACTCGGCGGGGCATCAAAAAGGTGTCCTTTTCGCGAAGTGTCGTTATACCTGAAGTCTCATTTTATGTATTACAGTGGGATGGGACTTTGCTCTGGGCACGGGAATTCTGTCGTTATTCGCGAATTGTCGTTATATCCGCAGTCGTTATTAGCGAAGTTGACTGTACATGCTCCAGACAGCCGTCATACACAGTACCCAGAAACAAGCATGTATTTCATCGTGATGCCGCCAGCTGATGCACACATCAGACGTGGCACCTCGTGTTCGTGTAATTGGCAAACAGAGTACGTGGACAAACCCTAGTCCACAAGAGAAAGTACCTTGATTTCAGTGCGGATCTTCTCAATGTCTTTCTCCGGTGCATCCCGGTCGGGCCCTCCAGGAGTTCTTCACCGCAGGAGGAACACACCCAGACAGACAGACAGACACACATGCACACACATGCACACACACACACACACACGCACGCACACACACGGGTATATGTAAGAACAGAAGGCAAGCTGCGCTGGGTTTCATCACCTATTTGCTCAGAAACTCAACTGATGGACGGATGAAAAAGCTGGCCGGTGGCCGTCATGAACTCATCATGCACTCACACAACATACACAGGTAGTGGTACCGGTACATTTTTTACATGATCAACTTCCAGCATTGCAACATAACAAAAAACCTCAAAGAAAAATTATAAGAACAAGATTTTCATAGAAAGACAGAGGATTGGAAACAAGTGAACTGAATTCGAGAGCACCTACCGGCACATTCTGGATAGGGAGTACTCCAAAATCTTGAGCCTGCTGAAGGAGGCTGAAGAGAGAAGAAAACAACACACAACAGCATTTCCAAATTGTGTTTTCCCACTCCACTGAACCTACAGTACATTGACAGTACATGTACTACCATTGATGCCAAGGCGCTGTTGTAAAAAAGATAGCCGTGCGGGATACTACTAGGCTGTACACCTGCTGCCGCCAGTGTCAATGCACTCATGGGGCTTGATTACATCAGAACCGGGACATGAGCATTTGACAGCTGCTCGCACTACTTGCTACGTACCCTGCGCAGACTGCCAGTCTCGGATCTCCTCGTTCAGCTCGGGCACAACGAGAAACGTTCTACGCATGGAGCGGACACACGCACGCATGCACGCACACACACACGCACGCATGCACGCACACACACACACACACACACACACACACACACGTGCACATCCATACCCAGCACAACAAACAGAATAAGAGAAGGACCAGTTAGCAAAACAGAATACTATGCACAAGACAACTACATGTAGCACCAAAAACAAATACACACAGGACGGTGTGTTGGTCCGGGTACGGCCTAACATTAAACAGTAAAAAGAAGTAGCATAATATTACAAGTAAATGTCACATTAACATGCCCAGCTCACCTCCAGCCTTGGCGTTTCTTGGAACGCAAGATATCCCCAAAAATGTGGTCACCTACAAAGAGAATCTCCTGCAGAACAAGATTACAGGGAAGAAAGAATGTGAAATGCTGCTTGCCTTTCAGACTACAATTCTCATACCTTTGCTGTAGAGACTTGGAAAGACAAGAGAGGCAGGGATTCGTCACCAAACCGTTCATAATGGACAAGGAGAGGATGGCAGGATTTAAATTCAATGTAAGGTGCAGCAACGACGACGTCGCGGTCTCCTACCTTCCCTCTTGCTCCTGACAATTGACAGAATGAATCAGACGAACCTGCAGTGCACACATACAGACCAGCATTGCTACATTACACACCCATGCGAGTCGGTACTTAACTGGAACCACAAGGGCTGATAACAAATACAATGGGAGACATCCACACCACACAGGTAACCGATGTACAAAGAGGCTATCATGCTCTTGGGTAAACGCAGCGAAACCCACCTAGCTAAGCTCGCTGCCGAAGGGACCCCAGAATGTGGTTTCCACGCAAGAGAGTCACCCTTATTCAGCATCATAGGACAAAAAAAAATAGTTCGCACTATCCCAGCAGCTATTGCCACCTTCCTAGCTGGTATACCTATACAAAAGTGCCACTGCTTTTACAACAGCAGCAGCAGCCGGGTATTCACCAGATACATTATGCTACTTACCACCTGCCCAGACGCTCTCTCCTTCTCGCACTGTGCCCTTGAATTTGCCCATTTTCAGCGCACCTGTTTTCTGAAATGTCAGTCATAAACAGAACCAAAAATATTGCAAGTTGCAAGTAAATATTAGAAGATCCAAAATGAGAACTAAAACAAGGAAACACAACAATGTGGCCAACCATGCATACACAAAAGTAAATTCAGTTTCCCAGTTCAAAAGTTTTAAGTTGCAAAGAAAAAATCTGAAGATAAAATAGACTGCCAACGCCATCACCAGGACTCCAACGAGGGATCTTTGCTACAGGCCAAATCCCCCCCCCCCCCCCCCCGCAATTATTAAACCTTTAGTACTTACAGTGTCTACTTGACGAAGAGCAGTTCCTGGACAGGTGCAAGGCAATAGACAAATACATTAAGAACAAGGAGTTGTTAGCTCATGGCAAACATGGTCCACAACGATGACAACAATTCTGCTAAAACGAGAGCAACGCATAAGCCAAAGTCACACAGCTGTACATCGCCACAGTCCAACGACTCCAAACATGTCTTTCCAATTCACAAGGTGACAAATGTCCTAACACAAACAGTACCACTGCAGTGGTGGACATGTGTAGCGGTGACATACATACTAGTCTACAAGAAGTGAAAGAACATTTGGGCACTTTCACATACTGTCAAGTGAGAAACTTTCGCTAGAGATCGAATTTCGCTATTTTCGTGACCATCACACATCCTCGAATATAAATCGCCGCAAGCTGCTTTGTACATTGATTGTAGACAATACAAGATCCAATACAACTGAATAGATGAAATCGCGTAAATTTCTCATCACGAACCAGCGCAATTCTTGAAAACGCGAAATTTGCGTGCCGCAAAACGTATATCGCTTTACAGTATTCCACGGGGCCAGAGAGATGTTGACCAAAAAAGCCATTTAGTACCTATCGAAGAACCACTGATCCAAACAACTAATCTTTACTTCAAGCACTCAATTACAAGTCATCATCCCTGAAGTCCACATCTGGAGAGCCCACAGTCAACCTAAGCACCAACCTGTTTCAAAGAACAGCGGCTTCTTCGCGTCCACGACGATGTAGTCAAAGTAACTTCTCCATGGCCGGTGCTCACTGCCACGCTGCATCATTGCAAGAGAAAAAAGAAGCAAGAATGGAAGAGCATGCATGGAAATACTGAACGGAGAACAGAAACACTAAACTACACAAACACATGGGACCATGTGCTGTGCAAAATACAATCTGACTTCAGTTTAGTTTACTCAAATCAGAGAAAAAAGCAAAAAAAAGAAGCATCAACTAAGAAGTGCTCAGACAAGGAGCGGCTGACTCACCTCTGGGCCATGCGGGAAGTCAAACAGATATTCCATCACCGCCTGCACATATCCGAAACACACACACGCACACACGCACGCACACACACACACGGACAGCCATACATGAAGAGAACAGAAGCACAGGTGGGAGTACCCGCATTGTACACGCATGCATTAACAGCATGTGAAGAGCAAAAGCAGCGAGTACCAGGGCCCACTATATCCACTTGAAAGAGACCAGTGTGCAGTGTAGACCAGGCTGAATAGTGGTGGGTGGTCAATTATTCAGCCTTGCAAGCTATTGAATGGTGCAATCCCAGCACAAGTTGCTATGACTTCTGATGTACTCAAGTAGCATCCCTTTCATCGTCTCCGGTGATGGGCGTCAAAGGTCAATATCATCCTGTCAAGCAAGTAGCATGCAACAAGCCCCATTTCCGAAACTCTGGTCCCGTGTGGGACACCTTTACAGTCAAGAACGTGCCGTAGTCCGATACACTTAAAGTCAAGAATGTGCCGAAGTCGGATACACTTTAAGTATGTAGACGTTAGGAGCATCAGTGAATTATAGCTGCTGTGCATGCCAGTTCTACATGGCTTGTCATCTCCGAGCAGGCACATACTAGTATGCATGCCCCAAACACAGTCAACACAGTCAACACAGTCAACACAGCCAACACAGCAGTACACACTGAATCAATGGATTTCTTACATCTGTGTAGTGCCAGCCACTGTTGGTGATGAGAAAGACCTTCCGCTTGGAATCACGGATCCTGTCAAGTCAGAAAGGAGAGAGAGAGAGAGGGGGGGGGGGGAAGAGAGAGAGAGAGAGAGAGAGAGGGGGGGGGGGGGGAGAGAGAGAGAGAGAGAGAGAGAGAGAGAGAGAGAGAGAGAGAGAGAGAGAGAGAGAGAGAGAGAGAGAGGTGAATGGGAAATTCACGAACGGCTATGGTCCACAATATTCAACCATGTTCGGCAAACTAGAGGGTCGTGTCACTGGAGGTGGAAATACTTTTGATGCAACTGTAGCAGACTGGAGATGAACAATTCAGCAATTTTGTACCAGCATGACCACACACACACACACACACACACACACACACACACACACACACACACACACACACACACACACACACACACACACACACACACACACACACACACACACACACACACACACACACGAGAACTGCAACAGAAGAATCACTACAGCACTGACTCACTCTTTCAACAAGCGAGGAAGACGTTCCTGAAACAACAAGATCCCAATCAACAAGAGAAAATAGCCCGTTAACAGCATGTCCACAATACTAACACAGACACTGTAGAATATTTTCGTCTGTCCACACATTGATCGATGCAGTCTACTCGCGATAAGTCACATAATTTTGCAATCCGGATGGCACGTACGTGAATACTGTATAAAATGGACAAGTTGTTCCTCCGTGCTTTACTCCGCCATCTCAGACATGTCCTCTTCGTGACTTCCCAGATACTCAAAATTCCTTTTCCTCAAAATCCTGCACACTGATCAAGTTCATTTTCAGGGTGGGCTGTCCAAAGTAAGTACATGTACTCGGTTTTGTACATAGTGTGGTTGCAGCCTTAGCTCTTGAAGCCCGCAGTTACAATAATTAATCACTTGTTTCCTTGTGTCTACAGACAGTGTGCGTCTAGGCTTGTAGCGACTAGAACTAACTCCAGCAATAGAAGAGAAGCAGCCGCACACACTTATTGTGATGCACACCGGGCAACCGCTGGTGTTCAATAACATAAAGACTACACAGTACACAGTCTCCAAGAGTGTGCAGCCATACATCACCTAGTCCCCCCCCCCCCCCCCCCCCAAGAAGACGCACTAGAGGGTGGAGCCATACAATATGCACATTCAGTAGCCCGAGTTTCACATCACTTGACATGACTCGATGGGCCATGGTAGCATGCGAAAGTGACCACCAGAGACTCGTATCCCGAAGCCAGCCAGGCTCAGGATACGACTCTGCAGTTATCATGTACCAGGGCGAGTCGAGTGGTCACATCATGTGAATTTGACCATCACAGACCCCATGGACTACAGATGCACACTCCTGGGTGCACTGTTGACCATGACAGACCCCATGGACTACAGATGCACACTCCTGGGTGCACTGTTGACCATCACAGACCCCATGGACTACAGATGCACACTCCTGGGTGCACTGTTGACCATGACAGACCCCATGGACTACAGATGCACACTCCTGGGTGCACTGTTGACCATGACAGACCCCATGGACTACAGTCCATTCAGAAAAAAATGAACTTCTAGCTTTTGGCCATAAATGGGTCAAACGTTGAGTTTTTTTAGAATTTTTTTCTGCAACCCTCTATGGAATCCTCTTCCAATTATGTTTCTGAAGTTTTTTTCTCCAAAAAGCAAGCCATAACAAGAATAGGATTTCGGCCAGGTTTTGTCCCCAAAGCATTGAATTGGGAAAAACCATAAAAATCCAGGCCGTTTGACCCCGTCTGCAACAGTGCATTGTGCGGTTCGAACCCCAGTTCAGGTACCCTTTTTGGACCCTTTTTCAAATTTCAAATTTCGCAGCACTGCACTGTGTACGATGAAATCACGAAAAATCGCCAAATACGGGAGCTCGCCAGAGCCAGAGCCCATCTTTTTATGAATGGACTGTACACATGCACACTCCTGGGTGCACTGTTGACCATCACAGACCCCATGGACTACAGATGCACACTCCTGGGTGCACTGTTGACCATCACAGACCCCATGCACTACAGATGCACACTCCTGGGTGCACTGTTGACCATCACAGACCCCATGCACTACAGATGCACACTCCTGGGTGCACTGTTGACCATCACAGACCCCATGCACTACAGATGCACACTCCTGGGTGCACTGTTGTCAACAGTGTTGACCATCACAGACCCCATGCACTACAGATGCACACTCCTGGGTGCACTGTTGACCATCACAGACCCCATGCACTACAGATGCACACTCCTGGGTGCACTGTTGACCATGACAGACCCCATGGACTACAGATGCACACTCCTGGGTGCACTGTTGACCATCACAGACCCCATGGACTACAGATGCACACTCCTGGGTGCACTGTTGACCATGACAGACCCCATGAACTACAGATGCACACTCCTGGGTGCACTGTTGACCATGACAGACCTCATGGACTACAGATGCACACTCCTGGGTGCACTGTTGACCATCACAGACCCCATGGACTACAGATGCACACTCCTGGGTGCACTGTTGACCATGACAGACCCCATGGACTACAGATGCACACTCCTGGGTGCACTGTTGACCATCACAGACACCATGGACTACAGATGCACACTCCTGGGTGCACTGTTGACCATCACAGACCCCATGGACTACAGATGCACACTCCTGGGTGCACTGTTGACCATGACAGACCCCATGAACTACAGATGCACACTCCTGGGTGCACTGTTGACCATGACAGACCTCATGGACTACAGATGCACACTCCTGGGTGCACTGTTGACCATGACAGACCCCATGGACTACAGATGCACACTCCTGGGTGCACTGTTGACCATGACAGACCCCATGGACTACAGATGCACACTCCTGGGTGCACTGTTGACCATCACAGACCCCATGGACTACAGATGCACACTCCTGGGTGCACTGTTGACCATCACAGACCCCATGGACTACAGATGCACACTCCTGGGTGCACTGTTGACCATCACAGACCCCATGGACTACAGATGCACACTCCTGGGTGCACTGTTGACCATGACAGACCCCATGGACTACAGATGCACACTCCTGGGTGCACTGTTGAGAGCATACTGGTAGTACAAGTACATAAACTCACATCCTTGGCAATGTACAAGCCCAGGTTCTCGATAGTCTTCTGCTTTAGATTGCCCTGAAACACATTACAAGAATATCAAAAAAACAAATCTGTTCACCAACAATTTACATTCACTCGGGATAATGGAAGTTAGTTCCAAACGAAACTTTCTGCCTGCATCTGTACACAGTAGTTTCTCGCAGACAATTTCAGGAAATCCAAAGCCCCTTGCAAGGACAAAAGCAAAACAAACATGGTATATTTAGTACCATCAGGTACGGTATTGACAGGCAATGGAGACTGAGCATTTACAGGCAGAGTTACGGGGAAAGCTGCAATTCTACTTGACACATGGGGCGGCACGGTCACGGTAGGGTGTACTGCAGTTCTGGCCCAGAGAAATCCAACCTCATGAATAGAGTAGTGCCGCGTTTGAGTGCACAGCACAGTGCATGTAGTGCCAAGGCTGCGTAGCGCCCAGCACTACCGGTATTTTATTCATGAAGCTGTTGGATTTCTCTGGCCAGTACCGTACTTGCAGCGCATGTACTGGTACACGTCATTGTACTGCTCTCACCTCTATGTGAATGTAGTCAACAGCCATGCGGATATCCTGAAAGATGCTGCTGTAGAGGAGAATGAGATCCTCGCTCTCCACGCCTGTTCCTGATTTCAGCCTGCACACAAGACAGCGGCAACAAGACGACACGCCGTTTAGAAGTATCCATAAGGATGCAGGTTGACTGTGACAAACACACACTTAGCTGAGTGTAATCCATCAACACATCACCTACACACGGTTTCATTGCATTTCCGCGCAAGGGAATTGAAGACTTCCACCGTACACCATATAAAACCCGTTCACATTTGTTCAAAGGAAAAATACAAGAGGCAAACCCCACTTCAGATATCTACCATTAACCAGTTCCAAGCTTTGTAATATGTACATCTTGTCAACATCTTGAAAATGAAAACCAAAATAGCTGCTGGTGGTCCAAGCCACCAATATCTAGCATTAGCATTCCCTTCTTCTCTTTCCTATGGCTGGTCAACATCCGCTCTCTTCACCTTGGCCAAAGTTCTTACCAGTGGCGGATCCAGGGGGGGGGGGGGGGGGGGGGGGTTCCGGGGGTTCCATGGAACCCCCTAAATTTTGCAAAGTGTGCTGCTGAGAAATATCGATAAATGTCATGTGTGCACAAAACTTCATCCGTACGTCCGATCACAGTCATAATCAGTGCAGTCACTGCATGCGCGTTCGGTAGATCGATACTGCATGTATACCGGTAGTCTAGTACAGACAGTGTACTAGTCTGTACTGGTGTTCACGTCCGTGATTTACAAACGGACACTATACACAACATTGGGTGGTTGTTTCCTTTTTGATCTTTCGAAACGATCCAAACTTACCTCCATTGGCGCTGTCATTCACTGCTGCTCAGGATGGGTGCGGTCAGTATTCCTTGGACAAGTTTTTTTTTGCAGAAGAGAAAGGATGTTCCGAGTGATGACACTCTTCAACGAACTTCGAATCGTACACGTAGAGTTCAAGCTCCTCAGAAGATGAGGGCTCCGACATCCAAACAAAGTCAGTAATCTCTACCTGCTGCAGCATGCAGTAGTGACTAGTTGTTCCTCCGCAGGAACGGAGTGCTGCGCCAGCGATGTGTTTTAGATGACATTGGAAGGATTGTGCAATTGTCGACACTGTTTCGCTGTTGTTGTTTCTGTCACTGAAGCGAAGACGATGCTCTTGTCCTGTGACTATAGAGCATTTCGCATCGTAAAAATGCCAAAAATTTCCGAAAGTACAAATGGACAGGGAAAGTAATTTAGTTGTCATTTCGGCAATCCTGGCTCTCAACGTACCCATGTATGTACTCAAGTATATTATGATTATGTGTCCGTACTAAATAATAATTATACAATGCAGCCTTTGTAGGGTAAGCAGCAGCATTTGGCCCTGTACAGGTTTTCCATCGTCCACCACACCACAACTGCGCGCTCCAGCGATGGTGGTGTGCTGTGGCAACGTTACGTGTCGAGGCCGGCTGGAGGGTGCAGTTATGGTGTGGTCGATGATGGAAAAATGTATGTCCGTAGTGTGTTTTAAAAGCATGCGATTGCCACTAACACAATCGGATTGTCGTAATTACATGTGTCAACCGCACAACTTCAAAACAATCTGATTCCATAATATTTTGGCTGTTCAATTTTGGTTCAACCGGAACCCCCCTGTAGAGATCTCTGGATCCGCCCCTGCTTACTGGGTTTTGAGATGTACATGTAAATACTAATGAGCTACGATCAGCAAAAACAGACCTATAGGAAGAATTTTTCAATACCAGTATCGTTTTTCACTGAAAATTGTTTGTTTGCATTTGATGGTCATGTACACAAAGTTTGAAGCGGATTGGATAAGGGTAAGTGAGTAAAAACTGGACCGGAAGGATACACATTCTAGGTGAAATTACTAGTATGTGCTATCCAAAAAAGCACCTCTCTCTCTGTGAGAATCATTGTCACTCTGCTCCTCTTTAGTTGCTTGTCCACATCCAGAACACTTTGGGATTGATTTCTGAATCAGGTAGGACTTCATTTCTTGTTTTAATGCTAAGCCTCATGCTCATAATGACAAGTTGACTTCATTCAATTGACCATCGAGCACAAGATAACACAAGCACCTAGTTTAGTGCAGCGTACTGGTTCTTGTGCTGGCCAGCACAGCTACCAGGAGGAGCTTTATACACAGAACAACTGGATTCCCTGAGATAGTGGAATACCATGTTTACTGCAGCGTTGGCAGCACCTCAGGGGTGCATAGCGAACGCACGGTGAGCATAAACTCTTCATATCGATATTGAACACCACACGCGTTTGACAGCTACAACTAATACTAATTACATGTATAGCTTTTTCATCGTCTCAGACAGCCCAGCCGGCATTAGGCCGGATTGGTGGCAGGCAGGTAGCAGTGGTAGTAGTGTAGTGTAGTTGTAGTTCAGGTAGCCAGGTTGCGACAAGGAGAAATCTGTGCATTATGGACGAGCTCTCAAGTGCGGAGCATGTAGAGCTACTCTGTAGTACTCCCGGGATCCACCACAACATGATCAGTATGTTAGAAAATTTGACTGCGTTCATCAGCGAAGTCAGGGACAATGAAGTCCGCCTCCAGCGGAGAGTAGACGATCTCTCTAACGTAGTCATGAAGCTAAGGCAAGAAGTGACATCGCTGAAGGAGTCCGCCATTACAGCAGACAAGGCCAGCAACAACAAGAAATCGGTCAAAGAGAGGTCAAAAATCGTGTGTACGGGGAATGCCCCCGCATCCGTGACCCCATGTACAGATCAACATTCTGTGAGCCCAGTTCGCGAACCGACCCTACAGTTCGACAGTTCAAATCCACTCGCTGGAGCAAGTGTGCCAGAGGTGTGTCGTACTCAAAGATCGGCAACGCAAATCCAAAATTAAAGCCTGCTGCCCAGCTTTGAAGACGACAGTGATGACAGTGGACTTTGGGAGCTAATCTGCTGCAAAAAGCCCACTGGAAAGAGAAAAAGCATATTCGTGGGGAAGTTACCGAGTAACACTAGTGCGGAGAAACTCAGTCAGTTCGTCACCACCCGAGCTAGCACAGCGAAAATCAAGTTCAAATCCACGAGTGCAAGATCTTCCGGAAGGAAGCTAGATCCTCCGCACGACTCGTAGTCAACTTGAAAACGGCTGCGCTGGTCAATTCCAAGGGATTCTGGCCGCGACCAGTTTACTCACGCTAATGGATTTTTTTATCAGCACCCGTCCGACAACCAACCTCCGGACGATCAACATACGAGCGCAACCAAACGAGGACGGGAACTAGCCATGGACGTCCCGTCTCGCATTCCCCTTTCGCCATCGCTAATCCCACTTCCAGGAAGCAATCGCACTGCAACAAGCAGCGGTTAACCGTTACCTGCATAACCAATATGTTGTCGATATGAACACCTCTGCTCCTCGTCAACTTCGTTGGCTTGTCTATTTTCGGCAGGTAGTCACAGCTATTTCTGAGTTGGCCGTAACGCCAGTCGCCATGTCAAAGCCGAAATAACAGGTCCTCAGCTTCGGGTAGTCCTTGCTCGGCCTCATAAACTCCAGATAAATTCACTACTGTGACCACGAGCCATTCTAACTACTGTAATTTCACAAATTTTCGGTGTACTTTTATTTTTGGTACTTTCGGTGCGTCTGTTTCATACCTACAATTTCAATACACCGAACAAACACTAAAACACATAATCCAATAGGGAACTGCTTCTCTGTACCGGAAATTTCCGTTCACCTAACCTAGCCTGTTGCCCTCATACCGAAAATATTGAGCACAGAAAATTTCTGAAATTAGAGTATCCGCTCAACAAAATAATTTCAACCAAGCGCGATCGATCGTTGTGTTGAAGTTGTGAATTATTTGATTTCCTCCATTTTTCCGGCAAAAGCTATAAGTCAGATTTAGCTGATCACGGCTCAAATATCGCTAAGAAATATATATGAACAATCTACATTCAGGCAGTTCACTTCTGCGACTGATCGTGGAGACGATCCTTTAATATAAAACTATGAAAGGGATAAACTATGCACTCATCCCTTGATACACACATCAAGGCAAGGTAATGCTGGTGGCTCGGTTCTAAGACCATTTTCTTGCGATGGTCATCGGTAAGAATCTAGTGACGAGTGCACAATTTATCTGCTTCACATCCATATTAAAATTGAAAACAGAGACAGTTCCTTGAAGGAAATAGGTATAGCAATGCTGCACGCATCAAACACTCACTTCTTGAAATCAGCATGGGTATCGTAGTAGTTCACCAGGCATGCCTGGATGTACACTTCAGGCAGATTGAACAGTGTGTTCATACCGAAATAGCGACTCTCAGCGGGCGAGACGAACTTGTTGGGGTAGCATTGGCGAATCACGGCTTGGTCAACGTCACTGAAGCCATGCTGGCACAAGAGGATGTTGCCATACATATCCAGCTGAGCAGTACAGCCAAAAACAACAACAGATAACGGTTAAAATCAACAGAATGGTATGTGTAGCAAGTTGCACCAGTATTAAAAAAAAAGAATGGGAACTTCCCCAAGTCCAGGTAAAATGTATGGGGAGCCAGTTTAAGTAGTACAACAAACACTAGTCTTCTTCACAACAATATCCACACTAGTACTGGTCCATGCTTGTTTAGAAAAGACCTTGGAGGGACCATTGTCCGGTTCCGCCTTGACCCCATTGTTCTTCGGCGACCGACAGTACAGTAGACAGCAGGGTTCTAGCCAGGAAGTAATTGCAGGGGTGGGAGCAGGGAAACAAACAGTTCGCCCACTTTTTCCCTGTTCCACAATCACGTTCTCAAACAAAAAGCAATGTACGGGCGCAGCGAGCACTTGGAGCAATCGACTTGAGGCCGAAGTCTCATTTTGTGAGCTGAAAAAGCATAAATATCGAAAAATGAGGAGGGTAGCGCACTATCAGAGGCATTTGGCAAACACCACTATTAGTAACAGGCGATGCTTACCTTGAGTAAGTTACCATACTCTTTATCAAAGAACAGCCCTCTACAGCAGACACAAGGCAGAGCAAAAGTGCAGAGAAAAATACTAAAGCTTCCACGAAGCTTTGCACTCAAACAAATTGCAAGTATGAGTTGTCCCTAATTCAAGTGTGTAGGTCGTTTTTCAGGTCCGGACAAACAACTACCACTGACACACAACACTGGGTACAGTGTAGATTCTGAACTGGTCTTTTCCCCACTAGTTCCTGCTGAACCGTGCTTCGATATTTAAAAAAAAATGAAGTACAAGTAATAAACTTCTTTTGGTAGAAAAGCAGCACTGCAGTCTGTATGTCAGCTGGCCGTCCCGGCTTCGAACTCATATACACGACTCCCGTAATTCGCATACTCAGCAGCATCCGACTGCCTCCTGGCAGTGCAGCAGCACGAGGACTTCATGTGAGTTTAACATTCTCCTGCTGGCGTTTCATGCCCAACGGTTTGTAAATTCTCCGGGAGACTCTCCCCAGCCTTAGCTGCAAAAGTGATACCGGTACATGCATTTGCTCAATGCCGAGCTGAATGAAGTCTTTCACATGCAAGCACATAGAATTCTAACATCATGAAATATCAGATAGGGGAGTAGACAGGGAAATAAGGACCATTGCGGCAACATTCAAGAAAAAAATTCTAAAATGACCCAGCATCCCATCCAGTGCAGACCATGAAGATACATAGATGATAGTATTACATACCGTTGTGGAAAAGACGGATCATACTCGATGTCTAGCAGCTCCTGTGCAAGAAAACATGGACAAAGGGGCACAAACACCAATCACAAGTGCTGAGGAAGTCACAGAAAATAATGACAAGAGAGCTGTATTCAAAACAAAATACAGAATACATACATTCTAAGAAATACCGACACTTTATGGCTTTACGTCGAGAAGATGATCAAAACTCTGCAGCCAAGCACTGCGGCAGCTTGTCGGAAACCCACATAAGCTATTTTTTTGTCACCAGTCGCTTCGCTTCTGGCAGTCTGTCAGCCTTGCTCCTGGGCCAGAGCTGCATCAGCACAGCCTCTAGAGTATCGCTTCGCTTCATAACGCAATAACAAAAACTAGGAAACTCAAAGAAATGCAGTGGAAGCTGCGGGTGATTAACGGTATAATCTTCTGCAGAAAAGCACAGCTTTGAGCTGATTTTCAGCGACTGGATTATTGATCTCAAATTTCCTGCTCAGCGGCAAATATCCTTGGAAACCACGGGTTTTCGTTTTATTTTCCCTCAGTGTGACCGGGCCCTAAGGGCCCGGTCACACATGCACTCGAAAGTGGCGTATACGCTGAAGCGAGGTCGCAGGAGCGAAAAATGGCATGGCAACGGCGAAAAGCGGAACTTCCGCTTCAGCGGAAACTCCAATCCGCTTCCTCCAAAATTTTCGAAGCGAGACTGTCGCTTCTGCGGATTCGCTTCGGCGGAAAACACCGCGGTCTGCTGTATATGGACTTGCTACGAGAAATTTGTATGCGTATGATGTCCATGCAACAAAAATGCGTGCAAGATAGTCGAGACCGGTGTCGATCCTCGTCTATTCTCCGTACCGTATGTACCACAGTCCACTTTACTCTCATTTTCCGCCAAAGTAGGAGTTGTGCCCTGTTTGCATGTGTGACCATACACACGTGGTTTCGCTGGAGCGACACCAGGCTCGCTGCCGCCGAACCTCGTCGCCGAAGCGAAACCCCAATGCATGTGTGACCGGGCCCTTAACCCATCATCTCACATTCTTAGAAAGCAGAGTTCATTTTATTCTATTCACGCTTCCATACTGCCTGGGGGCTCCACATTGAGGTTAACCCAGGTTTTGCATATGTCAAACTGCACCAACACCCCAAGACAAAGGGGAGGCAAGGGTGAGACAGCAAGCGCACACTGAAAAACTAAAATACCAAGAGAGAGAGAGAGAGAGAGAGAGAGAGAGAGAGAGAGAGAGAGAGAGAGAGAGAGAGAGAGAGAGAGAGAGAGAGAGAGAGAGAGAGAGAGAGAGAGAGAGAGAGAGAGAGAGAGAGAGAGAGAGATAGATAGATAGAGAGAGAGAGAGAGAGAGAGAGAGAGAGAGAGAGAGAGAGAGAGAAAGAAAACTGTTGCAGTTAATACAGGCCACACAGAGGACAGGACTAACCTTCGGATAGCCGATCTCCACTAGCCGCTTCATGATCAAATCATACGAGGTTTGCTCATAGATTGGCGATTTGTAAACTGCAGAGAAAGAATGTATGTGTAACACACACACACACCCGCGCGCATACACACACACACACACACACACGCACACACGGCAGATTCGGGCCAGACAGCCCCAGGCATTATAACTATGTCTCTATTCGCTTTAAAAACAGCAACCAGGGTTCAATAAGTTTGCTTGTCGTCTCGTGCACCCTGCTACATGTCCATGTATTGGAATTAACCAAGCAAATTTAGAACATGGCTTTAATGCCTGTCATCAAGTCGACGGTAACACATTCCTCTGAAGTTCAGTACTACCCCGCTTTCAACTCCCTCAATCTTATGAATATCAGGGTGTATATATTTGTAATAATATTATTATTACAAATCACCACCAACAGGAGGCTGAAGTGGACGCATGGCGGTGCCCCAAGCATTGAACAGATCGGTAAACTGCAATGTTCCACACTGTGCATCACTCAACAAGATGTGTGCTTGATGGACATCATACACACTCCTTTTTATACCCTATCACGAAGCAATCGAAACCAAGGTGACAACCTTGGAGACAAACACAGTGCTAATTTACGACAGTGCACGGGCCACTATGCGCTTCCGCGAGAAGCCGGAATGTTTGCGAAGGGCAGTGTACTCACTTGCTAGTGTGTAGTCCATGTCAAAACCAACGTACTTAATCGTATTCATGTTCAGACTGCGGTTGACAAATACTCTGCCAGAAAAAAGAAACAACAAAAAAAGAAAGAAAGAAAAGCACAGGAGAAGGATTGATGACAGACTGTCACTGTGCTGTCAGCAAGCAACAGCTGCATTGTGCACAGTGCCCCCAAGTACACAAAAGTGCATGTGATCGCAACATGGTCTTTCCCGGACTATGTGCTCATGAAAAGAAAGAGAGTGTGTGCGTGTGCCAACGTACATGACTAGCTGGGCACATCATGCTAATAACAGAGGTAAGTGCCCGATATCTACAGCAATGGAAAGCAAATTCGTAGCGTGCTTCATACGATCAGCAGAAAGCGCTGCAGGCATCTCACAGCGTACATGTACTAGTGAGTATTGAGAACAAGAATTGGTTCCGTGCTCCTACCTTGAGCTATGTGTTTTCAATCCTGACGGACCATCGTGATCGTCTGCCTCTCCGCCTAGTTGAAGGTTCAGCGCGGACAGTCCCTTTTCACTGATGTCGAGACCAGTTAGCAGTTTTGTTAGGTCACTACGCGATGGGTTGGAATCATCGCAGCCGATATCTTGCAATGATATCTGGAGCATGGCAACACACATATGCACATGCACACACACACACACACACACACACACACACGCACACACACACATTAGTGTTGTAACTTGTTAGTGCCCTCTCTCGAATAGAGTCTCCCAGTGAGGGGACACTCGAAATATAAAGGCCGTTCTCGCACAACACTCCACACTGGCATTCATGTGCGAGTTGTTGTTGCCGCTTGCAGTACTGACCGTGGCCCCATCGTTGCCGTCGCAATGGCAGGTCAGTATGAAGTGTGACGCAAACTCATTACCAAAAAGAAAAGCAGCTCTAGAGCATGGCCTGTGTGAGGAGAATGGAATGAATGACTGCCCTAATGTTACTGCTCCACGTTTTTTCAGTGCTCTTACAGGGGCTCATCAGGTGTAAGCGAACCGACAGTCGTGATGGAGACCATGAGCGGGTCGTCAAACAACCCGTGTTCGCTAGAACGCTATCCGAGGTACATTGATTACCCGGACGTCAACTATCCGGATGATGATCGATTATCCAGATCGCCTGGTCGGGCTGGACAAAAAATAATTAGCAGGTTTTTCGAGGTTTTTGCTGGTTTCACCCACTCGGAGCACCATTCAAGCGATGCACAAGATGTATTGCAACAGGTTGGAGTCGAAATGTACACAGGTAGTATCATTTTGAGCAGCTGGAGTGCGCCTAGTTCCTGTTGAACTGTCCACGAGAATGAAAAAATAATGAAAACATGCAGGAGATGTGTGACGGATCCCTTATCCAAACAATCTTCTCATCCGGACCCCCTGGAGACGACGGCCCGTGCCCAGAGGGGTGCGGACAATCGGCACTCCACTGTAGTTAGATTGGTTTGAATTGAGTAATGCGGTTTGCTCTTGAATAGGGCCGCCCTGTCACCGACACGGATGAAAATAAGGTTTTAGAAGCCGCTCCTGAATAAAGCCCTGTCTGGAATTGTACCCAGCTACCGTAAAAGTCCGTAAATAAGTACCTGCCCGAAATAAATACCCCCTTCATTCTTTTGACTCGGTCTGTTGAAGTCAAGTCAAGCCCAATAAAAATACTGCCCGAAATAAGTACCGGTACGGTGCGCACATGCAGCATGTAGCCTGCACATCTACATAAAATGACTTTCTCCACTACACGCAAGTCAGGCCCGAAAATTAGTTCATGCCCGAAAGTCAGTACCCGCCCGAAAGTTAGTACGGGCGCCGCCACTAAATTCAAAAGTAAATACGTACTTATTTACGGACTTTTACGGTATCTGGTTGATGGGGTGGGGTTGAAAAAACAAAGCCCCTGGACCCTAGTCGCCAGGACGGTATGTGCAAACTCCAGTCAGGTGCGATACATAACTTTTGCTACTACCGTAAAATCCCGCCAGAGCACCCCTACCTCCTCGACGCTTCGGGTGGGGAGGGGCCCGGCGGATGGGCGAGTCCTACTTGCCGCATTCAGTACGTACTATACATGAAAAAGTACTCACCCTACGAAAACTGTTCGTGCATCTCGTACACCGACCAAAGGTCAAGAGCCAGGAGTCGTACAGGCCCGCCAAAACTCAGGGTTTGTGCGATCCCTGGTCAAGAGGGTGGGCACTGTTGCGTACATTACCAATGGGGTCGAGCACGCGTCTGCAGTGCAGAACGGCATCACAGACTGTGACAGAGTCATACGAGGATACAATCAATCACGTCCCTGACAAGAAGTCAGGGAGGGGCGGATGGGAGAGACGGGGCGCTCTGGCGGGATGGGAGAGACGGGGCGCTCTGGCGGGATGGGAGAGACGGGGCGCTCTGGCGGGATGGGAGAGACGGGACGCTCTGGCGGGATGGGAGAGACGGGGCGCTCTGGCGGGATGGGAGAGACGGGGCGCTCTGGCGGGATGGGAGAGACGGGGCGCTCTGGCGGGATGGGAGAGACGGGACGCTCTGGCGGGATGGGAGAGACGGGGCGCTCTGGCGGGATGGGAGAGACGGGGCGCTCTGGCGGGATGGGAGAGACGGGGCGCTCTGGCGGGATTTTACGGTACAATCATCTACATGTACAGGTACTCTAATTTCAGGTACTCAGGTACTCTAATTTCGTAAATCTAGGTGCTCAATTTTTTCGGTATGAGAGCAAAAGGCCACGTTAGGTGAACAGAAATTTTCGGTACAGAGAAGCAGTTTCCTATCGGGTTAGCTTATAGGTGTGTTAGTGTTTGTTCGGTTTATTGAAATTTTAGGTATGAAACAGATGCACCGAAAGTATCTTGGAACATGTACCGTATATTCTCTATTATAAGCGCCGTGGCTTATATTTTTTCAACACCCCTCTACCCCCTGCTTATATTGGAGACCGCGCTTATATTGGAGACTGCGCTTATATTTTTTCAACCAATACAATCCTTACAGAGCAAGAATAAATACATGCTAGATATCATGCATGCAGCATTGATTTCCACCAAGACCGTGCTAATAATAGAGACTGTGCTTATAAATAATGTTTCGAAAGGTGCTCGCAGTGTGCTAGTATTAGAGACTGTGCTAGTAATGGAGACCTGTGCTTATAATAGAGAATATACGGTACTTGAATCTCTCTTGATTGTACTTGATTATTTCAGTGTAGTGCTGGGTCGGGGACTGCGATACAAGTCACAGTTTTCAGGGCATTCTGCCATTTCTGGAATTTATGGAACCTGAAACAGGATTGTACGCGGTGTCAGATTTCTAGTACAATAACTGTGTAGATACGCTACATAGTGAGTGCACCTGTCGACACATGCTTGGCAGTGTACAGTGCGTGTACTGGTGGTGTTTTGAGAACTTCTGGCGCTTGAACTAGGCCATATAGGGCTGGTTGTGAGCTCAAACGATGAAAGCATGCCAGGAAGCTCAATGCTGTGCAAAAATTTAAAGGGGAAGTTAAGGCTAAAATCAAAATTTCACCAGTTGTAGTCTTCGGGGTGCTGAGTCGAATGGTCTTGGTCCGAGGAAGCTGAGACGCTCCCTTCCTACTTGAATCCCAATCGAAAGCGCCATTTCGTTCTTATAAAAGCACGGATGACCGCGATTGGCCCATATGTTGTAGTCTTGTGGACGCTGAGTCGACTGGTTTTGGTCCGAAAAGGCTGCGATGCAGCGTTTGGCCCTTATTCCCAATCGAACATGCTTGAACAAGCGGTCACGTGCTCCTGCGTACACCAGTCACCTGGTCACCGTGCCTGCAGGGTACAACTTAGAGCCTGTTTGACCTTTTTTGGGTGCAGTCCTGTCACTCGAGTTGAACGCGAGTTGAACCTTGGTGTGAAAGTTGTCACCTGCTGGCGCTGTGAGCAGGTGACTTGGGCACGCAGGAGCACGTGACCGCTTGTTCAACCATGTTCGATTGGGAATAAAGGAGGAACGCTGCATCGCAGCTTTCTCGGACCAAAACCAGTCGACTCGGCGTCCAGAAGACTACAACATATGGGCCAATCGCGGTCATCCGTGCTTTTATAAGAACGAAATGGAGCTTTTAGTGACATTTTGCATACAAGTCCCCATCTAGTAGGGCGCAGTCACCCAGTTTCGGTGGAAGTGCGCGAGTTCGATTGGGATTAAAGTAGGAAGGGAGCGTCTCAGCTTCCTCGGACCACGACCATTCGACTCAGCACCCCGAAGACTACAACTGGTGAAATTTTGATTTTAGCCTTATTAACTTCCCCTTTAAACAATGGGGGAGCTCATCTTATTTTCCAAGATGCTTCAATACAAACGCCCAGCAGCCAATGGCAGTTCACGAGTAGCTACACATAATGTAGAAAGCTGGAGTACTCCATCTGGAATGCGCAGCGAACAACAGACACGGCAGTGCAGTCTTCACCATCACGAGAAATACCACCGCCCGCACAATGAATGGGAAACTGTCAGGCTAGACTGTCGGTGGCCGAACACATGGGCAGGAAACATTGAGCGCGGCGTTGATGGCATACTAGTATCAGTCCAAGACTTGTTTTCTCAACATACTCTTTTTTATATCGTAACGTACGTATACGTTACACTGTGAACGAATTCCAAAAGCCAATGAATACACAAACATACCCCACGGGTGAAGTCAGCTGAGTCTCTTCCATCGTGATGTGCCATTCTTGCACTTCCGATGGCTTGAAGAAGAAGGCGATATACTTTTCGTGCAGAAAGACGACTTTCACGGAGACTTGGGGTTAAAAAATACAAGTTGCGACAAGACGAAAGCATGCGAGCACTCGCCACTCCAAACAAAAGAGCTGCGGAATGAAGCTTTGACTCGACAAACCCTTTTTACTTGTAAGCAGATGGCATCTACATGTAGCCTTTTACTTTTGAAGTGAACATGTTTGTAGACTTGTCGGAGGCTCGAGGCCGCTTTGTGAGTCTTTGTTGTGACTTTTTTTGAACAACTTGAAAACAACGTGACCAATGATAGCCTAACGATGATGCAATATTTGCGATGCATGAGTCATGACAATTACTTATGTAATACATGAATTGTACTACAAAAATAATAGTACGGTACAATCAGGGAGTTGACACACACCACACTCCCTTTCTGGGTACAATCAAGAGTCCATAACCCATGGACTCTTTGATCTTGGTAGATCTACAATGAGTACGATCTACAATGAGTACGATCTACAATGAGTACGATGACCATGTCCATGATGACATGACGCAAAAGGAGACGGTATCGCGGATTTAGCGGTGCGCGGCGCGGTATGCAGGTATGGGTCGGACACCTGGTCACCACATGCCAGCAACACAGAACACATGAACACACAAAACTTCAAAAGGTCGATGTCACGGGATCGGATCGGGCAGTTTTTGCTTTGAGGTGCCTCCGCTGCAGTTCCGGTGATATAAATATGACTCCTGAACTCTGGAGAAAGAAGTAGGTTACAACCAGGTGCAAATATGTACCAAGTACATGTACAATGACTGTAGCAATGGACTCCTCAACAGTGCGACACATGCACACGCCGACGAACAGTAAAAAAACATTCCTGATCCTACAGTAGTGACACATGGCAGATAAAAAAAGTTGCAGTTAGATGTTACTGGCATCGGTCATGATGGTCTCTTTGGCGGCGTGTGCATGTACACGTACTTCAAGAGTCGTCTTGTGGATTTCACTGGGTGACGGGTTGGTGACAAGTCGGGTCACGTGAGTATAATCAGCTGTCCAGAAGGAATTATTAAGTACTAGTACCGTGACAGTACATGTACTAAAAGGATATTGGAAAGGCTTTCTGTCTAAAGCCTTTCCATACTGGTGCTCGATGTTTTCAGTTTGGGGACACCAAAAATTAGTGTACCGCTAAAGACACGTGGTCGACACGTTGTTGACACGTTGTTGACACTTTGTTGACACGTGACCCAATTACCGTCCTACCAAGTGCCTTTGGCGACCGCTAACAGCAACTGTGGAACAGTGCAGTGCCCTTTTTTGGAGCAACGTACGAGCAGTGCCCGTGGATTATGACCCCGCGACCCCAATCTACGTGGCGGTCCGCAATTCGCTACTTCATACTGACTGGCGTCCGGCATCGTCCCGAATTTGGCCAAAATCTGCTCTCGGGACCCCTATAGGGCTCCCTGACCTGCTCCATCTCCGCCATCGTCAATGTACTGCGCATCCACCCAGGCCAGGACTGCACTTACTTACGGGAAGGAGTATTTGCAAGATGGAACCTGGGAACTGGAAGACGACGAAGAGGAAGCGTGGGAATCCGGCGGCAATGGCTGGGATGTAAGTCCAACATTGCTGGTGCCAGAGTAGCCACTGCTTGCTTATAAGGGAATCATGTGTGTTGCCTTTTTGCCTTTTCCGACGTCCTCCTCCGACTGTACTCCTGATCCCAGGACTGAACTTACGGGAAGGAGTGCTTGCAAGATGGGAGACGAAGAAGAAGAAGCCGCTGAATCCGGCGGCAATGGCTGGGATGTAAGTCCAACATTGCTGGTGCTAGAGTTGCCACTGCTTGTTTATAAGGGATTCATGTGTGTTGCCCTTTTTTGCCTTCTCCCATGTTCTCCTCCGACTGTACTGGTGAACGCTGTCACATATGTTGCCCTTTCCAGGCAGTAGAAGGGAGGGGGGGGGGGGGGGGCAGCACATCCTGGCATCCAGGAATGCTAGGCCCTAGGAACTAGGCAATCTGACCTTTCCTCTTACCCCAATAATGGTATGGATGGGGAGTTCTTGAACATCCTCAGTCTTGTTAGAGTGAACTGTGCAACTCGGCAATCGGTGATAGCAGAGGACCAATGCCGATGGCGATGCTCCTTCCTTTTTCTCTGTCACAGGCTGCGTTCTGGAGAAGAAGCGTTATTTCTGCATTCCAAGAAGGACGGCACAATGGTGAGTGGAACTTCGTTGGTGTGCAGCCTTGCTAGTTGAATTGTAAATCAACCATTCTTCCTGTCTCTGACTTCTTCAATGTCCTCCTCAGTGTCGGACTGTCCGCGTCGCATTTAACTGGTCCGATGAGGCTGCTATTGCACACACAGTGAGGGAACTCCCATACGGGAACTCGGAAGTACTGCTACAGTACAGGTAAGGTGGCCATTGCTTATGTGCGTGCGCCGTTGTCAAACTTCTAAGCCAGCTGTACTCCAACCTACATGGAGTCTGAAAGTAGTCAGCTGGCGAACTACAATTGAAGTTTAGACGTTATATGCCGCGGCTTGGTCAGCTTTTTCAGTTTCACAATGCATTGCACTCAGCACCGCTTCTCGGAGTATCTTGTCAGGATAGCTTTGGAACGCATCCTCCCCAGTGGGGGAACGGCAAATGTGCTGTTCATTTTAGACTTGCTTTTATGGTACGTACAAATCCCATTGAAAAGACATAGTGGAGACCAGAAACTGCAAATAGATGTTGGGAACCGCGAAGACCACCCTTCCTTGTCAAGTTCCCTGAGGGTGTGGAGGGGGGGGGGGGGGGGGGGGAGCGGAGGAGGGACATTCCTGCACTGCTTAAAGCAGGATTCACAGGAGCATTTTCAGACATTGCTTGTACATTTGTACCAGTTGTAACCGACAAACGCATTCTCATTGAGGTTTGACTTGAGGCACGTCAGCAAGGCGCTGTTGCATCGCTGACGTCTTGTCCTGATTCTGTGAATGGTATTTTGTGCGAGTTTGCATCGCACGCAGAATCGCAGGTCGTGTCGCATTGCGCAGCACACTGCCAAATTGCTCCTGTGAATCCCACGTGAATGGAAATTCCAATGGGAATGTAATCCATTGCCAACAGGTGTATTCCCGAGCTGCGCATCATACTGCAAAATTGCTCCTGTGCATGCAAATGGATTTCATTGCTCTTCTGTAGTTTGGGAAATTCTCGATTATGATAATTCTGCGTGTGTGTGTACACCAGCCCTGAACATACATGTAGGTGACCCATTTGTGGTGTCTCATAGCCTACCTCACGACCTTATGCTTTCTTTCTGTATCACTTGTATCTTGCAGGTATATCACCCCGTGACGACCACATCGAAGTCTGAAATTGAAGTGTGAAGATGCTTCAGCAACCCCTTCATATTTTTCCATTGCTTTTATTGTGCTTCTACTGTGCATGTGTGTAACCTGTGGGGTATGCATGTGATGACAATGTATGCCGATGACACGGTCAGATTTTGTCCATGCGTGTAACGTACACCTGCATGCTATCGTTGAAAAGGATCTGCCACTTACGATCTTCGGACGAGTCTGGTGTATGGTGGCCACTTCTTTGCTCGTCTTTGTATGACATTACAATAATTCTGTATTCACTGCTTCCATGGTGTGGTCTGCAAACTGCAATCCTTAGGCAAATATCATCACGGTTTGCAATGTTGTGCTTTGGCTGCTAGCTTACCTACACATTGTAGTTGAATTATTTTTGTTTCACAACTGACTTCCTGAAGTATGGTGGCCACTGCTTTGCATGGCATTATACAATGTTCATCAAGAATTTCCTGTTTGGGTCGTGTGTGTGTGTGCGTGCCCATGTGTGTGTGTGCCATGTCCATGTGCGTGTTTGTCACAAGGTGTCTGTGTGCGGGGTAGCGAGGTGGGGAGGGCTGGAATGTATCAGTGTGCTACTGCAGTTGCATGGCTACATACAGTGCATCGCGCGCGTGCTCACCATGTTTCTCTTCGGAGCTGGGCTAGGGTGGGGGAGGGAACAGAAAAAGAACTGAAATTACCCATATAAAAACCGCTCTGTGAGCGGTTCTGAAAAACCTCTACTGGTGCAGCCCCGTCGTAAAAGTAAGAAATTAGAACTGGCGCATTGTCCTCCCAAATGTGAACTGATCCACCTAAATCGCGATTGACGGGACCCGAACGCACCAGTAGCACGAGGTCGGGAGGGCACAGGATCACAGCCGGCGTCGGCGCTCAGAGAACAAGTTACCATACAACACTTAGATCTACCCCGAAGCCCACCTTTGCCGATTTGGCTTTGGCTATGGACCAGCGTCCCCAGCTGCATCCACAGGTAGGAACCTCGTGCTACTGGTGCGTTCGGGTCCCGTCAATCGCGATTTAGGTGGATCAGTTCACATTTGGGAGGACAATGCGCCAGTTCTAATTTCTTACTTTTACGACGGGGCTGCACCAGTAGAGGTTTTTCAGAACCGCTCACAGAGCGGTTTTTATATGGGTAATTGTACTTGGAGAGCGATCATTTTATGGGCTGTGTATCACCATCCAAGCACGAGTGCATGGGTGGCTATATGCAAAGCGTATCATTCTCCAAGAGTGACGATATGCTAATTGCAGCGCGGAGCTTAATCATGCCAGGGCCCTTGCAGTTTCGAGTTCCGGAAAATAGGTATGCACCAGCAACATGTCAGACATCACACTACTCACTAGGCACCAGGGACATCACCAGACATCACACCAGGCACCAGGGACAGGGCGGGCATCACCAGACATCACACTAGGCACCAGGGACATCACCAGACATCACACTAGGCACCAGGGACAGGGCGGGCATGGGCAGCGCAAAAAGCGGCCACCCGGCGTTCAAATTATTCTGTCCAACAAATGAGGAAACGGAGCCGAAGAGTGTCAACAACCACTTTCTGACCGAGCGCCGGCGGCTCAGTGCAAAAGTCGTCCACCGGATTTGCCAAACCTGATCCGGCAGTACATGTATCTTCGAGGACATGCCACGCTATGCTCCGCGATATCATCACTGATAAGTGATATATTGTATACAGCTGCGATGCGACTCGGATGGCAATCTCCCGGATTTCGGAATACTACAGTGCTGTGCAATGAAATCTGATCCTCAGTGTTAGGGGGTCTATAGGGCTGTACAGCGCCTGGCGTGGCATTGATGTGCTTTATCGGATTTCATTGAGCAGCACTATACAGTAGTACACTGAGTTCTACAGGTAGTACATGTACTTCGAAGTAGTCCGCATGCGTTCACTGCAGTAGTGTAGTACAATGACTATGTATTGGCAACAGTGTGTTACACTACATCAGTATACTAGTGTATACCATTGGAATTGTCTGAGTATGGCGTCAGGGGCCACGTAGGCGGACTGGTTTATGATGGCATTCCCGGTCCAGAAAAAAAGAAGAAGAAATTCACGGTTCGCGTGAGACTCGGCTGGAGACCGAATTTTCCTCATCCCCTGCGACGCCACCACCCTCAAAGATCAGTCAAGGCGCAGATGCAGCTCCTAAAGTCACAGTGGTGGGAGATGAGTACAGTCAACTTCGCCTATAACGACACTCGGCGGGGCATCAAAAAAGTGTCCTTATTCGCGAAGTGTCGTTATACCCGAAGTCTCATTTATGTATTACAGTTGGAAGGGACTTTGCTCTGGGCATCGAAATGCTGTCGTTATTCGCGAATTGTCGTTATATCCGAAGTCGTTATTAGCGAAGTTGACTGTAGGTCATCAGACCCATGGCCCACCCGGCACCAAAGTGGTCAAAGACGGAAAACCCCATTCTCTGCATCCATGCTTCCCTCGTGCCCGGCCACGAGTTCCCAATCAACTGTGGGTCGCAGCACGGCTGGAAAACATCATTCCGCTTCCAAGCAGGACTTGAACCTATTACCCTCTGTTTCTCAATCATGGGACTCTTAGACCATCCCACTATGCCTGCCTGCTTCCCGGTCCTGATGGTATTCCGCTAATGACTATGTTGACATACAATGCACAAAGCACTGCGTTAGTGCCGTTACTGCTGATTCTAGCTTGGTTGCAGCTGTTGCATCCTTGACTTATCAACATATCTTCAGAATAAAATCAATAAGATTAACAGATCAATGCGTGGAGTAATATGTCCCTGCCATCAGTTACCGACATCATGACACGGATCTGTACCATTGAGCATCCGCCTGACCTGCCGCTTAGCGGCTACATTGACCCACCAGTAAATCTAGCAAACCGTGCCATTGTTTTGCAGAATGTCCTCCTGAGCAAAGGAAATGCATCCTGGTGTCGCATCACCATGCTGCACTTATTCACAGTGTCACATGGGAAGCATGCAGGCGATGTCCAATGTCCTCCTGAGCAAAGGAAATGCATCCCGGTGTCGCATATCACCATGCTGCACTTATTCACAGTGCCACATGGGAAGCATGCAGGCGACGAGTGGATTTAGTGACTTCTGGCAGCAAGATGTTCGGCTAGAGACATATTAGTAAACCATGCAAACCTGTGGCGACTTGGTTACAGAACAATGGTATGATATTCTCCTCGAAAGCTGAAGAGTCTTGAGCATAGGACTGGTGGAAGTAGTTCTTCCCAAGGTATTAACTATGTGGAGTCGATGTTTCCCCAGCGTAGTGCAGGCAGGTGACATGGCGATTGTACTGAAGTGCGCTTGACTGGAAGTGGGAATGGATGTTAGAAATACAACATGGTGACAACACTGGATACCACTCAGTACCAATACAATTATTTCGCAACACCATCATCGGCATGGACCAGTCAGAACTAGTGCCGGGCCTCGCATGTCGGTCATTGTGCCCATCGTCAGGCTGAAGTAGGCCAGGAAGCAGGGCACACTTAGTCTAGTCTATTAGCAGCAAGCTGGCTGTGAGTTCGGAGTGGGTGCGGAATACAGCTAGTACTGTAGTAGGTCTACGGGGCTAGGAAAAGAAGTTTAGAAAATGTCATCATACTAGTACTAGTAGTGTACTGCAGTAACTGCACCACTCTGTTAGCTGCTCTGGATAGCATTCGTGAGTCAGTCAAGTGAGATTTCAAGTCGGCAGGAAAAGAGAGAGCTTCCCCGTAGGGAGCGATGCACAATTCCCAAGTATCGCCGAAGTCGCATCAACGTCTTCTTCACACTGTTGTCTCCAGAGCGGGCTTGCAAAATAGATGGCTCGGAGGAAGCAACGTTGTGAATGGCCGACGGTTCTGAGGCGTTGTTCACACCATCATGAGCACTGACTCACGCTGCTGTCTGGAGTTCGCGGGAGGTGTTTATCGCGCTGGAAACGGAGTGTCACTCTAAGCTGCATGGTATCCCTAGTGATGTTTAGGCTCCGAGAGCACTACATAATGCAGTGCTCTCGGAGCAGAACTTTAATATGAGGGGCGAATTCCCCGAAACACTGTGTATTGAGCATGGAGTGGTGCTTTCTTGCAGGGTTGCCGAGTGGAAGGTTCGATGAACTTCTCGTGTGCTTTGGATGGCAGTCTTGAGTTCGTCGAGTGAGAATTCAAGTCGGCAGGAAAAGCTCGAGCTCCCATGTAGGGAGCAATACACAATTCTCTAAATAACGCTGAAGTCGCACAAACCTCTTATTCAGTACATCATCTAGTCTAGGCCTGTCAAGCATGTCGCCCCAAACAACAGCATACCACAGACCCATAGTTGGTGGCCAGATGCGGTAAACCTGGCTGATGATCCATGTTATCCGTGGACGGTGGTCTTTGGACGTCATACCTCCGACAAACAAGTAATCTGGCGTCTTCCAGATCGTCAACGCCAGGAATAGCCCCCTGCATCCTTTGCCGCACCCACAGCACAGGCAGAAAGGGATTTACTGGGTTAGAAAATGCCAAGTGAAGTGCACACATGGTTAACAGACTTCTTTATGCGCTATGCATGTTGGTGCCATGTCATGAATACGTCATTACATGTACAGTACTGTGGACAGTTGGAGGCCTAACATGTATGTAGTTATTTCCAGGACTACGATATCTGCCTTGCATCCAGAGACAGAGGTCGTATCTCGTGGCATTTGCGTTCCTTACTTGGGGAAGTTTGTGACGTCAGGGAGTGGCATGCATGAACCGGCATAGCCATGGTTAACCGGTTAATCCATAGCACTTACATGTACATAGTCATCGTACAGTCAGCTGGTAACTAATACTAGTACTAGTGAGGCATCAATCATTAATCCACAAAATGTGATCCACAAAATGTGACACAAAATGTGATACCGAAAGTGCAGACCCAATGATTTGAGCTTTGAGGTAGTAACTAATGATAATGGTATGGTGCAAGACACCATACTCCATACATGTAGTTGTCCTGTTCATTGGCTTACCGGTATCTCTCCTCAGAAAGCGTCCCTGCAGGTCCTGCAGGCTGCAATGGCAACACATGTCACACGTCCTGTGCGTCTGGATGGGAAGTTCCCTGTAAGTACGGTTAGATCGCACTTGTGGTGGCTGCTAGATCTGCTGCCATGGTCAACTTCTACAACGGTCTACATAACACTATAGCGATGGGAAGGTGCAGGTAAGCTTTTACATACCTGTACCGGCATAGCACACTACCTGTGGAGAGCGCCCGACATCACAGACGCATGCAGACATATATTGTACATGCGATACAGGCATGCGACAGCAGCGTGCAGTGTTTGTATTTGCCAACATCGGAAGTGGTACCCAAGGTCCGGCGATTCTTCTTCCCCACGCCGCTACCATCACCGCAGCTGTCACGCACAACCCTAGGTCCTCCTGAGTTGCCATTCGTACATCAAAGAGAACCCACAGACACGCCATAGGTATAAGAGAAGTTACCTAACTGATCGCTTTCATTTTTAGTTCTTTGCAATGGAAGCAACCGTGCTCATCCTGTGAGCACAGATTGAAATATAGCTGCTTGTGGTGGTGGTGGGAAAGGAATCACGCCCTGCCGTAATACAACTTCACAAACTTGTTAGACCTCGAAGCCGAATCATCATGGCCTGTGTGACCAGTGTACGCCGTATAGGCTATGCCCACCAAGGTCAGTTTTGTGAGCCTGTACATTTACCCGACGGTGAGCAGCTAGTTTACGAGAGCGTGAGATCGGATGATAGCGATGCAGACTACCCTGATGCAGCAGGTCGGCACGAAGAGTTCTGCCTAGTGTCCAGGGCACGGAAGACCGCTGCCATACCAGGCGACCGGCGACCCAGGTCAGGTGCGCTGCTATGCTGTAATTCTACAGGTGACACCGACAGTGAGGAATGGGAAAGACAAGCAGTTGAGAAACGCTCGGCTCGTTGTTCTCATATGATGGCCAGAGTTGTCCTATCGGATGAGCAGCTCGCCATCGTAACGTCCCGTGCCCAAGGCTACCAGCATACATCAGCCCGAGAGAGCTGCAATGAACGATTGCATCTAAGACGAAGCGAACAACAGAGTGAGCGGTCACGAGAGAATTCGTCCGAAACGGGCCCCACAGCTCCGAGCATAAGGAAACCGCCTGTTGCACCCAAGCCCGGCCCGGGGACATTACTAAAACTAAAAGAGACCAGGCAACCAGAAACGACGCAACGGTCACAAGGAAGGAGTAGAGGATTGGCGTTCCGTGCAGCGCCTATGGAAACACAAGGGATCGTACGCACTCCAGTACAACAACGGAACGGCCAGCTGGAAACTGTGGGAGACAATCCAGCCATCCACCGGGCAGCAGGTTCTCCATGTGTAGCCCATCGAAGGTCTACGCCTTCGTCTTCATCTTCACTGGCAGTCGGCAACTCATCAAATTCATCCCACGCCCAGGGCAATGTTATGCATGAAAGCTTGAGGAGAGGAAGGTCCACGAAGTCCAGTTCTAGCGAAGATCGGAGTGTCATTCAATCACCATCCCCAACATCTCGAGCACAAACACCACCCGATAGTATGCTAAGCACTGTGAAACAACAACCCAAGTCCTCTGGTAGCAGCACCGAACATAGGAGAAGTCGGGTCGTCTCCAGCACCCAGGAGTCGCAAGGTGCACAGATACGAGCTACACGGAGGAGCGGCTTCCCAAGTGGCCGGCACAGCACTGGTTCATCCACTGGCACCGGTGCAGGGGACCGATGTGCTCCCTCCTTGCGTAGCTCTCAGTCTGCATCAGGTAGAGTCAATCCATGTGCGGGTATATCGGAAAAGGCTCCGGACATTCCCAGCGCACCCAGACCCCGATCCAGACGGCTATCTACCTTGGGGCAATCAGCACAGGCCGTAGTGAGTGCACATGGACTTGCTAAGCGTACTGAAGGAAGCACGGCCAGCCACAATGGGCCAACTCGGAAGATCATCCACACCATCGCGAAAACAGCGATTTCAGTAATGGATGACAGTGTCAAGCGCGCCTCTAGCCCTGCCTCCGCAGAGCCCACTCTACCTTCCAACGCAGTGCCGGGCTCGCTTCTCATGTTCAACCGGGCACGGGGCCTGTACCAACACTGGGCCGTGTACATTGGAGATCACAAGGTTGTGCATCTCACCGGTGCCGAGGATCAACGTCGCTCTAGCATACGTCACGTGGTCTCCAGTGTTACTGTGGGTAGTCGCACCCCGGTCGTGCAGATCAGCGCTCTGGATGATGTACTTGGAAGATGCAGCATGGTTACAGTCGGCGATGAGCACTATGGGAAGGTGCTTGGCAAGCCCTTTCCACCGCAAATGGTCGTCCAGCGCGCCCTGTCGCAGGTCGGATGCCGTGGCTACCAGCTGGCGGTTAACAATTGCGAACATTTCGCGACCTGGGCAAAGTTTGGCGAGGGCTACAGCTCCCAGAGTGATACCCACTTCAAGCCACTGCCCTTGTCATGCCCAGCTGATCGCTCTCGAGCCCAGTGCGATGAAGTGACCCAGTCACAACTGGCCGTGGAGAGGCAAGATTGGGCGATGGTCTTTACACAGACTACTAGTACGTGGACTGGCTGTGATCGCCACAGTGCCGAATACTCTGGCCCCAGCATCGCAGAAAGTAAGCGCTTTCCTGACCATGTTCTGAGAAGTCAGCAGCAAGCCACGCATGGCCCAGACCGCACAGCGCCATCAGGAGTTGGCCTTGTAGCGGCTAACGGAAAGGGTTGGCTTTGGACAAGCGGGGAACCAGATCTTTCCCCTGACCAGAAGGGTGCGGACGTCGACGGCTGGGAGATCATCCCGTTCACGGACAGCGCCACCGCGGCGATCGACATTACCCGTCAGGTGGTTGAGGACTTGCAGACTCGGCGGCGCACGCCCACGAAGATCGTGGCGCAGCCGCATCAGATAGTCATGTTTCACGCGCCGCTTCGTGACCAGGGCAGATCTCACCCAGGCAGCGTCCGATTCGGTGCCGCGTCTTCCATCGCCTCTTTGCAGCACATGTGCCGCCGCAACTACATACAGAGGGAACGTCGCTTTATCTTCAGCATGGCCTATTTCAACGGTCACTGGCTGATTCTGTCGAGGAAGGACAGTTCACTGGAGGACCAGTGTGTTCTGGCCAGTAAGAAGTACCCAGCGGCTAAGATCCAGCAGTTCTGGCAGCAAGGATACACCATCCCTACCATGGCAGCTGGCGATCACTGGATCGTGGTTGTGGACAAATCCTGCAACTTGGACTACTCGCCGCCAGATCAGGGTGGCAGTCAGCTGATAGAGCTGGTGAGACCCGGCGGTTGCCTGCCCGTGCATCGCATACACGAATACGGGAGAATGGGCTACAAGCTAACTTGCGCCACAGGAAACTAGAGCTGTCTTTAAAACGGTCTCAAAATTAGAGACTGCTATTAAAGACAGCATGCATACGTTCGTGTTTCGTACTGTTTACCAAGACTGCCTAGCCACTTGACAGTATTCCTCACTCTGTGGGAACCAGCCCCTGGTTGGTGAGGAGGCATCATAGCCTGTTCGCTTGATAAATAAAATATAGAGCAACACACCGCACCATACCGTTCAGCATGTCACATCGACGGTCTACTACATGGTTCTCTTCATATTTCAGATCAGATTTTTGTAGTTACCTTGAAGTACACAGATAGGGCCCTTGATTGATGGCCGAACCTATTAGCTCTTTCAGTATCTGTAGCATTGAGAATGATAGCCGGACATTATCATGATATGTCAGTACTTGTAATTTTGTACAATAGTGGTTAACATCCGTACGGCGTACGGGCCTTTCGAGTCCCCCAAACGAACTCTTCTCTAAAAAAATATCGATATTTTGTGGACGACCTCTAAGGCCATTTACATGACTGTACATGTATATCTCCGCCCTACTCCCCGGCACCATCCGCATCCTTTCATGAGGATGCTCAAGGGGGTGGGGGTGGAGATCACAAGTATGCACAGAGTGCTCAATAACCCAGGCCAGGGGGTCAGAGCCGGAGCAACAAGCACAAAACAACAATGGATCATGGCAAGGCATTCTCGCAATTTTGGCAGCTGCGAGACTGCCTTGAGTCGTTGTTTTTTTTTGCAAGGGAACGAACACGTTCGGTTACTAAATTGGCTTACTTGACTGTGTGGATTGCGTCGGAGCTGACACCTTTTCTTTCGAAATTGGATACGCCTCCAATTTTTTCCTAACGTTTTTTTCCGCTTGTAATATTGTCGCTCACATGTACATGTACATTGTATAAAAGAAGTTGCCGCCGCCAGGTTGAGCTGCTGGCCCTGCTGCTACATTCGACAGTCACAGATATTTACTAGTAAGAGTATAAGCTCCCGTGCTACCAAGAGTACAATAGCTCCTGGAGCTTATTTATAATCTCTTGCTACTAACGTATGAGACAAATCACGAAGAAGTGTAAAAACAACAGAAAAATGATAAGGCACCCATTTTGATAATCCAGGGGATGGCCCACGCCTAGGCGCCTGGTACTGCCACTGCATTACAAATGAAGCATGTTCCACGTCGCGGATACGCTGCTCGTACGCCCGGCGTTTCTCCTTCTCCTGCCGAGTGTAGGTTGAGGCCAGTGAAGTGGCCCGGTTTGAGGACGCATACGGGTTAAACACCCTGACATCAACGAAAGTGCGCTCAAACCGGCCACCCCAAAGGCCACTGGCAGCTGGTCTTTTACGAGGTTTTTTATTTCCTATACACTGTACTGACCAAGTACGAAGTCAATATTAGATTTATCACGACTAGCCAAAGCCTGTGTTCAATCCCTAAAAAGGAGTGAAATATAAGCAGTCAATATAGCCCTAAGGAGTCGAAACATGCAGGAATATTTCAATTTTGACTGCTTACGGATAGCAAAAATCTATTGGAGTGATAAGTACTTGACTTGTAGTCTACAGTCTATGCCATGGGCAGTTGAGTCGCCGTATACCATGGCATGGGCATGGATACATTGGTATGCGCGCGCATGCGCAGTACTTGATGAAATTCTAGACAGGCCGTTCTTCGACGTCGGCGCTCCGTTCTCGTACTGACAGACGTGGCCTACATTACTTTGTACTACCAAGGATACATGATTGTACTCTTGGAACAGTAGTAGCTCACACAAGTCATCATGGTCATAGATCATGTAGATGGTGCAAAGAAAGAGAGCGAGGATAAAATTTTTTTTAGATCCAGACTACTACTACTAGTACTAGATGAGTAGATCTACTAGTTCTTCAACCCGGGAGTCGCCCTGCCTTTCACCAACCAACTACTAGTAGGTCTACTACTAGTGAGTAAAACCAACCAACAGATCGCCCTAGGCCTAGCCCGCATTGCAGCCTACACGTCGTGACTTGCCGGGCTAGGCGTTGCGTGTTGGCTCTGTTATCACTTCTCAATCGAGAGTCTCCCATCCATCCGAGCTTTCAATGGCGGAGAGAAATCCCAAAGAAATCAGCCCAGCGGTCGCTAGCCATGGAAAGAGTTCATGTGACGATGCATGGCCAGGGCTTTCTCAGGTTCAACAAGCCAACAGCAGGCATTGCCAAGCACCGCTACCAGAAAGGCGTGGCCACACATCGACGACTACTGGAGAGCCCAGACGTTCGCTGCCCGATGCCGTGAAGCAGTTTGCGGATATGCTGAGAAGGCAGTATACAAGTGCAAAGGTACAGCTGGGAAGAGGTATGTCTGCCAAACCGAACAAACATTCTCTAGATAAGATCTATGTGAATCTTGTTATCGTTCCTCGCGAAGAACTCTCGTCGTTGAATGAGCAAACGTTCTTTGGTTCGCAGAGCGACATGCAGAAGTTGAGCCATGTCTTTTCGCGCGTCGCCGACAGGGTGACACACGTTCAACTGGCCAATATGTTTTATTTTGACGAGATGGAAATCGCAGAGGACGAGTCAGTCCGTGTATTAGCTGTTGCATGTGCAGGCGCAGGCAAAACCACCGTGTTCTTGCTGAAAGGTCCTCTGGACTGGGCACGAGGCATGATCTGGCATGAGTTTGATGTTGTGAGTGCATTGGCATTGCGTGACAGGAGTGTTCGGCACGCCAGCAATATCATTGACCTGTTGAGACTAGAGGAACATGGCATTGTTGATAAGCAGGAACAAAAAGAGATAGCTGCGTTCATCCATGCCAATCCACATCGTCTTTTGATCGTGTTTGATGGACTCGATGAAACTGTACTCGACGACTGTAGTGACTTTGTTCGTGGCATTATCTGCGGTGAAAAGCTGAAAGGCGTCCGTGTTCTTCTCACGTCACGCCATTCAGCGGAGGTGATGAAACTGTCCACATCGTGTCCGTTTGATCGGCGCGTGGAAGTGCTTGGATTCACCAAGGAGAATGTGCGCGAGTACGTGAACAATGTACTCCCATGTGAGCAGGCCGAGCGTTTGCTCGAGCAGGTCGATGGCGATCCGAGTTTGTTAGCTTTGATGCAGACACCATTCTTCACGCAGTCGACGTGTGACGTGTATCGTAGTTGTGGCTCGGTTCCATCGTCGCTGTTCGGTATCTTCACGGCCTTGATCTTGAGTGTGATTAGACAAAACACGGGCAGTGTCCACAAGGACTGGTCACTGGTTGGACGTGTTCTGAGAGAGCAGATTCTTGAGTTAGGCCATTTTGCATTTCTCATGTTAGTTCAGAAGAAGATTTTGTTCACTGACGCTGATCTTGAAGGGCAACAGCTGTCGGGCGAGGCACGTTCACTGGGTCTTCTGGTGGCATGTGAGCCACTGTCTTATCCTAGCGTGAACCAATGGCAGTTCAGCCATCTTTCCATTCAGGAATGTCTTGCTTCTCATTACGTTGCATGTGGCAATCCCAATGCTGGTGACATTGAGTTCCTCGTCAGGCAGGTGGGAGCACTGACTGGACACCTGAGCACATTCTGGTGCTTGCTCGCTTCACAACTGGCACCTGACGTCAAAGAAGCGTTGATTGCCGCTATACTCACGCAGCCCGTACCCACGGAGGACGACATAAAGAAACTGTCGGCTCGTCGCGATGTGATTCACTTTCTTCGCTCCTCTGAGGATGATCTTATCGATGTAGCCGAGGTCTTGTGTGATCATCTTGACCAAGGTTCAGTTGATACACTGGCCAGGGGTCTTCTCACTGATCTACTGCCCACTGGTGTGAGTGTCACTCAAGCCATGGATGAAGTTCTTCCCAACGGCTTTAGCACCTGTCGCCTAGACTATGTGCGTGCGCTGTTGCAGCTTTGGCGGCGAAAGGTTCCGCGGGCCAGCCTAAAGATGCTCTCTGATGCCTTGAAAACGTTTCATCCGCTTGCATCGCAAAATGTTCTTGAGCATGTGCAGTCAAAATGCACAGAGCCAATGGCTTCTCCTGATTTCTGTGCTGCAACTACATCGGAGTCACCGCCCTCCACAGCCCGCAGCACTTCTTCTTACACTGGCTCTAGTGGTGATCGATCAGTATTACAGACTGAGGGTCCGGCTGCCGGGCTTTCCAACGGGAATGCAAGGGAGATAATGGCGCCAGTTCACCGTCGGTTGTTGCTGCTTGCTTGTCGCGTCCATGCCCAGCCCAATGCAAGCACCGACACAGAAACAGTAGAGAGAGCATGTACCTTCTCACCATCTCCCAGTCTAGGAGAAGCTTTTGAACGCTTCGGCTTTGATTTCTTCGATATGTATCTTACCTCAGCAGATTGTCACCTTCTTGCATCTGTTTTGGAGCATCATAACAAACACATTGACTATATTGATGTGCAGAATTGCCGGATCAATGATGAGAACTATGAGCAGCTATCGCCTGGTCTTCGTCATTGTCAGCAGCTATGCGAATTTCTAATTTCTGGTAATCCACTCACCGATCATGAAACCACCCATCTATGCCACACAATCAGAGCAAACAGTGCAAGTTTGCGGCGTCGATGTAATGCAGGTGGACTTCACCTAACATCTTCTGGGTATGCACAGCTAGTCCCATCTCTAGTTCGATGTTCTGGTCTGAGATCGATATGCATTGGTGGTCCGAAGTGTCAGGTCGTCAAAACCAATGTTCTCATTGCTCTGGTTCTACTTGCATACTGCAGAGAACTCGCATTTCCAACGTTCCAGTTCTACATTGGTGATCAGGGACTATCCTGGCTCATTCCACTGTTGGCCCGCAGATCACTTCTTGGCTTAGGATTGTTGGAGGCTGGAATAACATCGCGGAGTGCCCCGTTAATCAGGGATGTTCTCAGTGTACAGAGTGACAATCTGGCTGTCCTTATGTTGGCCAGTAATCGTCTGTCGGACACGTTTCTGTCCATCATTGCCCCAAGCCTCAAGAAGTGTAGGAGTCTGCATACGTTGGACCTTGAGTTTACAGGCCTTACTTCTCCGTCTCTTATCACACTTGCAGCCATTCTTGCTTCGTGCCCTACCCTCTCTGTTCTGTTTGTTCGTGGCAACGACTTCAGATTGTCAGCAAACGAGGCGTCTGCACAGTTTGTCATAGCTGTCCGGAGGTGCAGACAGCTTCAACTGCTTCGAATGCCTGTGCGAGAGCTGGTCAATGCTCACCTAGTACGGTTACTTGGCAGTGTAGCAGCGACCACATCATTGTACATTCAATACATACCGTGACCAAGCGGCGCCTGTGTGTGTATGTGTGTGCGTGTGTGTCCAGAAAAAGCCACCACATAGCTGTGTGATGTAGACCAGACTGAACAGTGGCGGTCAATTCTTCAGCCTTGCAAGCTGTTGAATGGTGCAATTCCAGCACAAGTTGCTATGGCTTCTCCTGTCGCATCGCTATCATCGCCTCCGGCTGTGGGCATCAAATAGTCAAATGGTGTGTGTGTGTGTGTGTGTGTGTGTGTGCGTGTGCGTGTGTGCTCGCTTACGTTCACATGTGCGCGCGCGCGTGTATGTGTGTGTGTGTGCGCGCGCGCGCGCATGTGTGTTTGTGTGTGTGAGAGAGCGCTTACAAATCCTTGAACCGAGATAATGAATGAGCAGTTGAGTCGTACTCGTCTTGCACCACTGAATCCAGTGATGAAGTTGAGAAAGGCCCTTACAGTACATTTTTCATGTGATCTTTTTATCCGTTATGTGGAGCCCGGCAGAGGCTTTCCTATATTTTGCGTACGCTTGTGCATCTAGCCTAACCGTGATGTCTTCAGGGTCTTGAGAGCCAAACCAGCAGGTCACAGTGTGCAGGCGGAACAGACACAATCCATAGCCACACCAGGATGGCTGTGTGTACTA